CTTTTCACGTCCGACTGAACAACCAACCCCCCCCCCCCCCCCCCCCCCCCCCCCCCCCCCCCCCCCCCCTTTTCTCTCCCTCGTCTCCACATCTCACGATGAAAGTCATCATCCACAAATTTTGATTCGGGGGTCCGGTAAGAAGTGCCTCTACCGACCGCGGTCGCCGTTACAAGTTGAGTAGACGTAGGAAATGGAAACGGGAGTAAGGTTGAAAAGTGAGTTGAAAAGTGTACCTAACCTGGTAGGGATCTGATACGCTTGGTACATAATACGAAATTAGAGGTTTTGTCTAGGTAATAGTGTGCTGATGATGTTTTACGGATCCGGTATTGCGTGGATTAATTGGAACAAGGTCCTTAGGGGTTGATCTTGGATCTTGAATCTTAACTGGGTAAAGCAAACGGCATGTAAGCTCCTGCTTTTGGCCGTAGTCGTAGTGGAATTCTTTTGAGCTAGGTTGCTAGATAGGTCGCTAGGTCGCCTTTTCGAGGTTTGCTAGAGAGGTAGTTTTGAACTTTGAAGGCTTGTTACAGGGTGGAGCGCGGGGGAAGAAGAGGGGGTGTTTTCGTTGCCTATGTACCGAACCCAGGGTGCCCTGTTACTTCGGTACGATAAACAAATGGAAGGGTTTGCTGCGGTGTTGTGCTGGGTTCTATAGGGCACAGTATGGTATGCTGGAGTAGTTGGAGAGAGTTGGATCTTGGAAGTTGAATCTTGAAGCTTGACGGGAGAGGACGAAACTAGGTTCCTAGTACATTGCCTCAACCGTGCTGCTGGTGAGTGACTGTTATTTTCGCGGTGGAGAAAGGCCGCAAGGGCGAAGGGAGGGAAGCGGAAAGGGGATTCCGTCTTTGGAGAGAGACCGAGGTCTGAGGGAGTGGTGAAATGATGAACGATGAATACTGAGTTAAAACCCCCTGAAAACCGAACACTCAATTTTTCCGAGAAAAAAAAAAAAAAAAAAAAAAAAAAAAACAACAAGAAAGCGTACCCTGCAACGTTCTTTCTCTCGCACGGTGACGATGAAGAATCATGTAGAATGAATGCGTCTACATGGCATGCATGACATACATGGCATACATGGTATACTTACTCCTGCGTGATAGATAGATAGTTCCATCTCATTTTCCGTTTCCCCTTCCCCCTTCCCATCTTCCTCAACTCCGTCATCACGTCCATCAATCACCAATTATTCAGTCAAATCAAGAAAACATCCCATATGCTATTGAACATTACGAAGAAGCCGAAGCTACTAACCACAGTAGAAAGTATACCTATCGACGATGCATCCCAACCAACCCCAGTAAAACCGCCCCAAAGACGAATGCTCATGCACGCGATTAATACGCTCTTCAACGCTGCGAAAGCTGCGACAGAACTGGAAAAAAAGAAAGAAAGAATAACAGTCGACCAAGATCCAATATGCAGAAAAAACGGGTGAACAAGTTGGTATCCGCAACCCAGACACAGACAGACGATGCAGGACCAAAAAATGATGGAAAGGAGGAAAAGAGTACCACAACGCCGGCAACACCATCAAGCCCGAAACCCACAGGACGCATCTCGAGCTTCCTCGTGCAATTCCGCATTATCATTACCATCGTCGGCGGCGTCGTCATCATAACCAACACTACGGCCATCATCACACGCACACCTCTCCAACCTTCCAGGCAGACTCCTAGTTCCCCTCCCCTCCCAATCCACCCTCCTTTTCATCCTCCGCAAGCCTCTCAACCGCCTCACCCACCACCTCCCAGCTAGCCCTGACATCCCTCCTCCCCCTCGGCGTCGCGGGTCCCGACTGCGTAGCCAACACTTCCAGTCTCGCTTCCTCTCCGAGCCGTACATTCGCCCTGCTGCTGCTGCTGCTACTACTACTTGCAGGCTCCTCCGGAGTCTGCCTGTACGTCTCAGACGACGTGATACTCGTAACCGGAGTCAAGAGCCCCGTGTCCACCTCCCCTATCTCTTTCACCGTCGCCGTCGTCGTCGCACCATCACCCACACGATCCACTTCCTTCTCCTCCTCATCCTCACGTGCCGGCGACCGCGCAAGCTCAGCCGGCCCTGGTTCCGGGCTCGAGAACCCCTCGACAACCGGACTCCTCGCTCCCTCAGTATCGACATCGCTCACGCCCACGGCTCCATCACTGCCATGTCCGCGCCCATGTCCGCGTTCTCTCCCCCCCGCGCCCAACAACCCCGGAGGACTCGTATCGCTCCCCTGACTCCCACCACCACTCCCGCGCCACATATCCCTAAACGTGCGTCGCCGTCTCAACAGCCCATAACTCTCCCCCTCACGCGGACTCCTGGGCGGCGAAATGTCAAACAGGCGAGTATACATATTCTCCCCATACCCTCCCACCTGCCTCTCTGTCCGACCCTGCTGCTGTTGCTGCGCAGCACCCGCACCCCCCAAAGGCCCACTCCTCACAAACAGCACCACCCCAAAGAAGAGCAGCAGGAGCGTACTCTGCACCAACGCCATCCTCTTCTGCCACACGAGCTCATCCGCCACGATGCCCAGCCGCGTCCCCACCTCCTCCTCGACCCGCCTCTGCCTCTCCTTCATCCCTTCCAGCTCCAGCACCGTGCTCTGCCACAGCTGCTCGTACAGCGCGCGGTAGCTCTTGAGTTCCTGCATCACCGTCGCGTTGAGGTGCGCCAGGAACTTCTCCGTCTTGGCCACCTGCCGCTTCTCGATGCTGATGAAGGCGTCGCGGAGGAGCAGGGATTGCGATTCGATGTATTGGAGCGAGAGGGTCGAGTTGGCTTCGAGTTGTTGGAGGCGTTTGTGGATGGATTTGTAGAAGGATTCCTGGGTTGTCGGGGCCGGGGGCGAGGGTTGGGTTGGGGAGGACGCACGTGGCTGATGGGGTTGAGACGGGGGTTGGGGATTGGGAGGAGTGGAGTCGGTAGACCTGCTGGAGCCGGTGGTGGATGGTGTGCTGTTCGAATCGTTGAGAGATGTTTTGGGGCCGGCTTGTTGATCGGTTGGGATGGTTACACTGTTGTTATCTATCCCGGTGGAGGAAGAAGAAGTTTCGTCTGTGAAGTGCGACGAGGATGTTGTATCCTTGTTGGGCTCTTTCTCTGAAGCGGAATCTCTTGCAGAGCCGGTGATGTTTCCAAGTCCCGAATCCGCCATGGATGGGTTTGATGGCTGCCCAGTCCCTGAATCGGCGGCAGAGGAGGAGTCATGGGATGATGTATGATCCTCAGCACGCTCTGATGCTGCTTTGGTACCATCGGTGACATCGGTTGATGAAGCATCTCCTACAGTAGTTGTGTTCTCGGAATCGGGCTTCTCTCCCGGTACCACGGCCTGGGCTCTCTCCTTGTCGATGGGAGGCTGCTCCGCAGGAACGAGAGTCTCGTGATCTACCACAGCAACGGCGGTCTTGACAGCATCTCCATCAGCCACCTCTATCGGTTCCACAAAATCGTCATCACCTCTCGCTTGCTCCTCTTCACGTCTAAACTGCTCCATCATGGTCGTACCATGCACTCGGAGCAGGCTGATAGGACAGTAGAACTCGCTGCCATAGTGGCTGAGAAATTCAATGCGTAGATACCGCGCCCATATCTGAGGTTCCTTGATCAGGAAAGGCTGAATGTCCCGAGAATTGCGAGCCTCAAAGGTACCCAGGACCCTCCATCGGTCCAGCTTCACGGGATATCGGTCAGAGACGCTGACACGAAAGTGGCGGAACATGGAGGAGAAGAACTCGTAGTTGGCGAGAACGACCGTGTCCACGAGGATATCGTCGCAGAGCTCGACAATGATGAACTTGTTCTGCGCCGAGCATTCGTTCAGCATGTAGCTGTCCTTGTTCTCCACGAGAACAGCAGTGGAACTCTTGGCCTTGTCGTTGGTCTTGAGTACGGTCGCTGCACAGTCGAAGGAGGCATAATTAAACCGTTCCTTGCATGTCTTCCCAGCGTCTTTGCTGAGCGCAAAGGAGGTGGGTGCCACTTTGTCACCCTCGTCGTCGGACTTGGTTGCGTCGGCCGCACCAACAGGCTCTGCAGGAGAAGGCCCGTCACTCGTTGCCCCATCGCTGTTCACAAAGCCACTGAAATCGATATCAATCTCCGACTCTTCCCCTAGAGCGTCCATTGCATTCACATTGACCGGTCTGTGGCGTGTTCTCGCCTCAGAAGATGCAGCGCGGCCCTGCCCGACAGTCTCTGGAGACTGCCCTGCCCGAGCCAGATTCTTCTTCTTCCATTCCTCAAAGGACAGAAACTTGGCACTGTCGAGGAGAGAGTCTGTCTCGGTTTCGGCCTCAGTATCCGCAGACCCTACAGGGCTCGCCGCCGCAGCATCAGCTATCCGCGTCGCTGTCGTTCCGTTTGGCGCTGCATAGGTGCCTTGTTGGATTGCGGACGCATTTTCAGCAGATATGTCCCTAACCCATGGTATTCCAGCCCATGCGACGGATGGTTCTTGCACCCCAGCTTCCGCCGTAGGAGAAGGAGGAGACCAAGTCGTCTTTGCACATTGCTGAGGTAGCGTGTGTATTATATAGTTGATCGTGCGAAAAGCGCAGGTCGACTCATACGACGTCGAAGGCGGCGTGCCCGGCGATGATCGCGTGGGAGAAGGAGACTTCGTCGATGTTTGCAGAGAAGTTACGGATACGTTGGAACTCGATTCCACCGTGGTGGTGGTGTTATCTGTCGTTTGCGCGAGAGCCGCGAGGCTGCAGAGCAGAAGGAGGGGCGTCCATTTGCGGAGGGGTGCGCCAATCGTGAGCATTGCTTGGGCGCATAGCTCAACAAGCGATAGTGGTTGGAGGAGAGGTCTGCAGGTGTACGTCGACGGACTGCATAGATGATGACAGCTATCTACCGGCAAAAACTGGAGGTGTCTTCTGCGGCGGAGGGCGGTCTGGTGCGGGTGGCCACGTCTCTTGCCAAAGCGTTCCTTTCACCGCCCTCCCTTGCACCTCCCGTCTATTTATTCAACCAATGCCAAGACTGGAAAACATCACATCGCTTGGGTTCAAAGTTGAAAACAGTTCTGGAAGAGGATAATAATAAGTCCAAGTAATGGCTGAGCCATCGCATAGCATTTGTACGTCCCTCTAAAATATTGGGTATACAACAACAACACGCCCCAGAATGCATCGCAAACGTGTCTCATCTCATATGCAAAAATCGCATCGAAGCAGCGCCCCAAACATACATAGATACAAAGACGGGCGCCATCGTGCCAAAACGAAAGGATGTCAACCATGCTAGAAAGACAAGTCGCGCCAAAATGAAAAATCATCATCATGATAATACCGGCTTCTGTGTCGAGCATGGGAGTACAAGCGGTTACCCTACGGAAGCGCTGAGGAGCGCAACAAGCAACCACTCATTCCCCACATTTTCCCAACACAGCAGCCTGAACGAGTGAAAACAGTCATGCCTCCCTTGTATCCAGCCGAGCCTGCGTACCAATTGCACGCCCGTCATCAAAAAGCCCTCCCATTGCTCCCTACGTCTTGGGTCTTGATCGTGCGCATCAACGCCATTCCGCTTTGTTCTAGAACGCCGTGCGGGAAGTGGTATCGTGAGAAAGGGGGAAAGTAGGGAATCGCTGCCCGCGCGATCAGATGCTTCCAGGGTCTTGTAAAATGGGCGGCGGCACAGGAAATCTCTTTAGAAGCCCTCGTCTCCCGCACGGCAGACTTTGATCTCTTTGACCCATTCGGAGAAGAGGACCTGATGAGCGGTCAAACGTCGCTGAGGATTCGGATCAAGGATCGAGTAGATGACATTGCGGCACTTTTGCTGCAGCGACTAGTTAGTAATACGGCTTGAGCTGCCAATGAAAGTTGCTTACCCGACGCAAAACCTCAATGGGCCTATAGCCCGATTCCTTTTTCCGGTCTTCGAGATAACGGTCGAAGAACTCGTCTTCGCCACGTTGGGCAACACGCCAGAGGTGACGGCCGGTGCGCATGGCCATGTAAATGATGCCGCACGCCCACGTATCGACAGCACGGGGATCGAACTCCTTGTCGACATATTCCTCTGGCGCGATATATGGGCCAGACCCACACAGACCAGCCGTCATATGTGCCTCCTTTTCCCATGCCATCCGAAAGCACTCGCCATTGCCAAAATCGGTAATCTTGATAGAGCCATGCGAGGTAAGGAGGAGATTTTCCGGTTTCAGGTCGCGATGCGCAACGCCCATCTCGTGCATATAGTCGACGCCGCGCATGAGCTGTTTGAAGAAGCAGTCGGCCTCGACCACCTCAAGCTGGCCAGCCGAGAGCACGAGGGTATAGAGATCGCCACCGGAGCAGTACTCCATGACCTCACAGTAGACTCCCTTATCGTCCTGGAGGAGGTCGAGGGTGTTGATGACGTTGGGGTGCTGCATCGAGGAGGAGATGCAGAACTCTGCGGTAAGGCGCTTCTGGTACTTCTTGTCCGATTCCCCGGGCCGCTGCTTGAATTCTTTGACGGCATATAGCTGCTCGCGCCGAGGATCTTTGGCATCGGTTTTGTGGGCGACGCGAACGATGCCGAAAGCACCACGGCCCACCACCTCCTGACATTTCCCGTACTTTTGTACCAGCGTTAGAGACGCGTTTGCGCTATTCTTTGCTTCGGCCAGCTTTTCCTTCTCGTTGCGCATGACGTCAACCCAGTTGGACATGAGGCTCAGGGGCTGATCTTCGTGAGTGCCTTCCTTCTTCTTTCCTAGCATGAGGCTCTGGAACATGTCGGAGAGCTTCTCCTGCCGCCGTGCCACTTTGAGATGATGTTCGTGAGTTCCATCTTCGTTGATCCAGAAACGTTGATACTGGCCGTGAGCAGCTTTGTCGAGCTTGCTGGCTGAGGGCTGGCGTGACGGGGTCGGACGGAGCACGGTTTGATTGGTGGGTTTGGCATCTGCGTTCTTTTCGTTAGGAAAGGCGCGGGAAGAGGATGACTCCCTGCTGCTGTCATCTTTGCGGCTGAACATGCCGCTGATGCGCGATGTCATGGTCGGCTTCCTAAGGGCTTTGGGTACAGCATCGTTGGTGGCAACGGCGCCGTTGGCGGCAGGTTTTACGGCCGGAGGAAGGGCAAGGTGGTCGGGTTGGGAGGTGGACGACGCCGTGGACACGGAGGGTACCGGGGAAGGGTTGGGGATGACGTCTCGAGCGTCAGGCTTGGCGGGAACGGCAGCCATGATAGTTGGAGCGCGTATAAGAGAAGGTGCAGACGACGGCTGGTGGTCGAAGAGGCGTGGGAGCGAGACGCAGGTGTCTCGAGGGCTGGGGCGCAGCCCAGAATCTGTTATTGTAGGCCTCGCAAAATGGCGTAGCTTCTCCTACGGCTGGTGGTGGAGACGAGGTTCGGGAGGGTGTTTTGCGTGTGGGTGGCCTGGGTGTAGGACGTCACCGTGAAGGTGTTGGGCGCCCACGATAGCGAAGGCGAAATGATGAAGGGGTCGCGGAAGAGGAGAGGAAGCGACGATGGCAAAGAGAGTCTCGGCAGTGTCGGTCAGCGATTTAGAAGGGGAGCTAGGCGCTGACTGGGAGGGAGAGCAGGTGGCCGAGGACGATCGGAGCGGATGATGTCGGTGACGGTCGCGGGGCGCGCAAGGCAGGCACGAGGATCTATCTATTGCGTGTGTGCGGGCGGGCACGAGAGGAGAGAGGGTTGATGAGAGGCGACGTTCGATGAGAGGAGCGCGGGGGGGTTTTGGAGGTTTGTGGGCGATTCCGGCGCGGTGCGTACAGGGTGCAGGGACGTGTTGTGTGAGCGAAGGGGGTTACCTACGGAGTGGGTGCGGGGACCGCAAATGAATGGGACGGGAGAGGAGAGGGAGCGGCGAGCAAGGCCAGAATTTGCACTGCCACTACTTGCGCGATTTAAAATATGGTTACATATTTTATGTGAACGACTGCCACCGCTACGACCACTGCGGCTAGTTATTCATCCTTTCATTATTCATCCGTGGGCGCTGTACTGTAGCTGCTGGCTCCTTCTTTTCCCCTCATTCCCACGACCAAAGCTGTTCCACTGTCGCTGGCGATGATGACCAAACGGAATAGGAGTGTGGCGGACTTGCTCAGACTGATTGGCACGGCACCTGCAGGGCGTCGTTCGCGCGGGCAACCTGGGGCAACTGGCAACTGGTTTGCGAGTGTTCCTCCTGGTACTGTGTCCACAGTACACAGGAACCAGGCTGGAGCCAGGCTGTGAAAAGATCCGGCTTGGGTCGGTTTGTTTCACCTTGTTGGCACCGCCACACTTCCTCGCTAGTGCCAAGCGAGAGTTTTCCCTGCGCTATGCCGCGTTGGGCCGGTGACGTCGGCAAGGGCACGTGCACCCGGCACTGAAGCTAGCGGCCCCTCCAGCTCGTCGATACTCCACCACCGCATGTACTCGGTACTCGGTACCCTGTGTCGAGTCCTGCCAACAAGTGACCGATGCGAACCTCACCGCTACTTGATATCAATGATGGGAGACTAGCTGAGGAAGCCGGTCGAGGAAGGAATTTCATGAGTGGGATGCTGCCTCATGTCTCATGTGTCTTTGATACTGAACAGCCCCTCTTCCAACTGCGGAGTACCGACTACACCTTCATCTCCGGCCACGACAGCCTCAAAATGTCCCTCCCTGGAGAAGCCGTCCCCACCTCCCCTTCCCCTTGATTTTTATCACGTCATCTGGAGGTTGCAGGTCAGATGGGCTGAACTCGAGCCTTGGAACTTGCTCGCGCTTTCTGTACATCGGATTACCAGATCAGCCATCATTGTACACAGTACACAGTATAGCCGAACCCGCCTGACGTCCGCTGCAAGCCTCATGCATGGCTCTGTTGAACGATTTGTTGCTCGCCTTCATCTCTCCCGAGATCCATTCCCCTGGTCCTGATCTATTTGCTTGGACTGCGGATGGAGTCGCTACTCGCCGCTCCACCCACTCCTTCAGGCCAGCAATCGGAGAGCTCCCCCTATTCCCCAGAAGCCGTGGTTGCATGGTCGTGTGTGCATACTGTGTACGCTGCCCCGCAAATCGGTCCCCATCCCACATCCCCTTATTCCATGCTCGTGGCCACTGTTCCCCGACTTATTGGACGCTGAGCTCCGACGCCGAGACGTTGCACAGAAGGACAATGGCATCATGTCTGCTTCTTGCATTCTGTTTACACAGTACAACGTCCGCTGCTTCTGCTTGAAGCCGGAATCCTGCACCGACGGAGCCTGCACCGACGGAGCCTGCACCGACGGGCCATCACGCCCGAATTCGCTGTGCTCCAGCCTTGAGATTGCGCAGGTGCGCTTCCTTCCTTGGCGGATTGGTAATTGAATATGTCGGTGATGCTGATTCCGGAAACTCCTCGCAGACAGCCCACCGCAGCTTCATTCGGCTTGTAGTGGTCTCGGCTTGTTGGCGCATATTATACTGTACTCCAACCTCAATCTGATAAGCGTATGCTTCGCTTGGGTGTTGCACTACTGCACAGAGCAAGTTCTCCCTCCACGCCATTCAAAGGACAGTGAGAGACTCCCCGCTTCCAAGAGCACCAAGCACCAACAAGTTCCTGTCCTGCAGCCGCCATCCATTGCTTTTTCTCTCTTCCGTCTCGTAATTGCATCATTCACCACCACCACCATCATTGCCACCAGCAGCATATTGGCCGCCCCCCTCTCTGAATCCTGCTGCACTGCATACATACGGACTCGAAGCCCAGAATACGAGCTTCGAGGTTACACCACCAACCGCAGACTCGCCAACAAGACCTTGTTCAGGGTCTTCTGCTTTCCCGCCGGCTTAGCTTAGCGTTGCTTGGTACTTGCTTGGGGGGTATTCTTGTTAGTACGTACGACCATCTGCCGACGACGCCTTGGCTTTTCTGCTTCCTGCGCTGCTGCAATGGGAAGGAGCGGTTGTCATGCGAGAATAGGCGGGGGAGCGGTCAGCATTGCGTAGCTCCTTTCATAGTTGCTGGCTTTGCAACTTGTGCCGATGCGTGACGGGATGTAGGCTATGAGAGGAGAAATCGCGGTAAGGACATATGCCAGTTATAGATAACCGTATAAGGAAATCAGCAGGTATATTCCCATATATGAGACTGCTATTCCGTTTCCCCAGGCCAATGCCGGAAAATCGTAAACATCATAGACGCTTCTACAGCAATCAAATCCATGAGCCCAGATGTAAACCTCACAGAAACGCCATAACCAGCTTTTCCCTTTCTCTTTCCCCCACTCTTCCTCAAATCTCACTCGAATGCGAATGCCCCATGCAAAAAATCCCGTGAAACTTCCCTCCCTCCTCAACCCCACCTCACTCACTCATACTCGCCCCTCGCCTGCTTCCCCCTCCTCCGATTCCCCTTGAAATGCTTCTTACTCTCCATCCGCAACTCGCTCGGATCCACATCCCGCTCCAACGCCGCCATGGTCTTGGCCTTGCGCCCGGACAGAGCTTTCACGCGCCCTTGCTCGCTGTACTGGTGGTGGAACGGCATCGTGATGCGCGCCATCCCTTGCCCGGGGCCGAAGAACTTCTTATCCATTTGCGCCGTCTTCTCGCCTGTGACGGGCGCGCCGGTCGTAGACACCATGGGATCCATATCCTCGAAATCGTCGTCTGCTGCTGCTGCGCCGTTGGTAAGGGCTGCGGACGCGGACGATGAAGGCGCGAGGGACAAGGCGTCCATGTGTGCGGAGAGCTGGGCGCGGCGTTTCGCAGGGAGATGATGGATATCGTAGAGCTCGCGATTGAAGTACTTCGGATCGATGGGCGGATCCGTCGGCGGGGGGTGGCAGAAGAGCAATTTCCCTTTCACATAGTCCTTTAGAATGAAGCGGGCGGCGCGCGACTCGTCGGGCTGACCGAGCCCCTGCGTCGAGAAGCCGCGAGCTGTCGCGTAGGCGCGGAGGAGCTCTTCGGCCGTGGGGACGCCCGTGCCGCCTTCTTCGAGCGGCCGGATGGCGATCTTCATGCCGTAGATGGCTTCGAGGAAAGGCTGGGGGATGCGCTGGGCGACGAGGGCGGCGGGGCCGGTATATTCGCGCAACTGGTCGATGGGGAGCACGCCCGAGCAGACGAGTTCGGCCTTTGTGGTGGCGAAGTTGGGGAAGACGAGGCCGGGGCAGTCGCACAGGATGACTTGGTCGCTCAGGTGGATGGTTTGGAAGTGTTTTGTTTTGCCGGGGGTGGCGGAGACGGAGACCTTCTTTGCGCCGATGAGGGCGTTGATGGTCGAGGATTTGCCTACGTTGGGGTAGCCTACGAGGCCGATTTGGGTCTTGCGCGGTTTGCCGTCGGGCCCCGTGTCGATTTGAGGGGAATGCGCGAGGAAGAGGTCTTCGAGTTCCGAGGTGGTGAGGATGCGGGTGAGTTCTGAGTCTTCTGAGAGGGGGACGCCGCCATCTGTAGTGGGTTGGTCGTGCTCCTGACTCTCCGTCTCTTTATTGGATTGCTCCCTTGAGGCTGCAGCGTCCTCAGGATCGATCTCCTCGACGTCATCCTCATCGATGTGGTCGTCCGAGTCTGAGTCTTCCTCGCTCTCCTCTTCGAGCTGGCGTGCCTCGTTCATCTCCTTTGCCAACTCGGCAGAGAAGAACTTGAAATTGATGCCCGCAGATACAAAATAGTCCGCCCATGCCTGTCGCTGCTCCAGAGTCATCATATCGGCCTTGTTTACCAGCAGCAGGTTATTCTTCTTCGGGTCCACCTCTTTGACATATTTCTCCAAATCCTCCGATCGGAAGAGCAGCGGGTTTCGCGCATCCACAATCTGCACAACGAGATCCGACCTCTCAATCACTCGCCACAGTTGCCTCCACACTTCCAGATTGCGCTCAAACGGCGTCATGAGCAGATCGTTATTCTCCTGCAATTCTGCCAGCCCTCTCCTCCACTGCATGAGCGAATCCCTCTCTCGCCGGTCCAGTTCCTGAGGCGTGGTCCGCTCGTCCCAGTGCGGTCGGCGCGGAACCGTTAGCCGCTGCCTGTTCTCCCTGTGTTTCCGGATAGTGGCGCGCTCCTCTGCTGCCGAAAGTAGATAGGGGTTCTTCTGATCTTTATGTATAATCTTCACATTGTTGATCCTCTCGGCTGTGAAATCCGTGCCCGCAAGCTCCGCAGTAGAAAGGAACTCGTCGAGTGCGCCTTGTTCCGTGACGGACCGCATCTTGACCCATGATGCTTGCTGTTTGGCGTTTGTAACGTACTGATTGTTCAGTTAGTAGCCGTACCGAGCTCGATACCTAAAGGCGACTCACAGTCTCTCCATTTGCACCTGTCCGCTTGATACCTTGTGCCTGGAGGTTGCCGCGGTGCATCTCCGAATTCTTGCCCTTCCCAAATCGATCGTTCATCAGGGCGTTGCCCAGCCCGACGCTCTTCTTCGATTTTGCCAGCACCATCTTGAACGGCAAATAGAACGTCGTATAGGGTAGGTAGTCTGTATAACGAGGTGCGGCGGGAGGTTTTGGCGGAGAAAGGTTCGGAGGTGAATCTATGCAGTAGACGTATTCGCCCCACCATCATTCACCCCTCGCCTAAATTTTATTCCCAACACCGGCTCCCCGCTACCTTTTGTCAGCATCTCTTCCACACAGCAGTCTCCCACGCCACCCTTCTCCGGATCCAGAGAATTCCAAGATTACACATCCGTCGCCCAACATGCCTCGTCGAAAGTTCATGTAAGCATCAAATTCAGCACGCAGTTGCAGAAGCCTAGGACCCGCTATCTAACCCCGCGCCAGCGACAAGAAGTCCGCAACCACCTTCCAGCTCGTCCACCGCGCGCAGAACGACCCGCGGATCCACGATGAAGATGCCCCGGATATGGTGTTCAGGGAGGTGGCGGCGCCGAATCAGCGCCAGGCCTCCGAGGCGGCGGGTAGTTCGCGAGCGTCGCAATATTCTGCGGCCTCGGGGCGGAGCAAGATCAAGTCCAGGGGCGATCTGGAGAGCGAGTTTGGAGATCGCGTGAGGAAGAATGAGGGAGAGGCTGCCAACTACGGGATCTACTACGATGACACGGAATATGACTACATGCAGCATATGCGGGACTTGGGGACGGGTGGGGGAGAGGCATACTTTGTCGAGGCGCCTAGTCAGAAGAAGGGGAAGGGGAAGGGCAAGATGGACCTGGCAGACGCTCTGGCGCAGGCGAGTCTTGACGACAGGCAAAGCGAAGCTGGAATCAGTGTTAGCAGCAGCGTGAGCAGGACCGCGAGTGACATCTTTGGGGAGGATATGGCGCCGTCGGAGTTCGTCAGGAAGACTACGTATCAGGATCAACAGAATATTCCGGATGCGATTGCGGGCTTCCAACCGGATATGGATCCTAGGCTAAGGGAGGTGTTGGAAGCTCTGGACGATGACGCGTATGTGGATGAGGATGAAGACATCTTTGCCGAACTTGCAGGAGACGCGGTGGAGGTGGATCCCGGAGAGTGGGAGGAGACGATGGACCGGTTCTTCGAGGACGATGATGAAGGTTGGGAATCGGACGACACGATCAAAGCTCGCTCACCTGCGGGAGGTGTGTCATTGGAGTCTAAACAAGAGAATGGCCCGGTTGAACCAACGGATCCCAACTCGTTACCTGAACCAGATGCTGTTCCCGCACCAACAGAAGAAGGCGACGACGCCTGGATGGACGAATTCAACAAGTTCAAGAAAGACGTCAAGGCTGCCAAGGCTACACCCAAACCCAACGCTCCCTCCGCATATCAGCAATCAATACACACAACAGCATCAGCATTGCTCGCCGGTGGTAGATCAAAAAAAAGGAAAGGGGCCCTCACCAATCCCTCTAGCTACAGCATGACATCCTCTGCTCTCCACCGCACGGAAGCTCTCTCACTTCTGGATGAGCGATTCGACAAGATTGAGGAAGAGTACGCTGCCGAAGACTTCCCGGATGACACATCCATGATGTCCGGCATGAGCAGGATGACGGGTCTGAGCAAGATGTCGGGCATGACTGGCATGTCCAGCATGAGTGAAGCACCTCAGCTACGCTCTGATTTCGACAGCATCATGGATGACTTCTTGGGGAGTCATTCCATGGCTGGGAAGCGGAGGGTGAAGAAGGGCCGCCAGCAGACGGGATTGGAGCAGCTGGATGAGATTCGCAGTGGTTTAGGGCCCGCGCGTGTGAAGACGCAGAAGGTGTCTATGCGTTAGAGGAGTTTGATGATGAACCTCTGGAAACGATTTGATGGAGGTCGCCTCCTTGCATTATACATTGGTAAAACGGCGTAAAGGTTCGTTAGGGCGTTGGAGTGCACGCCTGACAAAGGGTCGATGACATGATACCCAGGGGCAAAAGCTAGATGAATGATATTTGATTGAGATTCAGCACTTGCTCCTCGACTGGTGCTTGGGCGGGTATCTAAGTATGGATGATTATTGCCCACTCCGTCAGTGATGTCTCTCCTTCGTTGGGCCATACCTTCAGCCCGGAGGCTTTTGAGGGTACTTGGCCCATTCTGGCTGGCGATGTGCTTCTGTACGGCCGAGCTTGGTGTGTTTTTGGCCCCGCCAATATATCTTTTCGCAACCTAGCCTCCGTTGTTCCCTCAAGCAGGTAGGACAGCGGTAATGAAAGCCTCCAGCCCTTTCTCAAACATGTCGTTCGCAACGCCAATACCTCCCGGGTGCTCCACCGGTGCCAGGGGGTTTTTCACGACAAACTCCACCCACAGGTTGGCCCATATTTGATGCAGATACGGCCTCATATTATTCTGCTTCGTGTCGGTGAGCATGACGAATTTCATGCGCGTCGCCGTCTCGTAGTAGTGGAGCTTGTATTCGCCCGTGCGGTAGGACAGAAAGGTAGCGTCATCGCCTCCGAGCTTCCGGACCATGTTCCGGAGGGAGAAGACGAGACCGAAGATGAGCTTCTCGTCGTCGGAGTGGGAATTGGCTTTGCGGACGGCGGCGTCGCCAGTGCTGGTTACGCTGGACCCGGATTGCGGGCGCGCGGCCTTACTGCTGGAGGAGGCGGGCCGCGGTGTCCATCGACGGCTGTAGATACACTCGGCTGGGGGGAGGTTAGCAAAAAGCAAGGACGACCCCCAGGATAAAGCTGGTGCTCACTATGGCGGTCGAAGATGTAGAATGAATAGAGCACCATGGCGCGGCCCCGACTGACTGTCGAAAGTGAGCCTCGCTGGCCCCGCTGAGGTCTGAATATGAGAATTGCGATGCTGGCGGGGGAGGAATCTATCGGGAATGTCAAGGGCGGCGGGACGTTCGACGTTCACCCTGACCCCCGCCAAGCGCTGGATGAAGTGATCTGATGCATGGATTGCTGTGGATGCTCCACCGCGGGGACTAAATACGGGCTGCTCCTGGCCTTGTTCTACTTAAATAACTTTGTTGCCTGAGGCTGCACGATCCTACACCGGAACGCCCTATCCACGCTTCTCCTGAATTGAAGTTCACATTTACTGCCCAGCGCTGAAGAACCCCGCTGCCGTCCTCCGCTGTCCAAGGCCCTTCCCCACCTTTTTCCGGACGTCACATTTCTCTTGCTGGTCCCATATCGGTCCCGCCCGCCTCCTAACAAGGGCGCCGAAATGCCGCCTGTCGTGGCCAAGCAGCCGTCAGAGTCGGATATCCCCGGCATCCATTCTTCACATAATATCTCGCTGCACATCTCCACCGATGGCGATTCAGGACGGCCTGCTCCTGTCAAGTATATGTTCGTCTGCTGACCCCGCTACCCTTCACCCCCCGCTGACCCTCGCCCACCCCAGGTCAACGCCCGGCTACCACAGTCCCCTCCGGCACCACAAGAGAGCTGCTTCGTCGACGCGGCACGTCAAGGTCCGACAGCTCCTCTCTCACCCTCGAGGCCTATACCCGCTAAATTGTGCCTAGGAGACACTCAATGCGCGCTCCGAGTACAGCAACAGCGAGGACGATGGGACGGCACAGCATCGCATCAACCAGTACCTGATCAAACAGGAAATAGGCCGAGGCTCCTTCGGGGCCGTACACCTGGCTGTGGACCAGTATGGCCAAGAATATGTGAGGATCCTCCTCCTCGGGCACTGAACAACATGGAGGACGGCGACGACCATCACCCAGTCTGATGCGCGTGGCCTACACAGACATCGCCATGGACCCTCGCTGACGCGCTGCCAACAGGCTGTCAAGGAGTTCTCCAAGTCCCGCCTGCGGAAACGGGCTCAGTCGAACCTGCTGCGTCGCCCGAGCACGAGGCGGCGCCGACAAAATGCCCTTCCTGCAAGGCTGGGATTCAACTCCCCCTTACATCGACATTCTTCCTCCGAGGAAAACAACTCACTGGACCTCATCAAGGAGGAGATTGCTATCATGAAGAAGCTCAACCACCCGAACCTCGTCTCGTTGATTGAAGTGCTCGACGACCCTGAAGAGGATTCGCTGTACATGGTCATGGAGATGTGTAAGAAAGGGGTCGTGATGCAGGTAGGTCTTGACGAGAGAGCGGATCCGTACCCGGAAGAACAGTGCCGCTGCTGGTTCCGGGATATGATTCTGGGTATCGAATATCGTACGTTCGTTGCGATACGGCCTCATCATACCATTTACTGATAACCTTTGCAGTGCATGCCCAGGGAATCATACACCGAGATATCAAGCCTGATAACTGCCTGGTGACAGAAGATGACGTCTTGAAGATTGTTGATTTCGGGGTGTCCGAGATGTTCGATAAGCAAGACGAGATGAAGACGGCCAAATCTGCCGGCTCGCCCGCTTTCATGCCTCCTGAGTTGTGTGTGGCAAAGCATGGCCATGTATCTGGGCGTGCGGCGGACATATGGTCCATGGGAGTGACCTTGTATTGCTTGCTCTTCGGACGAATACCTTTTGAGAAGACCAACATGCTTGAACTGTACCATGCAATTCGAGAGGACGATTTGGAGATACCTTCCACATGCGGCGACGACCTCAAGGACCTCTTGCTACGGCTGTTGGAAAAGATTCCCGAGAAACGGATCACCATGGATCAACTGCGCGTGAGTAGAGCCAAATCCATGTTTCGTACAGGCTGACATAGGTTAGGAACATCCATGGGTAACGTTGAAAGGGACGGATCCTCTCCTACCCACGTCGGAGAATGTGGCTGTACTAGTCGAGCCTACTGATGAGGAGGTCGAAGCGGCTATTACGGGCAACATGGGCCATCTAGTTACAGTGGTGGGTTTGCCACCTATGACGTTCCTTGATATGATGGCTTACTTTTGTTCTAGGTCCGCGCTGTGAAGCGCTTCAAACAGCTCCTCTTTCGAAAACGACCAGAGCGTATGGAGGGTCTACTTGGGAGTCCCGCTCGCTTGGTGCAGCCGCCTTTATCAATGCGTCCATCTAGTCTACGCAAGGCCAAATCGCAAGACACCGACAACCGTCGAGCGGTAGAAAGCGCTCTGACTGCAGAGGGGGTTCACCGGGATATCAAATTCGATGATAACCTACATCGACATCCGGAAGAGCCTCTGTCGCCAGCGAGTGATAAGAAGGCATTCTTCGAACCACGCAGCGCAGAGAAGCCAATACCGACTGATGATACGACTGCAGGTGCTCCGCCGCCTGGGACCAGAACCGAAACCAAGACCGTGACCGCATCACCTCCTTACTCTCCCCCTAAATCCGACGCCATCACCATTCCCTCCGTACCTGTCCCATCCGACCCTTCCACACCCACAATCGGCAAGGGTCACGCCCACGACCCACTGGAAGATACCCTCTTCCTCAACATTGGTACCGGCGAAGACTGCGACGTGAGCAACTCGGCCGTCCCCATTGTCTCCGAGTCCCCCTCCAACGCCGATATTAACATCTACGAAACCGCCTACCAAGAAGTCATCCAGCGCCTCACGCAACAGAGGCAAACGCAGGGTCGTCGCCCAACGCTGTACCTCACGCGGCGCGTCGAAAACGCAAAGTCGCTCCAGGACAACAAGGAACTCATTGTAGATGGAGGGCGCACGCGGGATGAGCTCAAGGCGTCGATCAAGAAGATGGTGAAGAAGGCGCAGCGGCCGTTGGATGAGAGGGCGGAGATGCAGAGGTTGGAAGGGAAGGAGGATTTGATCAGCCGGGGTTGGAGAGGGGTCAGGGAGTTTAAGGATTTGGTGGATGAGGCGAGGGAGATTGTGAGGGAGGAGGAGAGGAGGGATGGGAAGAGGGTTGATTGCGCGCCTGAGTCTGGGCCTGGAGTGGGGGATAGCAAGAGGAGTAGGAGTGTGACGCCCTCGTCGGGAACTGTGAAGACGGGGCCGGAGAATGTACTCGCGTTGATGACGAAGGGGAGTGGGAGCGGGACGCCGGTGTTAGGGGAGGGGTCGGTTGTTTAGGTGGGATGAGGGTTAGTTTCTCCTGCACGATGGGGTTCTGGTTTTGTATGAAGCTTTTGAGCATGTCTCTGGCGATCTGGACAGCGACCGAGCGAGTGGGGTTGTGAAAGTTGCAATGTGGCATAGAACACGGCATACCTACTGCGGGTGAGAATGACATTGGAATTTGGAGCTGTAGATCAGTCTGCGACCTATGGATGCCAATGTGTTTGTATGGCATATTCCCCTGTTCTTCCGGATTGAATGTACATGTGTTGAAGAATCCGTTGATAAATGCGATGTCATTAGTGTGCTTACAAGTGGGCGATGTGCACACGATACACTTATGTCAATCATCCTCTATCCCTTCATGCAAATCCCTCCCACTTCCATACAAAACCTCGCAAACGCCGCCAATGGGCACATCGAGCACCGCATCGGTGCCCATACTCCACAACGCCCTCCAATCCACGTCCTCCCCAGCGCCAAACCGATACCTCGCCACCTCATCCTCCACCGCCCTCCTCTGCTCCTCGCCGCCGCCACCACCCCTCGCCTTCCTCACAATCCTCCCCGTCCTCGCATCCACAACCGCAACCTGCGCGCACTCATCCGTCAAACACTCGACACTCCCGACCGGCAGCGTCAAGTACCCCGTATTATAACTCGCGAGCGCGACATAGATCCACAAGACCCAGACGACCAACCAGCAAGGCACGGCGAGGGCCCACCAGCGATTCGGATAGTAATGGATCCCCATCTGGCTCAGTAAAGGCGAGGGCACGTACGCCCAGACCAGATACAGCAGGAAGGCGAGGCTGCTGGCGAGGTACAGCGCGAAGCCGTAGTACTCGTACGTGGGCACTTTTGGGGAGGCGCGCGGGGGGATGGGCGGGGCCGAGGCGCCGAGGTTGGCGAGCGTGGTCGTCGAGGTCGAGTTTGTTGGGGTTGTGGGGGGGAGGTCGGCGTCCGAGGAGTCTGGGGTGCTGGTGTAGGTTGAGTGGGAGGGGGTGGGGGTGCGGGTCGTGGTGAATGTTGGGCGGAGGAGAGAGGTTAGGGAGGGGGAAGGGGGGAGGGGGTTGGGTGGGCGGTTGTAGAAGGGGGGGAAGAGGGAGTGGGAGCGGGAGGGGTGGAGGGGACGCGGGTTGTGGTTCTGTTCGTCGGAATCGGAGTTGGAGGCTGATGAGGGGGAGGAGGACGAGGAGGATGGGTATGGGATTGGTGTTGTGTTCGCGTATGGGTCGTCGTCCTCGCCGTCATCGTTGTCGTCTGCGGTTTCGGGGGTGGTTGTATTGTCTTCTGGAGGTATGGGACTGTGTTCAAGAACATGTTTCTCTTGGGACTTCGGTTCCCCGCGTCGAGTGGGTATGGGCGCAGGCTTCAATATGGAGGAGGAGTCGGTCGGCTTGTTGGGTGCATGGCGTCCGGAGGCTACTTCGGAAGCTCGGAGGGAATGGACCGTGGGAAGATTGGGTGTAGACTTGGATTGGAAGCCTGGCGGGACTGGAGACCCTCTGCTTTTGGGTGGCATTGCGGTGAGGAAGACTGTGGTGTGGAAAAGACCTTTTTGGTGGTTGAGCAGACGTCAAAAGCAACCTTGGAGGTGAGGTTGAGCCGAGCCGCATCTGCATGGGCCGACCGGGGGGGTTTGGGGAGCAGGGGGCAGGGGCCACCCGTTTGTGGGGTAAAGGCGCCGCTTTCCTCGGTACGCATTCCGACTCCACCTCTCTCCTCCGCAACCTGGAATTCTCTCCTTTAAACCTTCCCATGCATCCGCGAGTCCAACTCCGATTCTATCCTGAGTTTTGGAGCTCGTTCACTTCGGTGCGTTCTAATCCTCCCTGTCCGTCGCCTATTCTCATCTCCGCTATCCCTGTCCTAGATCGAAGCGATGAGCTGACGTTCCACGTGGCTTAGGAGCCTTTCTAAGGGCATGTCAACGGTCACACCGCAGCGATGCCACTTCCAACGCAATCTTTCCCTTCAGCCGCGCACCCGATTCTGCTGGTATCGCCGCCTGACAGCAAATCCCACTCGGGTACTCAAGGCCTACGCAGACGGCTTTTCCCAGTGTTCCACTTGGCACTCGGGAATTCTCGTGTCGGCTTCTTGGCGAACGTCTCACCTTGCAGTCGTCATTGAAGTCCGACAAGTTTCCCTCCTCCAATTCCCAACTTCCTCCCCCGCGAGATCCACGATACGCACTGCGCAGCCATGAACTGTCCCTCGCGCACTGACGACGTCGATCTGAACCCCGGGTGGAACCAGAACCCGCCGTTTCTCGCCGCAGACCTCACCACATGCGAGGACCTCAACGGCATGATTAATGCCAGACAGCTCAAGCGCGACAGCAGAGGAGGTAGCCATCCGACGGATGACAGCCTGAGAGAAGAATACCTGGCCAGATCATCCAAGATGCAGCCCGATCGCTCCCGCTCCATCTTGGGCGGATGGGCCTTGTGGCTCCTCTCCGTCTTTCTCACAGCATTCATACTATCTAATCTCCATATTTTCAGACTTTCCACCCTGAAGACGCTTATCGACGTCTTCCAAAAGGACTCTATGGGTGAGTTGGCCCCTCATTGCTGATCCCCCATCAGACCGTTGGCTGACCGCATGGATCCTGCAGCCCAGCCACGCAGGCCACTGTCCAAAAGGGCCACCTGTGCAACTGGAGGCGTAAACAAAGCCGACTACGATGTGCCATTGCACGTTGGCGCTCTATTCGTCATCCTTTTCGTCTCAGCTACAGGTTGCGCCTTCCCCATGCTCGTCCTCAAGTTTCCAAAGCTGCGAATTCCAGCATCCTTTCTGTTCACTGCAAGGCATTTTGGAACAGGCGTCCTCATTGCGACAGCATTCGTCCATTTGCTTCCTACCGCTTTCCTTTCGCTTGGTAATCCCTGTTTATCCTCATTCTGGACCGACGACTATCCCGCCATGCCTGGCGCGATTGCGCTGGCCGCCGTCTTCATGCTCACTGTCATAGAGATGAGCTTTTCGCCTGGAAGGACCTTGTGCTGCAGCGGACAAGGGGATTTGGAATCGGTGTCACGGAGGAAACAGGCACAGGAGGAGGACGGCTGTGCAGCACAACCCCAACCTTCAACCCGTCGCAAGCCACCGCGGCCTCAATTGGCCACCGTAGTAGACGGAAGTTCTCCATTGCGCGACAAAGGCCCCCTGTTTGGAAGATCTTCAAGCTTTAGCCGCACTCTTGCGCGTTTGGGCGAAGAAAGCAGGGAATTGGACCAGGTCGAGCTTTCCCAACTCAGGGAGCAGTCGAAGAAGATGGATAGCGACGATACCATCGTCAATCTAGATGATGCAGACACGCCTTCCGAGTCGAGTGATTCCTCCGAGGAGTTGCATGCGCATAAGCGAGCTGTCCTGCAGGTCATGCTGCTGGAGATGGGTATTTTGTTTCATAGCGTTTTCATTGGCATGTCTTTGTCTGTTTCGATCGGGAGCGACTTCATTGTCCTCCTGATCGCCATCATCTTCCATCGTAAGTATTCCCATCCCCCCCCCCCCCCCCCCCCCCACTTATCTTTGCAAGTCGTCATGATTGACCAGGTTACAGAGACTTTTGAAGGTCTGGCTCTAGGTGCTCGCATTGCTTCCATCAAATGGCCGAACAATGCCATGCAACCATGGATCATGGCGTTTGCATATGGATGCACGTACGTTGAATCCAAGTCGTAGGAGAATTCGTTCGCTTACATGATGATAGGACTCCGGTTGGACAGGCTATTGGTCTTGCCACGCATACGTTGTACAGGCCAGATTCCGAAGTCGGGCTTCTTGTGGTCGGTATCATGAATGCCATTTCGGCCGGTCTCCTGATTTTTGCATCGCTCGTAGAGCTGCTATCTGAGGACTTCCTCAGCGATGAGAGCTGGCGTGTCCTCAGAGGCAAGCGGCGTGTATGGGCATGCGTCCTTGTATTTCTGGGCGCCTTCCTTATGAGCCTGGTTGGTGCTTGGGCGTAGTCGTCTCCTGTGTGCTGCTCTGGAATATGGGCAGGACTCAGGAGTTTGTGATACCCCCTACTGAGGTTACTGAGGTGTCTGGCATGCGGGAACGGTGAAAAGCTGCCATGTCGATGTTGGTAAGATGTCTGTTACGAAGATACTAGAGTTGATATGTTTTGTATCCGTATGGCTGGCCTTTCGGCCCATTACTGTTTATTACTGTCTACGAGGGAAATAGGAGCCGCTCAGACCTCTGATCTGTTTCATGGCTCATACAGAAGTCCTCCTTCCGAGCTATACAGGGACGATTTATGTCAGGGTATAGAGCGAATAGTTAGAGATACCATGCAGTGCTGCAAAGCGAAGCGTGGAGATTGCGGTCTGAAGAACTTCGAGCCAGTGAAACCACGACCAAAGAAAGATCAAAGGGGCCTAGGAGAAAACGCTCTTCGGAATCAAAGTATTGCTGCTCTCCTCCTGCAAGAACTCGGATGGACAGATATATCACCTCACCCGCCATCAGGAATGTCATCCCATCCGCATCGGCAATTCCACGGCATCTCCCAACCTTTGGAGATGTTGAACCTCCGAGCCTCGGCAAAAACGCGAGACCGCGGCGCGGGGGAGCTGTGAGCTCTGACCCTCACGCCAGACTCCACTCCAGTCCGGGGATATCATTACCTCTACTTCAAAACTCGCCATGTCCGAGTCGGACCTGCTCTTTTCCCTTCAATTCCCACAGACCTCCTCCCTGACCTTTTTTGCTTTCTTCTTCCAGTTCCAGACCCGGCTTTAAATTGAAAGCGCCCTTTCACCGTTCACTATGTCCGAACTCCTCGTCAACTCCCAGCACGGCCACCTGAGCGCCTCGCAGCGCATCCCGGCCATTGCCAGACCTTTTGTCAGCGAGCGTGCTGCAAAGGCCCTGGACCTTGTGAGTCTCGAGACGATTCCCAAGTCTTATCCCAAGAGATAGACTAACACGCTGCCATACAGGTCGAGAAGTTCGTCGAGGAGGAATGTATCCCCGCCGATGCCGTCTACCTGCGGCAGATTGGTCAGACGACGCAGGAGCGTTTCTCCGCACACCCTCCCGTCCTTGAGGACCTGAAGAAGAGGGCCCGGGAGCTGGGTCTGTGGAACATGTTCCTGCCCAAGAACCACTTCAAGGAGGGTGCTGGCTTCAGCAACCTCGAGTACGGCCTCATGGCCGAGTACCTTGGCAAGAGCGTGACGGCCAGCGAGGTATGTTATACAGGAAGAAGTTTCTTTCGTCGAATTGGAGACTGAATCCTTTCCTAGGCTACCAACTGCGCCGCCCCGGACACTGGCAACATGGAGGTGCTCGCCAAGTACGGCAACGAGGAGCAGAAGCGTCGCTGGCTCGACCCGCTTCTGGAGGGCAAGATCCGCTCTGCTTTCCTCATGACGGAGCCCCAGGTTGCGTCCAGCGATGCCACCAACATTGAACTGTCCATCAAGCGTGATGGCGATCACTACGTCCTCAACGGCCAGGTACGTCCTCTACCGCATCCCGTCTATACCCCTATCTTCTCCCACCACCACCATCACTATCACCGCCACACTTGCACTAACTTCCCCCTTCACAGAAATGGTGGTCCTCGGGCGTCGGCGACCCCCGCTGCGAAATCTACATCGTCCTAGGCAAAACCGACCCCAACAACGCCAACAAGTACAAACAACAATCCGTCATCCTGGTCCCGCACAACACACCCGGCATCACCGTCGAGCGCATGCTCTCCGTCATGGGCTACGACGACGCCCCCCATGGCCACGGGCACGTCATCTTCAACAACGTGCGCGTCCCCGCCGCCAACATGGTCCTCGGCGAGGGCCGCGGCTTCGAAATCATCCAGGGCCGCCTGGGCCCCGGGCGAATCCACCACGCCATGCGCAGCATCGGCGCCGCCGAAAAGGCCCTCGAGTGGTTCCTCGCGCGCCTCAACGACCCGCGCAAGAAGCCTTTCGGCGAGATGCTGCACAAGCACGGCATCATGCTCGAGCGGGTCGCGCGCTCGCGCATCGAGATTGACGCCGCGAGGCTCGCTGTCCTGAACGCCGCCATCAAGATCGACGAGTCGGATGCCAAGGGCGCGCTCAAGGAGATTGCGGAGGTCAAAGTCTTGGTGCCCGCTGTGAATCTAAAGGTCATCGATTGGGCTATCCAGGCTTATGGTGGTGCCGGCGTCTCGCAGGAGACGCCGCTGGCGAGCATGTATGGGTCTGGCAGGACGATGCGGATTGTTGATGGGCCTGATGAGGTGCATTTGCTGCAGTTGGGCAGGAACGAGAATAAGCGGGGGTTGGCGCACAAGGCGAGATTGGAGGCGCAGAAGAAAAAGGGCGAGGAGCTGTGCAGGAAGTATGGGCTTGAGCCCGTGGATCCGTTGTACCTCGGCCGGAAGTCGGGGGAGTCGAGTAAGTTGTAGATAAGTAAGTACATAAGTGGGTTTGTAAGTGAACAAAGGGGTGAGGTGATGTCGAAAAGATATACGCAGTTGGATTAATTGCATGATTGGACACAAGCCCCTGACTTTACCACCTGAATCGTCTCTCCCACATGCCGTAACCCACTCGACACGACCGGAAAGCAAAGTTAAGAAAGGCTAATACAAAGCCTCACTAATCTCCAACAAATCACTGTCCATCCTCCTCTTCGCCCCGACACCCACCTCGCGCCGCTCATCCCCCAACATCTCCCTATACCCCATCTCGACCAACCTCTTGACGCCCTCATACCCAAACGCCTCTCTCTGCGCCGTACCCCTCACTCCAAACCCTTTCCCCTCCTTCTTCGCCCGCTTGACCACCTCCTCGGGCCCCGCGAGGAAGAGATCGAACCACAGCGCCGCGGCAGGTAATCCCGCGTCCGGCTCGGGGGAAATTGTCTTGAGGTTCTGCTGCAGGACGAGGATGTTGAGTTGCATGTGTTTGGCGCCGTTTTCGTTGAGCGAGGCGAGGCGCGAGGAGGCGAGGTGGAGGAGGCAGGCATCCATCAGGGGCGCGAGGTGGGAGGTGAGGAAGGGGAGCACGGAGGCGGGGACGTGCGAGGAGGTGAGGGTGTCGAAGGCGATGAGGGTGGTGTTGAGGGCGAGGATGGCCGGGTCCGGGTCATTGAGCGGCGTGTCGAGCGTGTAGGGTTTGTTTTGGGGGAGCGAGGTCGAGAGGGAGTGGATGATTTGCGTGCGGAGGGCTAGGTGGAGCGTTTTGAGGGATGTGGTGGAGAGGGTGTTGTAGGCTGTTAGGACAGCGTCGAAGGCTCTGTGGGGAGTTAGCATGCTGGTGCAGGAAATTGGGGTGTCGAGTGTCGACTATGGAATGGGAGAACGTACTGTGCTGTCTCCTTGTTCAGGGGCAGATAGACGGGCAACCCCTCTCTGAGCGGCTCCGTGGATGAGAGCAGCGTCCACCGACGACTATGCCGCACATGGGAGCTGCCGGATTCAGGATGTGAGGAGTCGGTCGCACGATCGCTGATATGGCGGAGCTGTGCCAGTTTCGTCGCTAACCATTTCATGCTCGTATACAACAAGCACAGCCCCACGATATTCTTCTTCTCCTCAATCATATCGACCTGATCCAGCGGGTCCTTTTCCGTCTCTGCAAGCAATAGCGAAACCTCCTCATCAGCGAGGTCCTGTGCTGTAGCAGACTCAGCCGTCATCAATGAGCTTATCACCTGGGCGAGCTCGCCAGATTCCGCATATGCGGCGGCAGCTCTTATGCGCCGGCCACTTTCTGTTGGGTGACTACGGCTAACGAGGGCCTTGTACCAGCCATTGCATTTGTCGGCATAGGTGTTCATTTGGGCAATGATGAGGTGGCTGAAGGCCTGGTCATGAGGCAGGTTGTCCAGCATCTTGCAAAATGCCGTAACAATCTGGAAAAACTTCGCCGTACCCTAGGAATGTCAGACGTTCCTCCTGTCAGTTCAGGGCTTCGGACCTAAAACTTACCTTGAAGATCGGCTTCTTGGAATATTGTGCCCATTGCGGCTCCTGCTGGAAAGCATCCAGATCAATGAACGTCTGTGCAGCCATCTCGGCCAGTGTCTCGTCGAGCTGCGGCTGGAATACATTGACCAGGAAGTCGTCCAGAAACGATGTCAAAGTGCTCATGACGATGTCCGTTCCAGGTGGAACCACCTCTTTCAGTCTGTTCAAGAACTCCAACGAAGGAGGTAACAGCGTGCCCATGTTAAAGACACTGGGTTCAACCAACAGCTTGTGTCCTGTTGCGCTGCCGTCCAAGCTCGAGTTGTTGTTTTCATTCATCTCTTCTGGCCTCTTGGAGTCGGATACCAGGCCAGGCACGGACGACTTAAGGATGAACTCAAGATCCTCTCTTTCCGTAGTCAATTCTGTGGATTTGAGATCCATGTCTGCGAGTTTGAACATCCGCTTGTTCCGGTCCCTGGGAGCGCGTGAGAACGGACTTCCATTGGCAGCCTTGCCTTGTCCTCCTCGGTATGACAAATCGCCGTCAGTCGCGAGGTAATCGTGGAGCAGAGACCGCATCTGAGAACAGCTTAGTCGAGTAATACATCGTAAAGTCAATGCGGACTTACTTCGCTTTGATAGAGCTTCCACAATTCTTTGAATCCTCGCGTCAGGGTCGCACTTGTCGTCTCCCCAATCCCCTCACGACGCACGACTCCGCTGATCACATCATGGACGACCCGGTGGCCTTCAGCAATCGCCTCAAACCGCGCATAGAGAGTCCACAGGAGATCTTTGAGGAGCGAGGTACGTAGCTCATCGTTGTCCGCAGTTGTAGAGGCCATGGCATTCTTACGACTTGCATAGGCTCTGAGTACACTCGGATGTCGTTGCGCGACCTCGTTGTTTGACTTCTCGACGACCTTGAACAGTTCCATGGGAAGGCGTTGCTCGATCGTGTCTACCGCTATGTCGAGGCGATCCATCTTGTTGAGAGACTCTATCAGAAGTTGGAGATAGGAGAATGTGTCTGCTTCAGGGTTCCGAGGGGAGTCGTCGCTCATCTGATCAATCAGTACAGCAATCTGAGAATGTACCACCCACTGGATCTTACCGGCTCCGACGGGTCTAGTCTTTCCAGGAAATCATATAGCGGCCGCCCGCGCCCTTCTGCATGGACGCGTTCTGAAAGCTCGCCTTTGGATTGATTGTGAGCATACATCTTCCAACGGTCCTCGCAGTACGGTGACTTTAGATACAGATGGTTGTGCAACTCCTCAATTAAGATATCAGTTAACGAATGCTCTTGGTTACTCAGGTAAATGCGCAACTCGCTCAACGCGCCGATTCCCTGCATATCGGACCTTCGGATCATGCGCAGGGCATCTTGCAGAATGTCGACAGCTTTGAGGAATTGTTTCTCTGAAATGCGTGCCTCGAGTTTATCCGGTACGAGTTGAAGTTGCTCGATCATGTTCAGCATTTGTATCATTTCGTCGTAACCTTGCGAAGTTGTTGCGAATTCCTTGAGCTCCGGCTTGGTAGTGGAAAGTTGGGATTTGGCAAGGGCTAGCGAGTCTTTAAGGGCCCTGACGCGATATTGTGACACTTGGAGGCTGTTTTGAATCTTGTGAAATGTGCCAATCGAGCTGTTGAACCCTTGGTGGTGTTCTGAACACTGACTTAGCATATTTTTCCATTCGGCTGAGGTAATGTACAGGGTCCTCACCATTGACAATTGCTTTCAATGCGCGCTGCAGGTCCTGATGAGTACTCTGGAAGCGATCAAATTGGTCGGCAAGTCCTAATGAGCTTGAATCCATCAGTTTAAGAGCAATCTCGATTGGCACGCATTTCTCGTTCGTCATGAAGTCGAAGTTCTCATGTATATACTTCAGAATTTCTACAAGGTTGTCAGCAACAGCTACTACACAGCAGAGCACTCTTCACTCCAAGAGTCTTCTCTTCCAAAAGCCTACGAACCTTCCATCTGCTGACTTCCAGCTCCATAACGACCAGCGTCTTGGCGATTTCTGCTTCTGCTAGAATCGCCGTGATACCGCATCTCATCACTTCTACGCCGTGCGTGTGACCGTTCCAGACTCGGCGGTCGTCCTACTCTTCTGCCATTCTCCTCGTATCCACTGTAGCCCCCGAGCACACCAGGCTGCCGGTCCTCCTCAGGCGGGGATACAAAGCCACCATATCCGCCGGGACGACGATCGCGTCGACTCTCGCCGCTGGGTCGTTGCCCATCAGACTCATCACGCCCTCCTTCATAACCGCCATACCCTCCATACCCGTTCGAGTATTCGCCGGGCCCGTTGGCTCCAGGACGCCGAGGCCCCGGACCGCGCGACATGTGGACCGGTAGAAATCTCGGCCTATAAGGAAATCATATGAAGCGCAGGATTCTGTTCTCTCTTTACAACATTGGCATGGCTGATACGATCAAAAGAGGGTACAGAAGACTCGCAAGATTATCTCCAGTGAGCAGGCAAGGAACGTGGGGTTAGGTAGATATTCATAGGACGTGCGGATGAATTCCCCTCAGAGGGATTGAACGGTTAGGAGTGGGCCGATTCGATACTGTTTGTAGTCCGTCGCTGCACCTTTGGTATTGCCGTCGAACGGGGAGGTAGGAAGTCGCGCCCGCTCTGCCAAGACTTCTGCTCCGCTAACCCCTGTCTGTTTAGCGTTATTGTTCGGCGCGGCCGGCTTGCCGCGTTGAAGCTCCTCCCTCTCACTGTTCCGCTGTTCCTCAGATTCTTTGTCGCAACCACCAACCCGCTTCCCTGTTCGACTCCGATGCTTGACATGTTCATTTAAAGTGCGCCAAACCTCCGCGATCTGGAAACAATCGACAGCCGCCGCGTTTCTGCCGACCGCAACGCGCCCATCATGGCAACGGCATGTACGAATGGTGCCAATGGCCTGAACGGCTTGGACGGCGGAGACCATGTGTTCCCTCCGGCGCGCTTCTCCAAAGTACCCCCGACTTTGCCTATCGCTGTACAGGATGAGGAGGGGGCTTTCGAGGTGGATATTCCCCTCGAGATCGAACATCTGGCCGACGATCCGAGCGAAACCTGTACCATGCTCGAGAACGAACAGAAACCTCCAAGCATTTGGATGACAGTCGCCATGGCCTATGCAAAGCACAGAAAAGTCGACCTTGCCATAGAGGTATTGAACAGGACGGTAACTTTCTTTGCGCGCGGCCGTTCAGAGGATAGACTGAGTATCCTCAACTGCCTCTGTTGGCTCTACCTTCTCAAGTGTCGCGAAGCACCCCGTGTGCGGCCAGGTAAGACATAGTCTTCCTCACAATGTGAACATTCTGACAGTTGTAGATGGCGCGGCCGATGGGGTAAGGACCAAGGAGTCCTACATCCAAGCAGCGACCGGTGTGCTCAACGACGCCTTACGAATCAATCCTTCTTATCCCCCGCTCAACCTCGCACGTGGCGTCCTCTGCCTTCTCCGCGCGTCTCTCCAACCCCCGGCGACCGCTGCTGGCTCGAATCAGATGAGCGCCGAGCGTATGGACGCACTGAAGCAGGCCGCTAAGAGCTTCGATGATGCGCTAAGGGCATCGCATGGGAAGAATCTGATGGCCCGTTTGGGCAAGGCTAGGGTGAATTATTCTATGGGCAAATACGCGGATGCACTCAAGCTGTACCAGTCGGTACTGGAAAGTTCTCCTTATCTCATAGATCCTGACCCTCGGATCGGTATCGGCTGTTGCTTCTGGCAGCTTGGTTTCAAGGACGATGCTGCTGGTGCTTGGGAAAGATCACTTGAGTTGGTGGGTTTACTGGTTCTCCAAAAGGATCGGTCTTGCTGATGACCTGCAGAATCCCCGCTCCAAGATTGCCCTCATCCTGCTTGGTCTCTATAACCTCCAGCGTGCGGCTCAGATACCTCCATCAGATCCAGAGTTCGCGAATGCGACAAAGAAGGCCATTGCAGACTACGTCGCGCAGTCGCTTCAACTGGATAACCTGTTTCCTTTGACCTGTGCGACCTTGGGAGGTTGGTTTGTGATTAGAAAGGCGCCGGACAAGGTTGAGACACTCGCGAGACGCGCCATTGAACTTACCGACGTCAATGACATAGCAAGCGACGGCTGGTACCATCTGGCACGGAAAGAACATCAGTTAAACAACAACACGAAGGCTATGGACTACTACACTCGGTCAGATAGAGCCCGCGGAGGCGAAGATCGGGGGTATATACCGTCCAAGTTCGGGATGGCCCAGATTCGGGTTCTGATGAATGACTTCGATGGAGCCAAGTTTCGGCTTGAAAAGCTCCTTCAACAGCAGCCCACCTTGGAGGCTCAAATCCTGCTCGGTACCCTCTATGCCGAAGACGTTTTTGCTGCTCAGGCAGCGAATTCCAAGGAAGACAAATCCAACGAACTCAAGAAGGCACTGAAGCACCTTGAAGATGTTGCCAAGGCGTGGAAGGATCCTAAGAGAAAGCTCACGCCAGATCGAGCCGTCCTCCTTAACCTTGCACGTCTCTATGAGATAGAAAATCCTGAGCGAAGCCTCAAGTGTCTGGAGGAAGTGGAAAAGCTGGAAATCGACGCAATACCCGAGGAGGACCGGCCCAATGACATTGAAGATGAAGCTCTCTATCAGTCCGCTCTGCGGGAAATGTTGCCTCCTCAGCTTCTCAACAATATGGCTTGTTTTCATTATCAAGCTGAGCGGTACGCCCAGGCTAGGGAGTTATTCCAAAATGCCTTGAATGCGTGTGTAAAGGCTGCAGCTAGAGACGACACCCTTGACACCGATGCTCTTGTCACCTCCATCAGCTACAACCTAGGCCGCACCTACGAATCTGAAGGCCTGTTGAGCGAGGCCAAGGATGTATACAACAACCTGCTCAAGCGTCATGCAGACTACGTGCATGCGCGGATTCGTCTGGCATACATTACGCTTCAGCAGAACCCTACCGGCGAAGGTCCGAAGGCCGTGGCTCAGCTGATGCAGGAGTATAAGGACAATCTAGAAGTGCAGGCGTTGTATGGCTGGTATTTGAACAGGTCGAAAACAAGGGCCGTCGATGTCGCTGCAGACAAGGAACAACGACACTGGAAATATGTCCTACAGGGCAACAATGGGGCGAACAAGCATGACCAGTACGCCCTCACTTCTTTGGGCAACGTCCATCTCACTGCAGCTCGCGAGATTCGAGGAACCGCCGAACAGGAAAAAGAGAAGCGTCGGAAAGCATACGAGAAGTCAGCCGAGTTCTTCGATAAGGTGCTCCAAGTTGATCCCAGGAACGCTTATGCGGCACAGGGCATTGCTATTGCCCTGATAGAGCACCGGAAAGATTTTGCGACTGGCCTGCAAATCTTGAACAAAGTCAAGGAGGTGCTGAGAGATTACAATGTCTACGTGAACTTGGGACACACATATTGTGAGCTAAAGCAATATTCGCGCGCCATCGAAAATGTAAGTAAAACTTGGACGAGTTGAGTACATATACTGACCTGTAGCAGTATGAGTTGGCGCGAGCGAGGGCGAAGCCCAACGATACATCCATCCTTGCTTGTCTCGGCCGCGTTTGGTTGATGCGGGGGAGACAAGAGAAGAGTCTTGCGGCGCTGAAGACTGCACTGGAATACTCTCAGCAGGCACTCAATATTGCGCCACAACAGGTGCACTTCCAGTTCAACGTCGCTTTTGTCCAGATGCAGATCGCCCAAACGATCTACAGCCTCAAGGAATCCGAAAGGACTCTGGAGGATGTCGAGAAAGCCAGTGCAGGGCTAGAAGAGGCCATTGAGACATTCACTGCCATCGCCAAATCAGATGCTGCCCGCTTCCCGCCACACGATATCGAACAGCGCGCAAGCATGGGTCGAAACACCATGCGGAGGCAGCTTGAACGTGTCAAGGAGAGCCAACAGAAATATGAGGAAGCGAACCAGAGCAAGCTCGAACAGGCACGTGCTCTGCGCGAAGCTGAGCTCAAGAAGCGTGAGGAAGAGCTCCGAAAAGCTGAAGAAGAGAAGGCGGAGCGGCGCCGCAAGATTCTGGAGGAGCAACAGAGGCTCCAAGAGCAGGACCGTGAATACATGGAGAAGCGCGCAGAAGAGGAGCGGCGACGCCAGGAGCTTATTGACGACAGTGAGATGCGCAAATCCGAACGGCGCAGGAAGGGCGGGAAACGCAAGAAGAAAGGCGACGTGGATGAATCTGAGATTGAGAGTGAATCTGATGGCCACGAGCGCTCCAGAAGACGCAGGACTAGCGCCTCTGCGACTGCAACTGAGGGCGTGACGGACGAGGACAGGCCACGCCAAAAGAAGCGAAAGCTCGAACGCAGGAAGAAGGAGCCTGCTGGCAAATACAAGTCTTCTGAGATGGTCATCGATAGTGACGAAGAACTGTTGGACGACGTTCCGCCAGCCGAGCCCGAGACTCCTGCTGCCGCCAATGGCGGTGAAGAGAGCGATGAAGAACAAGCGACGGCTCCGCGTGCGCGCAAGAATCGTGTCGTAGACGAAGACGAGGACGAAGATGAGACTCCTGGCTCTCCCAAGGCTCAGGCTAATGATGTTGCCATGGACGACGAGGACGAGTAGGGCTGGCCCAGTCATTCAATGGCAGGGCACGTTTAGAGACCTGGAGATCCGGCTTGAGTGGTTGCATACTTGGACGATGCGAATTACATAGGTTGCCGCGTTGAGTCCATCGGGGGCTGGTTTCTGGTGGATATACTGCATTAGCGCTCTGGCGTTTGGACAGTACTTTCTCGAGCCACTTGTATATCATAAACTGGAACGGACATGGAGTAGGTCATTCAGGTATGGGAAGTGACATATTTATCTTCCGACGGTTCTCGTGATCTTCTTGTGCTCATCCGACGTTTCTTCATCAGCACTTTGTGTGAGCTTTCGAATAGTGATCATCAACTGTGGCTGGTTAACAGCAGCCTCCCTACTATTGATGTAATGTAAGCTAGTGCACTGGTATAGGCTGCTATACAGCTCAACAAGATGATCATCCCTCTTCAGGCATCTAAATGATCCGCCCTTGGCATGAAATATGTATCTCAAGACAAACCCGGATCAATAGCACTTCGCATAAAGAAACAAAGTGCACCTGGTACCTTCAACGTGCCATGGTTATTATATCTCCGTCGATAGCTTCCATTCACATTAACGAGATATGTGTGGTTGAATCTACTACATATACTGATATGCGATGCTGAACAACGGTACAACACATCTATGCCAAACCACCTATTGGTATTTTACCCTGATTGTATACAAAACCTATTGTGTATATGAGCGACTACAGCTTCGCCTTGGACTGCTCTTTCTTCAGCATGGCCTCTGCAACGAGACGCCTCTGAATCTTGCCAGTGGCGGTCTTAGGCATGACATCCGTAAAGAAGACCTAGATTATTAGCCTGTGTACGTATGGAAAAGACGGATTCCACAGCCTACCTTTTTGGGCAGTTTGAATTTGGCAACCTTCTCAGACATGAAAGCTTTGAGCTCCTCGGCGTTCAACCTCTTGCCTTCCTTCACGACCACCGCGACGCCAACATCCTGACCATAGTGTTCGTCCTCGAGCGCGAAGCTGACAGCCTCCGATACTGAGGGATGCTGCGCGATGACGTTGTCCAGCTCGATCGGGCTGATCTTCTCGCCACCCTTGTTGATGAGCTCCTTAATCCGACCAGTAATAATAACATAACCATCAGCGTCCATTTTACCCTGATCTCCTGTTCGGAAGAAGCCGTCCTTGGTGAACGACGAAGCGTTGGCAGAGGGATTGTTGATGTATCCCTTGGTGACGTTTTCACCACGGATGCAAATTTCCGCTTCTTTGCCTTGGGGCACTTCATTTCCATTCTCGTCGAGTATCTTGACCTCGACACCCTGTCCGACACCGACACTGCCAGGTTGACGCTTGCCTGGGGGAAGGGGGTTGCTCGTCATTTGATGAGCTGCCTCCGTCATGGCATACGCTTCCAGAACAGGTGCATTGAAAGTCTCTTCTAGCTCGTGAAAGGTCTTTGGAGAGAGTGGGGAGGAGCATGAGCGGATGAAGCGGATACTGGGAATTGGTGATGGGAGCGGACTTTTAAGGAGGATCTGGTGGATGGTCGGAACCGCAGTGTACCAATTTGCTTTATGCTCAATGAAATCGTTCCAAAAGGTCGAAGCGGAGAACTTCAAGGGTACAACGACGGAGCCCCCAGATGCCAGAGGTGCCAAGAATCCGGCAAGAAGGCCGTGAACGTGGAATAAAGGCATAACAAGCAGGGTACGGTCCTTGGTGCTCAACTGATATGTTTCCTGGATGTTCTTCATCGTCCGCAGAAGGTTACGATGCGTAAGAGGTACCGCTTTCGGACGACCCGTCGTGCCGCTGGTATGGAGGACAAGAGCGACATCGTCTGGTTGGGCAGTTTGAACGGGTGCATTGCCTTTGTTGGAAAGCTTTCCCTTCTCTCTGACATCCAGAAGAACTTCTACTCCATTATAGTAGCATTCCGCGATGGCTGCATTATACTTTCTAGCCGCCCGCACCGCTGCCGCATTCTCGGCGTATGCGCCTTTAGGCACAAGTGCCACAGCGGAGCTCAAATCATCGATGTAGAATTCAAATTCTGATTGTTTGTATGCGGGATTAAGCGGGGCGGCTATCGCTCGCTGCCACGCTGCGGCGATGAAGGAAACGATGAACTCGTAGGAATTCGGAAGCGCGATTGAAACCGCAGACTCGGCGGTCACGCCGAGTTTCGCAAGCTGTCCTTGGAAGGTTTTCACATCGGCGGAGAGCCTTTGGTAGGAAATATTAGATGCAGGTTTGCCGGGTACAATGATCGCGGTGGATGTGGAATCCTTCGAAAACGCGGTTTCTAGAGTCGCCGGAGTCATGCTTGATCAATTGATGGAATACGGAGTATACACGCGGCTTTCTGCGGACCCAAGGTTAGTTGAGGAGCTGCAGTGGCGGAATACACGCCAATTACCTATCAGATGTAACAAATGATGAGTATATAAAAGGAGAAGCACAGAAACCAGCTCTGTGTCGTGATAATCAACAGTTAAGTTTACCCTCCGTCGCCAGTGTCGCCAAATGGATGACGTTATTTTAGCGCGATGCCGAGGCCGAGGGCATCCAGAAGTGATCCAGAAAACCTGAGCTGAGCTAATCACGTGGCTAGCAGTGTCTAGGCGTCTTGGCGCCTTCCCATCGTGGAGCTCTCGGTTTGATGTTCGACGGAACCTTGCCATTACCCAGAAAAACACCTCCCCTCATAGCCTTCCTCCCTCGTCAGGCTCACTTCTTCACATCCCGAGGTCGCCTTCCAGTTGCAGGTCTGTCATGGCCAGCCAAAACCAGAAGCCGCCAGGCCCCGGCCTACCGTGTCCCTATACTCTCCCGAGTCCGTATAACCAAGACGGTCGAGTAGCTACAACAAATTCCGCGAACGAGGCTGCAAAACCCGAGGAGAAGAAAGCACCTGGTAACATCTTCAGAAACTAACGCTGATCTTCTTCCATACAGGCTTGCTGATGTGTCACTGCAGCAAAGTCATTCATTATGCCCCAACAGATCAAGCGGCCGCAGCCGAAGAATGTCAATCCCCCTAAGAGGCCCCTTGCTCCCAGGCCACAGAACGCGCCGGACACGCAACCAACCGCGACTTCCACTCCTGCTGCGCCTGCGAATTTAGAGCAGCGGAGTATTGATTACTATCGAAACACGGAGGACGATGATATCGCCATTAACGAAGCGCGGACGCAACAGAACCGAGAGGCAAGACGAAGGAAGAAAGAGGAGGAGAAGTTTGAGAAGATGTACGGTAAATGGGATACGAAGTCGGAGTATAAGTTGAAGTATCCGACTAACTTGGCTGCATACGAAGCTAAAGGTGAATACGAAGAGAAGCTTAACGACTTCATTGCATATCTCCGTTTCCATCACAACCCGGAGGATGTCGCTGAGATCACCGAGCGAGACCTGTCTTCAGAGTCAAATTCCGTCTCCCCGCCTCCTGCTCGGGACTCAGACTTTGCTCCGCGCTCTGGCCTTTCTTCCACGTCGTCTCCTCTGCCATCGGTGCCACTGGAATCGAACATGCCAATCCCTCGGACTGCGGACGAGGCTTACGGCTTCGGAGCTCGTCTTCCCCAGGAAATGGTCGAGGAATTTGCGACAGCAATTCTGCCAGCGTCGGAACCTTCGTCGAGGGATCAGGCTCAGTCCCATACCTCTTCGGCGGCTGTGGAACGAAACCCACTATTTGCGCCCCCGACATTCAATGACTTCGCTTCTCCTCGTCCGGACGCAGTTGACACTGCCCAAGCTTCGCAGCAAACCACTCGAAAACCTAGCGCGACAGATATGGGTTCAGTTGTTACTCAATCTGCTACTGCGCCTCCAGCTCCGTCGGCACCGCCGCCTGCGGTTCAACCTCGTGCCCAGATGCCGGTTGATATTTCCGAACAGATCCGCAAGGCTAAAGAAATAGCTGCCCGCGCGAAACGATCACCTCCCCCGCCCCCAATCGTGGCTCCGGCTGAGGCGTTACCGCCGCCACCACCACCACCCCCACCACCGACACAGCCTCCTGCACCCCGAAAAGCGTACAGCCACACCATTGGTGCTCCGCCAGTGCATTACACTGCAACGATCTCCGCCGATCCTGTCCATTATGCCCGGCCCCTGGAACCGGAGCCAAAGCCTAGGGACGACAAGCTCGAGCGACCCTCCAAAAAGCAGAAGAGGGAAGAACCTCCGAAGCCCAGTAAGGCTGCGCTCATGATGGCAAAGATGGGCTACGTCAAAGGTCAAGGTCTAGGCAAGAATAACGACGGTGTAACTACCCACCTGGAGGTCAGAATGAGGAAAGATGCCGGTGGCCGCCAGAACTGGAGCGATGACTTTGACGATGATTCCAACGGTGAGAAGGACAGGATCAAATCCCAGCAAGTGTTTGATATCACTGGTGGTCTGCGGACTCGTGAGAAGGATCATGGACCTTTTGGCGAACCTTCTCGTGTAGTTGTTGCATGGGGTTGTGTTGATGGTGTTGATCTGGATCAGGATGCAGAACGGGACGACGGAGGTATCCGCCAGGAAATGGGCGAAGCTTTCGATACAAAGGTATGTCTAGAACTGAGTAAGGAACGGGCATGAACTAACGGCTCCATAGTTCGGCACTATCTCCCGCATCCACTTCGACCCATCCAGCGCCACGCGTCCCGTATACATTGAGTTCGCGAATGAACTCAGTGCCCTAAATGTACGTTTTTGGTATGTCACAACTGGGTTACACGAATCTGACCGTCTTTATAGGCCGTCAACAGGTTCAAAGAGGGCTATGAATTCCAGGGACGGAAGATCCGTGCTCAATATTACGACGAGACCAAGTTCAGCAACATGATCTACGACCACTAGGCTTCTCTTCTTCCTTTCTTGTGCAACAGCACCTTCAGAGCCACAGCAACTTTGGCCACTCGTGCGGTCTGGTTGTGGTTTGGTAAGTATAAATCTGTCGATCCTCTTCTGCTTCGACTGGGTTTTCTGGCCCTCTGGGCTCTAGGGACATATTGGTGCATTGGCTTCTCTACCACTGCGATTATGTGTATGAGGCGCATGCAAAGAGCATGTACACGCTTACGAATTGGCCTCTGTTGGGCTCTCATCGCCAGAGCCTGACTGGTGGAGGATTCGGGCTGTGTTTCTCCATACGCATACCGATACCCGAGCGATATCAATGTCTCCAAAAGTTGAACCATGAGGTAAACGCCAGAATAGAAATTTCCTTTATAGCTCTTTCATGCGGTGAGTTGGTTCAGAGATACCAATTCCTCGCCGATGACAGCGTATAAACCTTCGTGGCGTGGAAGGCAAAGTAGCCGTGCACTTCGGTGTCCTCGTGCTACGCCAGCCTTCCTCGTTGTATACACCGATGATATATATGCTGACGTGTCGTTGACAGAGCAAATGTCACGTTGACCGAGTATGACGATAATCTACCGAGGACTTTTCTTCTCGCGTGAGAACAGGCTGGAGTAAATTTTCACAGATGCTGTAGACTTCATCGTAAAGGACACGTATCTCGTAGATCCGTATCACTGCGCTCTAACAGTTTGTAGAGGCAATCAGTCAGTAGGAGAACGTTACAAAACGGGGCAACATGTCTGCCATCGGAAACCTGACACTTACACTCCAACCGTACTCGGTGTTCCGCTGACGGGTTCGCACGAGCGACAGAAGTGGGATCTGGGCTCAGGATACCGCGCCTTGGTACGCCTGAGCAGCAACTTAAACACACAAAAGATGTTCTTCCAGTTGTTGTCTGGAAGTTCACTGCATACCACATCCTGGTACACCTCTATTCCATATACTTCAACGCGTAGAGCAGATGACACCGTTGGTGTAGGAAAGGATATACCGCTGGTTCAACGTATAACAGAAAAAAAATTGGTTGAATACCGCTCTCTAGGTATTCTTACATTTACTTATGCTACAAATACTGCTGAAATTCAAGTGGGCTCGTAAAGTGGGCTTATCAGCAAAAGGGTGCGCTAGACTCCCCCTCTCACGACCTTCATAGTCAAGATAATGACGGCGTTCGTTTCCTCCTCCAATAGCCGCTTCTACTGTCCTAGCTGCAATACTGAAATGCCTACGTCAAGCTTTGAAGCCTCACTAGAGAATACACCAGGTTATATGTCCCCCTGGGATGTTCACTAATCACGTTCTCACGTGCCTTCGCGAAGCCCAAGAACCTGGCAGACTTGTGAAGCGCGTCGACGTCAGCTCGAGTTCTCCCATCAACTGCCCCCTTCAGAAGACATCATATGTTCTTCTTTCTACGTAACTGCATTCAATCGCCTCTGACGCACTTTCATACCCAATTACAAACAATGACTCTCCGCCGCTCCGCCCGCTTATCCACTTCTACCTCGAATGCCAGTCTCGCTGTTCCCCTGCCCGAAGAAGACATTGACAACTCTAGCGTGAACGTCTCCAAAGCTAAATCGAAGACTACAGCACGAGCCGTCAACTCAAAAAAGCGCAAAACTAAAAACGAAGCAGAACCATCCGCGGACATCCAAAACGATGCCATCCCAACCGAACCCCCTTCAACACCAGTACAACCCGCGAAACGCGCCCGCAAGATCTCCGAATCCCCCTCCAAACCCCCCTTCACGCCCGCGCCTGCTGGGATCCGCCTGTTAGCAGCGACGACGGCACGCACACAGATACTGCATCCTCTTGAGGATATACCCGAACGCGCAGGGGAAAGTTCAGAGAGCATACTGCAACAAGAAGCGGAGAAGACGAGGCGAAAGCCGCGTCCTGCAGCCCCTCACGCTACGAATGCACCGCTCTCGACGCCGGGAAGATCGAGGGTCGTGACTGCGTATGAGGCGGACGGATCGCCTGTGAAGAGGGCTGTAGCTCGACGGGTCACAGCGATTAGCAAGACCACGACCACTACCACTACAGCCGATGGCGTGGTAACGGAATCTACCGTAGAAGAAGTAGTGGAGAAGACGGTGACGGTAAAGGGGGACGGAAATAACAAGAGGAAGAAAGCGGCAGCTTTACTGCCGCCGGATCTCTCGTCCGCGTCTACGTTGCCGGTGCCGACGTCGACGATAGATACGTTGTTGGAGGATGCGTGCAGACATTTGATTGCTGTGGATAAGAAGTTGGAGCCGTTGATCCGGAAGCATCATTGTGAGTGTTAGCTACATTTTCTGCGATTGATTTTCGAATGTCGATTTATGTGCCCATTAGCCGCTGCTTCTGGTAGTATGATATCGTTAGCGGGCATGGCGCTCCAAACACACGAACAGGATAGTTTGCCAGCTCGTGCTGGCCTATCGCCCATTTAAGGTACCGCAGCTGACAATGTTTTGTCATTTGTATAGGCAAGATGTTTAGTCCAGACGGCTTGCGAGAAGTTGTAGACCCCTTCACGGCTCTAGCGAGCGGTATTATAGGTCAGCAGGTATGTTACACGAGTTTCCTCTCAACGAAGTAAGATCCTCGCTCTAAGAGGCTGCTAAATGAGGGTGGGGATGGGGGATGGTGATGAATGATGCACTCAGTTCACGCGTATGACGGTATCGGAATACTGCTATGGTCTATGAGAGGCCAAGATGCGTGTTGTAAAGCGAGCACAAGACGTTATCTCGATTGAAGGGCAAACGTTTGTTCACAGTCAAGCGCTGAGAGGGCCACAGAACAGCCTGATCCAGTCCGCTCGCAACGACATAGGACCAGCCAGTCCTAAGGACAAAATCACGGCACCACCATAGCCCAACAGCTAACCTCCTCATCTCCAGGTCTCCGGCCAAGCCGCCGCCTCCATCCGCTCAAAATTCACCGCTCTCTTCCCCGAAACACACCCCTCCTTCCCCTCGCCTGCGCAAGTCCTCACCAAAGATCTGCCCACGCTACGTACAGCAGGTCTCTCTCAGCGCAAGGCCGAATACATTCATGGACTAGCTGAGAAATTCGCATCAGGCGAGCTGAGCGCTGAGATGCTGGTCAGTGCGAGCGATGAGGAGTTGATTGAGAAGTTGGTTGCTGTACGAGGGCTTGGACGATGGAGTGTTGGTATGTATTTCCCTTCACTGAGGTGGTTTCCTGAAGTGTCTTGCCGTATACGCATGGTTGAGCTTCTCTTCTCAATGTAAAACGAAAGGAAGTGGCGCTGCGCGGGTGAAGGCAAAGCCTCTTGGTGGCGAAGACACCTGGTTCCCCTAGCACGAGCGCTTCGCAAAAGACCAATGGTACCAGAGCAAAGCTAACCCATTGCCCTTGAACAGAGATGTTCGCCTGTTTCGGCCTCAAAAGAATGGACGTCTTCAGTACTGGCGACCTAGGTGTCCAGTGAGTAACCACCCACCCATACCCACTCCCTTCCTGCTGCGCCTATCTCCGCGCCCTCATGACATTTCCATGTCCCCTGCATGCCCGCTGCCTCACTGACGCATTCACATAGACGAGGAATGGCGGTGTACATGGGCCGTGACGTATCCAAGCTCAAGTCCAAGGGCGGCAAATGGAAATACATGACGGAGAAAGAGATGTTGGATATAGCTGGGAAATTCTCTCCCTACCGGTACGTTCTCTCCTTGGCGCTCGCGCTAGCGGCGCTTGAGTGAGAAGGCTTGACGAGGCTGAGCTGATTGACCATGTCTAGGTCGCTGTTTATGTGGTACATGTGGAGAATCGAGGATGTGGACATCAGTGTTTTGCAGAATAACTGATGCTTTCGGTTTGGCGACGTCTTGACCGGTCGAGGGAGAGGGTTGCAGTGCAGATGGAGTGGGCGATGGGCGGTCGTTTAGGCGTCGACTGCTGCGTTGTGCTGGATTCGTAAGTGCCATTCTGCTGTGGCACGCGAGTGAGCGTGGATACTTCTGTAGATGCGGCAATCGCTGTGGAGCGAGGCTTCTTGAAGTCGTCTTGGCCCGGCGTAATCAGACGATTTTGGAGTGATCGCGGATATGCCGGCAGGGTGGGATTTTGATGACGGAGATTAATACAGTAGATGTTAAGCTGCCCTGTGTACACAGTACACGGTAATAAATGGTGGTAAGCATCGTACTCTTTGGATGTCTGAGAAAATGTCTTCCAAGGTAGACGAAAAAGGGCACGATTGACACCACACGGCGGATTTGTGTTCATCTAAAGCGCGGGCATGATAGGAAGAGTCATCCGCTTCTCGCTCGAAATCTCGGTGGTTGCGTATTTTGTGAAGATGTTCGTCTAGAAGTCACAAGTTCGAATAACAGGCTTGACGAGGTTCGGACTCCAAACCTAGTGTCAACTCTGATCAACGTCGCTCATACACACAGTACTGTACAGGGCAAACCATCGTTGATGGAGAGCACCATTGATTCTGTCAACCATGCTCACCAATTCGCGGGAATCGATGTTAGATGCCGACAGTGCATGTTTCTTTGTTAGGAGCCGTTTCACATCTGCATAACATCGTTGAAGGGACCGTGGCTTGCTGTGATACTCCTGCTGCTGCAGCCAATGATAGGTGGGCTCCAGAAGAAGACTGGCGCGCAGAATCCCTTGTCGCAGGTGAGACGGGATTGTGGAACCTTGATAGTGGCTCTCGAGTACTTGTATAACAGGAATACTGCGCTGACTCCGGCTCTCCAAAACGCCGTCCAACCTTTCCTCCGAAAGGTGTGCAGGAGGAATGATGACGGCAAATGAGGAGGCGGCGCGGACGGAAATGAAGAACGCCCGTTTGGCGTGGCGGTGTCAAGACTCCAACTGTCGGAATCAGATGGCTGGGCCAGGGTGCATGTGCCATCGCAACGTTCCGAGATAAGGATCTTGATGGCGGCGAGGCTTGCAAAGTTTGGTTACAGGCATGGGGGGCTTCCCACAATTGCATGCAAATTGAGGTCCATTTCCAACACCACATTTCCAGACTGTGATTCCTGGAAGACAGGGGACATTTGCAGCTCCCCAGGCCCGGCCGGCTGTATCTCCGATGCTTGAATCCCTCTCCGTACACAGAACGTTGTCTTGAAGTTGCGGCGAACATGCCCTCCTGTGTCTGACAGCGCGTACGCGTTGTTGGTGATGTTTTGCTGTGTTTACAGTACTGTGCAATATTCATCCACGTAGGCCGAGATGTTGTGATTCTGTGAATGATGAATCCGGGTTCTGCCACAGATCTGCGTCGGTGGCGCGGCACGCTTGCATCCAAGGGGGATAAGCGGCCATTGTTTCAGGAGCGCTTGGCCCGATCAGGAGTTGGCCTTGTTTCCTTGCCAGAAATTTCCCTGGAATGGCAGGAACGACAAGGCACGGCCCCCGGCCCAGTGCGGGCAGGCGCAACCGGGTGGCCTGCCGCCTCCTCCCCTTTTCTCCCACGCCGCCTCCCTCACCCTCGTCAACGGCTCTCCATCTCGACATCCCCATCATCCCCATCTCCAGCTCCATCTCACTCCCACTTTCGTTATTGCCGACTCCCAATTCCTTTGGCTGTCTTTCGTCTTCATTCGTTCGCTCATTCGCTCCTGATTGCTGCATCAGGCCACATTTTCGCTCCATTCTTCGCGCTTCATCGCGCCACGTCGTGAGCAACCTCCACATCTTCAGGTCCGCTGCCTTGCTCCCTTGGCACACATCGTGCTTCCATCACGACACACCGCTGATTCCATTGCTGCAGCCCCCGACCTTTTCTACACCTTCACAATGTCTCCCGCCATCAAGTTTGCTCTGCCAATGCTGGCTGCTGCTGGCTCCGCATACGGTACGTACTGTGCGAGTCCGCTCGTTTTTTTGCAATCCAGTGGAAACATGACTGACGACGTTTGTCTTCACAGCTGCCTGCAGTCACACCGCTACCTCAACCATCCAGAACCAAGGCGACGCAACCGGCATTGCATCCTGCAAAACCTTTTCTGGCAGCATCGCTATCAAGACTGATGTCGCTTCACCCATCAACCTCGACGGCGTCAAAGTCATCGATGGCAGCCTCGAGATCAACAATAATAGCGCTATCCCTCAACTCGGGGCTGACAGCCTGGAGGAGATCACGGGAGACTTCATCCTTAAAGAGGTCCCCTCACTTAACTCCATCTCAATGCCCAAGATCAAGCAGGTCAAGGCTATCCGATGGAGTGGCCTTCCTAACCTCCGCGCCCTGGGCTTCGGAGGCCCCGTCGAGAAGGCCGATGTTGTCATCATTGAGAACACGCAGCTCGTGAACTTGGAGGGTCTCAATCTCTCCTCCGTCAACTACATGCTCATTGCCAACAACCAGTTGATTGACAGCATCGACATGAAGCTGGAGCACGTCGACGAGTCCCTTACCATCACCGCAAACAGCCCAGAGCTCAAGGTTACTTTCCCGAACCTGGTCTGGGCCTACAACATGACTTTCCGCAACTGCTCTACCGTCGAGGTCCCTTCCGTCGAAAAGTTGAACAACTCTCTGAACCTCATCGGAAACGTATTCGACAGCTTCCATGCACCCAACCTTACTGAGCTGGGCGGTGCTCTTGCCATCGTCTCCAACACCGAGCTCACGAATCTCACCTTCCCTGAGCTTACCAAAGTCGGCGCCAACCTTCAGATTGCCAATAACACCAAGCTCAGCGAAATCAATGGTTTCCCCAAGCTGAAGACCATCTCGGGCGCTCTTGACTTCAACGGCAATATGTCCAAGTATGTGTTTATCCGCCTGTATGAGTGATTGGAATGAGGGCTAACCATGGGTAGGATCGATATCCCCAACCTGTCCGACGTAAAGGGTACCTTCAATATCCAGTCAACCGGCGACGTGCAAGGTACCTGCGACGACTTCTTCAAACCCCTCAAGAGCAAGGGCAGGATCCAGGGCCCTTTCGTTTGCAAGGGTTTCGTCGAGAAGCCTGGCGGTGAGGGTACCGATCCCAAGGTTACCGGAAACCCGAAGAAGACTGGCAGTGCGTCTACCGCCAACGCTCCCGCCAGCGCTCTCCTCATTGGTCTGGCCGCGGCCTTCTTCTTGTGAATGTGAACGGTGCACGCGTTGGCGCTTCCGCCTATGTATAGACTAATAATCCGACATCATCCTTTTCCTAATGACGGCGTGCACCTGCTGTGCACGCGTTCTGGACAGTCGGGAGGACCTCATTGAGGCTTGGGGAGGTTGAGGGGTAATGGGCCAGCATACCTATTCTGTATAGATGTATTGATTGGTCGATGATGGTTCGGGTCTAGCAAACATTGACACACGGGTAACCATCCACTTTCCTTCACGGTACGGTCGGTGCGGGGGATGATTATTTGGCAAAATGTACGTTCCTTAATAACTGTCTCGATTACCTGTGTCCCTTGTTGCAACCGCGCTGAGTGCAGACCGAGAGTGTTCTCACATATGAGGTAGTCCATATGCACTTTTTCATTTCTCTTCCTGGTTCAGTCCACACGATACACACGATAAGGGGTGTACTCCAGCACGTCGAGTATAGCTACAGGCAGCCGGGGAAGCGGATAATCCACCATCTCGTTTAGGAGAGGCGTCCTCCAAACTTAGGGTGCAGTATTTAGCGCCCAGCCTACATGCCCTTCCGCGGACCCGTGGACGGAAGTCAATCCATGGAGCGTGCTCTACGACATTGCATGCGTTCTTAATGTCTCGTGCGACCTGTCGAGGTGTCGCACGGCGCGCACAACATGTCCACCTAAACCATCTTCCGTCGGCGTCATAAATGCTGTCTGAAGCAAAGTTCAAAACGTACACCTGCAGCAGAGCAGTCCGACCTGAGCTCCCAGAGACCAGGCGCGAGGTCGAGCCTGTCCTAGGATTTCATAGGACCGATCGATTGGCCACCATCCTAAATACACTTTCCCCGAAACGGGGCTAGGCGAACCAAGCTCGTCGTCAGTGTTCAGACAAAGAAGAGAATCATTCCCCTCCAGCTAGTACATAGCTTGGAGCTTGCAAGGCACGTTCTGTGTCTGACGTCTCTCAACATGAGCAGACAGCTTCGCGTGGCGTCGGTGCTAAAAGCCAGTTACAGTACGGTAGCGTATCAGCAGCAAGGACGGTCAAGGCATCATGTTGGAAGAAGGGACGTCTCTCTGGTCAACCGCTGGCATAGTCTGCAGGATCGCCATCCGATTGGAAGCGGAGCTCTGCCTGGCCACTCGGTGCTACAGACTGTGGGGAGGAGATATGGTGGCGCTTTCACATATCCCTTGCTCATGGCTTCTCTCAACCTGCGCTCGTTTTGCGAGTGCTCCAAGGAAAGCGCTTTTCCCAGCGGGGAAAGGCACCCACATGCCGGATGGTGCATGTACGCGGATGTGGTCCGCATTTGCGAAGGTCGACCTCTGGTGAGCCCAGTCAGAAGCCCAGTGCGGAGGCCCACTGTCTTCACTGGAATGATATAAAGGGACTAGCATTCTCCCTCTATCTTCTCTTTACCCTCATCAGCTCAGCATTTGGGACTTGCGTTGCTCATCGTTCTTCTGTGTACTCTGAATTCGTAGTGTTTTGTTCCACCACTGCCAATTCAATACTCATCAGTGCCTATGATGGATATCAACAACTTGATCAACCACTACCCTGCTGAACTCGGGGACGAGTGCAGAACGACTCGAATGGGCTCTGAAGGGTACGTGTCATGCTTTGTCGGGTTGCGACTGCTTCCCAGTGTCACTGCTGACCATGACCTAGGGCACTGTCTTCTGCCTCCAGTACCTCTTGGTCTTTTGTCGAAGATGGTCTTCCTTCCAACCAGGCCGGCTACAACCGCCGTAGCTCCTGGCGATCACATACGTTATCCACGAGATCGTCTCCTCGCTTCGGCCACTCTTGTACACCAGACTCATCCCGTCGTCGAAGCCATGGTCCACATCGAGGCATGACCGCTATCGAGAAACAGCAAACCAAAAACCAAAAAGAGCGCAAGAATCGCGATCACATGAACAATTCGCTCGGAGCGCTCATCAGCCTGGTCCTTGACGACAATCCTCAGCTGCAAACGCAAGTCCGCCGGTTGACCAAGGTCAATATCGGGCCCAAGGCGGATGTGCAGGAGCGCCATTTGGATACGCCTTTGAGGTACACCAAGCAATCCTCGATTGCCACAAGTTCTCTCATGTACAGACATCAGACCCTGATGACTGAATACACCCTCAGGGAAGCACGCAATGGACGTGTCGTGGACGTTGACTTCTTCGACTTCTGCATGCGGAGCAAAGGCACCGCGGAATTTCCGGAACACGATCGCAGGTTTCAGATCCGGCCTCGCCTATAAAGGACGATTTGCTTATGATGTGGTTATACCTGCTGCATTTAGCGACACGGTGCATTGTTGGTTTGGTCGGTTTTGCTTCTGTCGTGAAGCGGTCGGTTTGTGCAGATCCATATTGACGAAGGGTTCTGACGCCGATTTGCACCTAATACCTGTCTCCTGCGGGACTCATGTTCCTCAAAAGTGTTTCCACTGTTTTGCTTCTCAATCTACTCTTTCAAGCTCATTCAGCGAATATTTGGGTATTTGTCGTGGCGGTCCCTCTGTCTGTCATTTACACACACTTAGGTAGCTCTGGAATTGAACTTTCACCTGTAAGCCGACGTGGCTTCCTCTCCCCTCCACATGTTTCGCTCTTTCCCCGTCCTGCTCATGCACCACCGTGACATCAGCCACCTTCCTCCTTTCCCCTCTCCACACTCGGCTTAAGCACCTCATTATCCACTGACCAACACTTCAAATTCCACTGCACTCTCCGCTCTCCGAACCTCCAGCCTCATCGGTGAGAACAACAGTTGCAACCCAGGATCTCGGACTTCGCCGCTACCTTGCATTTCTCCTCACGCCCAGGCTACGAGAGGAGCTCGCTCTCCATCGATGAACGGCTGAATCACTTCACTAGCTTCCGCTTTCCCCCTTCCGCGCAAATGACAAGCCTTGCGCTATGCCTTAGGACTCAACTGCCACTACCACACGCTACTGCACCCAATTTCCCGTATCGAGCTTCGTAACCGCTTCCGCGAGGATTGGGCTGGCTGAGGTGGGGACGGGCAGGCATGCAAAGGACGTTGAGGCTTGGCGTTTCCTGAGGGTGATTCAGCGAACCATGATCGAGACACCCCTGCCCCACTGCATTGATTCTCCCTCTCGATCGTCGGAGATTTGGTTGGCTGCACCCATCTTTCGCGGCTGCACCAGCTGCACGTCACCTTTGTAGCGAAGCTGCGAAGTCCGTTGTACTACATCAGTACAATGCCGAAGAACTCTGGAGTGGACAGCAAGCTGCCGGGGAGTACCGTACACATGAGCGTGCGGGCAGACGTGCATGATGGGAATTCGAGGATCGTCAGCGGAATCTCTGTATTTGCACATCTCTCCTGCCGCAGGATGAGATGGGAAAGAGTGGGAGTACACATGCACGGGCGCATGGTGAATGTGGAGGCTTGAAGGTTTGAGGCGCAAGGGATTTGTTGGTGCGGTTATTGACGAGCAGGCATAAGCGGGCGCGTTAAAGCCAACCAGGAAAAGCCGCCATGTGCTTCCTCTGAACGACATCGTCGACATGTCCAGGCCCAAGGGTGAGAAACTGGAAACGAACTCGGGGATTCTTCTTTCTCTAGGTCATGGGAGGTGGACTTGTCATTTTCGAGAGCGAAAAGTTGGGAGTCTGTTCAGAATGTGATGGGAGCGCTAATGAACGGCCTCACGCATTTGCCTCAGTGAGAGATGCTCCTATGTCTATCTCCCCGATTGGGCTCTCTCCTCGCCTACAGCGCTCAGCCACTTCTCCACCTATACCCTATACATACAGACACCTGATTAAGAGATACCCAATCCGGCAGACGGCCCCGTTCTTCCGACGGTAAGGGAGACACTGTCGCTGCAAGTTATCGCCACAAGCAGGCTGGCACGTTACACCCTGTATGCATGTATAAGGCCACGCTAACTCTTTGCCAGAACTGTAAATCACGACGAGACATCTCAGGCAGAGGAAGATGAAGAGATTAACGGCATCCTCGAATGGACATCTACCATCAACGTTCATACCCATCTTGCGCTGATACTAATCGAGACGGCAGTGTTGCTCTTTACCTACCTAGCATTCGATGGTGCGTCCATGCGTGGAGCGGGTTGAAGAGTGGGCAGTCCCGGCAGACTTGGACTTGCAGAAAGCCTTTAGATCCGAGCAGGTACAGGACGTCCGAGACCCAGGTCGATGTAACAGCAATTCGCCGACCATTAGACTTTGGTACGCATGCCTCGTGATCAGCCCTACAACATCTTCGCCTCACTTCAACCTAGTCACCGGCCCATACACGTCACCCCCGAACGATATACATCACTCATAACGGACCACCGCTCCCGTGATAAAACGCCCTCCTCGCACCGCATACCTGGCGCACCGTATCAGTCTGCAGCGGAATAGCCAGGGTCACTGAGCTGTGCTCGTTGTATGTAGTACCCGCCTTAGATGTCTGCGTTCTTGGTGTCTAAGTACCCTACTGGAGTTGCTGTCATTCGCGTACCCTTGTTGCTGAGGGAGGGGGAGCTAATAGACGGGTGGGACGAGAGGATGAGGGTGCGCGGTTGGGCTGGCTGAGGTCAGGTGAGAGGCGGAATGTGGCGGGTTGGGCGGTAAACGTGCTTGTTCTTAGGTAATTATACTGGCTTCATGGTGTACAACATGGGGTGCAAAACTGGTACCGGGTGGTGACTGTCAAAGGACTGGGGATATGGGGTTGATGCAGTCGGCTGGCTGGGAGGTGTTGTAGGAGGAGGTGCGGTGGGCAAATCAGGAGACGAGAAGATCAGGGTGATGGGATGGGATGAGGTTCCCGTCGTGTGTGAGCATGGCAGTTTGGTCGTCCTTCAGTGTCTGGAACAGGTTGTTGCCGGGCGAATGGAGTGGAATATGATAGGGATGGGAGTGGACGACACTAAGACGCGGCGACCTATCCACGCCAGCCGCGATTGGAATTGCGAGATATTGGCCATCAGCTTGAGGTTTCCGCTCGTCTGGACGTGTGCTGGCATCGATCAGTGCTACGCCATGAAGTGAAATGGTGTTTTGGGATGAATGGGGCTGTCTGAGAGCTGTTTGAGAGTGGATCCACACCAGGTCTTGCTCAATTGAACACGGTTTTCGACGCCAGGGGGTGGGTTCATATGGGCTTTTTCGAGAGCTTTCGCCCACATCTTGGCCTACACTTGGCTCAGTGTCTTTCACGTGTATGGCAACCTGAGCTTTTGGGTGGCTGATGAAAACAAAATACCAGTCCATGATCCGAGGACATGTTATTTGTTGGGTGTTTGGAAGGTATCTCGCGTTACTAATGAGGCTCTATTATCGGGTTCTGTCCTATAGCTAGTTATGGGCAGTGTAACGCCGAATGTTAGAAGATACTGTGGTTGAGCTTAACGTAGCAGCGATTCGGCTCTGCTATGCAAAGTGCGAATGCACACTTATCCTATCAATTACCTGCATATTTTGATCCCATCTTCGTTTCCCAAAAACGCATTCCACCGATACCCGTTGAAGTATCATGATGTCTCATGCCGAGCCGATTTGCCATCCCACATGTCAGCACGATCGTCGGGCTCACCAGGCTCCCACCCATCTACCTAGGCACCCCTTGGTAATCCTGTTATTCTCCGACCAACCGACCACGAGGCTGGCTTAAGAGCCTCATGAGCTTCGATACTAAACTAGATTTCCTCAAAGCGGAATTTTTGCCAAGGGAAAGTAAGCACGGCTGGCTGCGGTGTGAAGTTTGTGTGTGCGTCGGGCCGCTGAAGGACCGGGAGAGTAACGGGGGGCGATTTTGGTAGATGAACATCTCCGTGGGGATCAGGGAGATTGGGTAGTCTTTGAAACTGCTAGGAGAGTGGGAGGGCATGCCATTATCTGGAAGCAGCTGGCAGTGAACATTGCTACACTGGTGGAGATTAGGTTTAGATAGTTGCAGGCCTCTTCTACTTGTAGATGCTCAGATGCAATTCATGAGTTCACCACGGGACCTGGGCCAATCGGCATGCCGAAACAGATGGGCTCGCAGACGGCGCCACCCACCCGTCAAGCCGTCAGGTGTCAGACGCAACTCGCATAACGGATGCAGGGTGCAGGAGGCACAGGAAATGCCGGTACCTATGTGACCGCTTTTCCCCTTTTTTTCTCCTGCAAACCCGAGTTCGCGGGCAGGAATCGAAGAGTTGCTGTGTAAGACTATTCTGACCAATCAGATTCGACCAACTCTGACGTCGCGAATCCTCCCACCTCTCAAACTCCCAACACACACACAAGTACCATTCTCACACATATCCGAACATATTCACTCGTTTCCAGGCGCCCACCGTCTCCCTCTACCCCCGGACTTCCTCCGCAGTCGTTCGTTGTCCTCGTTCAATTGGCCGTTCCTCCGAACCACGCGAAACACAGCTACCAGCTAGCTTCCTCTAGCTGTCCCCCGATCTCTCGATGCGAGGCCTAACCCTGTGCCTTTCGCCCGCCCACGCCTAGATAATAGAATCGGACCTTTACGCATCGGATCTTTTCCCCCGCAAAACACCCACCCACCAAGCTGGCCTCCATACCGTCGCCGCTGCCGTCTCCCCCGGTCCACACCCAGCGGGAACGCAGCAATACGCTGGGCATGCGGGACCGGAGCTCGTCGATACGGATATCGCAGCTGCGCGAGGGGGAGGAGCAGGGGGGTGAGAAGAGTGCGAGCGCTGCTGCGGCGGCTGCTGCTAGGGGCGGGGCGCAGCGGTTTGCCATGTTGGCGGGGAAGGGGAGTTATGGGTGGAAGGCGGCGAGGGCGAGGATGCCGCCTTCGAGGCAGGTGTGGCATGTTTTGAGGAGTAGAAGGGGGTTGTTGGCATTGGGAGTTTTGGCGCTGATGGTGTTGTTGTGGCGGAATATGGGGGGTGCCGGTCGGGGTGTGCAGAGGTTCGTGCGATCCGGTGCTTTTGGAATATATGTTTGCAATGTCGATTGGGAGAAGAGGAACGACTGACACGACTTAACAGATATAACTGCTTCGGCCCAGCGAAACCCCCCATGCGCCTGACGCCCAACGAGAACGAAGAATGGCATGCCCATATGAGCACGCCCGTCATATTCAACCACCGCAAACCTGTCGAGGTCAACGAGAGCACCATCGACCACGTAGATCTCAACGTCATCAAATCCACCCCTCGAGCCGTCAGCAACCGCGAGCGCGTTCTGATCCTCACCCCTCTCCGGGACGCAAGCTACTACATTCTTAATTACTTCGACCTCCTCACTCAACTCACCTACCCGCACGACCTCATCGACCTGGGTTTTCTCATTGGCGACACCACCGACGACACCATGGCCATACTCGCCAAAGAGCTGGAGCGCATACAACAGAACAAGGATATAGCGTTCCGCTCCGTCACCATCGTCGAGAAAGACTTTGGCGTCGCGACCTCCCAGAACGTGGAAGACCGACATTCATTCAAGGCGCAAGGACCACGGAGAAAAGCCATGGGACGCGCAAGGAACTACTTGCTTTCTGCGGCGCTGAAGCCGGACCATAGCTGGGTGTATTGGAGGGATGTTGACATCAAGGAAAGCCCGGCTGGAATCATCGAGGATTTCGTGGCGCATGATGTGGACATCCTAGTGCCGAGTATATCACCCAAGAGCCCCAAAAGAGGGAGACACTAATATGATTCAGACGTCTGGTTCCATCGGTACGAAGAGAAGAACGGCAAAATGGTCGACATTGAAGGGAGATGTACGTCCCGCTTCTCCCTCCCTCCCTCCCCGCGCACTCTGCAATCAAGCAGAACATTACTTACTAACTCCTCCCTCCGCAGTCGACTACAACTCCTGGCAAGAATCCCCCAAGGGCCTCAAACTCGCCGCCTCGCTCGGCAAAGACGTCGTCCTCGCCGAAGGCTACAAGGAATACGACACGGGCCGCACCTACATGGCCAGGATGGGCGACCGGCACAAGGACCCCAACGAGCGGATTCCCCTGGACGGCATCGGCGGCGTCAACATCGTGGTAAAGGCCGATGTGCATCGCTCGGGAATCAATTTCCCCTGCTACGCGTTTGAGAATCAGGCCGAGACGGAGGGGTTCGCGAAGATGGCCAAGCGCGCGGGTTATGGGGTTTGGGGGCTGCCGAATTATGTCGTTTGGCATGTGGATACTGAGGAGAAGCCGGGGAATGCGTAGAGGGGTGTGTGGACGACAGGTATGACGGTGGGTTGGTGAGGGTTCGAGAGCAAGAGGGTGTTGGGAGGGGGGATCAAAGGGATGAGGTGAAGGGGAAAGAGACGCTCATTTCATGTACGCCCATGTCGTTTATACCCATGTCGGCCGGAGGAAGAGGGAGAAGGGATATCGGATACGTTTGGGTTTGGGTTTGGGTTTTGGGCCACGAAGCGCACTCTTCTCGTCATCCGAGTGAGCATGCTTCGCTAAGACCATGTGATATTTAGACGGGAGACTTTCTTTGTGGGCGTTTTTGGAGCGGCATGTTTATACGAAGGAGCGCATCTGATAGGCGCTAGTATTCACCGCATTCATATATATTTACTTTGCGATTTGCTCCCAAGGCCGAGGCCCTGGCACTGGAGCGGAAGGAATGAATGGTACACTCTTCTTCAGTAGGTCGCCTTAGGATCGACACTGTAGGAATCCAGAGGCTCACTGCACAGGTTTTCCACCCATGTACTGTGCAGTATCTGTTTCCTTCGGAGGTATATGTAGATAAGACCTAACGTCATCTCTCCTGGACGCTGGAAGACCGCGTGCAATATCGTTATACAAGCATTAGCTGGTACGGTGATCGGCTTCGACTTAGATACCTACTTATCCCTAACGCATAAACGGCAGAAAAGAACGGTCAAGCCCACAAGCCATAGAACCAAGTCTATCCCACCCCCAACCAACAACAACACATGCATGCCATTAATCTCTAGCCCAAACCCGCCAACCAATCATCACCCACGCCGGGAAACGCAAACGCAAACGCAAACGCAAAAGTGCCACCCACCCCATCCATCGAGAAAGCCGAGGGAAAGAAGCATCCTATGCAGGACCCCAAACACTCCACTCCAGTGCAAACCTGCTCCCACTTCTTCCTTCCCCGACCCAGGAGGCAGACATATCCGATCCTCTGCGGGTCCATTCCTCCTCTCCCTCTTCCACCGACCATTCGTATCCCACGACGGGACCATTCCAGACCATGTTCCATCCCTATCTACATGTCGATACTCTCCTTAAACCTCAAGACACCATTCGGTTGCCTGAATCCATCGACACCGCTCGGCACTTCTTCGCCCCTCGGTCGCGCAACGCTGAGACCCTGATCAGGCGGCGCCGTGTCCGAGGCGTCCGAGACGAGCACAAGGCCGGCGGTCTTGATCGATTCGATCAGTGCGGGAACGAGGTCCTGGGCCAGATAACATTAGTCCACCATGCCGAAAGCTAGGGATGGGGGGAGAGAGCTCACAAGTAGACGCGAACTGCAAATCAGTCCCATGAAGTTGTTATCTCTTGCAATCCGGACAGCTTCTTTCACGGATATCGTTGTGCGGCCGCTGCTGTGTATAGGCTGCATATTACTCGGGAGCGACGGAGAGGGCTCTGCGCCAAGCTCGTTACAGAGGAAGACGGGATCTACCATGGTTAGCACGGAAGTGATCCTGAACCGTAGAATTTTGACTCGACTCACAGTTTGGTTGCTTCCAGTTGAGCACAGTGCAGATATCCTGGTTGAAAGAGCTGAACAGAATACTCCTCAACGTCCCGTCAATATCCCCGGCCCCCTGTTCACGCAACGCTCGTGCATGCGCGAAGACGACCAACAGGATCCGGTCTGCGAAATCGTTCATATCAGGCGTTGGGCCGAGCTTGAACTCTTCTTCTTCAAGCTTCGATGGAAACAGAACGTGCAGTTCCACGTGAATGTGAGCTGGTAATAGTGACAATGCGTCTTGAAGAGTGATGAACGACGAAGCGAGAACTGCGTATATCCTAGGGATATCTTCGCCGTGTGCATTGCGTAAAGCGGAGATTTGCGCCTGGGCGCCCGGGTTCAATTCTGAACCTATTGCTGAAAATTGCTCATACGTCAGAATGTTGACGGGCACATTGAGGCCATGATAGTTAATCTTCCATGTAGGGTACAGGACAGGGACGCCATCGGCAGTGAGTTGTACGAACAAGCGCACATACTCTCCCGAGAGACTCGACCCGGTGATGAGAGCATGAGGTTGCGTGTCAAGTTGGCTTGTTGCTTTCCAATACGTTGCGAAGTGGGTAATCTCTAGTGGCATTCCTCGGAAGGGTTTTACGACCTGGAAATCAAAGGAGATGCGGCCAATGGCACGGAGCCGCGGATCGAAGAGTTCCAAGTACCACCTGCCTGAGCTATGCCTTTGACCGGTAAACACTTTGGATGAAGCGACTCCACGAGCGATCACTTTGGAGCCGAATGTCGGATATACGTCAAAGTCGATGGAGAACGTATCGAGATTCTCGATCTGGAAGGAGATAACCTTCAAATCATCCTGCATCGGAAGCAGAATGCTTCGGGGCACCAGATCGGAGTATTTGGATGATATTGTAAGCCTTGCCGCAGGGTATTTCTGGTCGTCGTAGAAGTGAATAGCATCTTTACCCAGTCTCTCAAAGCTGATGACAACGAAAGTCTTGGTATCGAGGAAATTGTGACCGTAGCGCCTGAATGGTATTATAGGAGGCGGAAGGATGAATTCAGGAATACTGCCCTCTCCATCCCCTGCGAGCTCCATCGGACCCGGCAATGTACCAGAAGCAGTCTGCGTCGTGATGCGCGGTGAAAGTTGGACTTGTCGGGTCAGACCAACACCGCGGCCTACGGAAGCAAGCAGTCTCATGCACTCCAGATGGCCTTCCCATGTAGCATAGTACATTGCGGACAAGCCTTTCTCATCGACAACATCCACATCGACTCCGCACTGTAACAGTGTTTGCAGGCACTCGACATGACCTTCGCTTGCAGCATGGAAGACAGGAGTCCACTGGTACAGTCTATCCGGTTGATCGAGATCAGCTCCATACTTGCGGAGTAACAGCGGCATCTGAGGAACTTTGCCGGATCTTGCAACCAGATGCTGGGGGTAAAGGCCTTCGGCATCGGGCAACATCTCGGCATTTCGTTGCAGAAGAAGTTCAACAATCTCCAACGAGGCATATTGGCAAGCGAGATTAAGCGGTATATGCTCCGACGGTCCCAATCGACTTATATGGGCACCTTTTGAGAGAAGTATCTCGACACACGCAAGTTCTGAATGCACAATGGCGTGTATGAGTGGAGTAAAACTGTCCTGGTCGCGGAAATTGACCGTGTCCGGTGCAGCGTCGATGAGCAGCTGGACTAGCTCAACATGGCCGTGCATTGCGGCGTAATGCAGAGGTAATCGGCCATAAACATCCGTAGCATGGACATCGACTTGAGCCTCCAAACCCAGCTTAAGAACATAAGCCCGCCCGCAGATGGCAGCCTTGTGCAGGCAATTCCGCTCATTGATCTCGTCCACTTGCTGCAGATCCACACGCTTGGTATCCAAAAGGATCTTCAGTGCTGCTTCCGGTGCATCCTCAACCGTGCTGAGGAAGGCTCGTGATATCCGGTCCTGGGCGTCGCTGAGCTGTGACATGCGCGAAAGACAGTTCTCAATCTGATTAGTGTTGGAAGTGGAGATGGCCTGTACTATCTGGTTATCCAGTTCCAGGTTGACTTCCGTTGGTGCCTCAGGTACTCTTTGTTCAGTGCTGGCGGGTGTCGGCTGTATGTTTGCCCCTTCAGCCCATTCAGAGAAGTCCAGCAGTGCCTGCGTTGCTTGATCAGATAGGTGGCTGATAACATCGCGATTGAAACACGGCTGTACTTCAACAGCTCTGGACAGGTAAAGTTGCTTTTCTCGAGACTTGAATGGTGTCAGCTAAGGTAGTGAATTTTCAGTAACCGAACAGGTGTCCAACCTTTGATGTTTTGTCCCACTGCAGAAGTTAGTGAGGTCTTGTCCCACATAGGTAATGTCTTACAAACCTTTTTCAGGATCTTGGAGAATGCTGTGGCGTTCACCTCGACGAATTGCTGAATGAGGTTAGTAGACGTAACAAGGTTGCGGCAGGAGCCAATCACCTCAAGCTTATTAAGATCCATACTGAACTGCTTGAGCCCTTCTTCCAGTGCTATATACCGAGAGGATACTTTGGAAACCGACTGGGGATGTTGCTGCATTACTCTCTTCTTGTCTAGAAGGGTTGCCAAGCGAAGGCGTAGCTACAATGTCAGTGACATCCCATGCGTGAGGCGACTGCCCTTACCTCTGCTTCTTTCTGTAGATAGAATGTATTGACTTTCTCAAGCTCTCGTTCCTACCCAGATATCAGAGTTCGCACGTGAGGTGGATGCCAGCGTACTCACCACGCGGAAGAAGAAGGTGGCTTTGTTCGCCTGTAGGGACGTCTGGGGATCCAAGTGTTCAATTCCATGACTTGATTCGCCCTGAGCTGGTAGGACAGGGGTTGCACTGAGCTTTTTGATGAGCTAGAAGGCGGCATCAGACTCTGAGTCTCCGCAACTTCTCACTCTCAATGTGAAAACAAACCTTCTTGAGGGCCTTGTAATCGACAAAGCTAGCAGCATATTCGGGTATATCCAGCTGCCGCTTTTGAATGTGTTTCCCAAACTTCCTGGAAAAGCGCGGGGAGTCAGTCTTGTCCTCCTTGGAAGCGAGGCTCTGCACGGATGCACTCTTCCGCAGCACAAGGCTAGGACGAAGGCGAGGGGACTCCATAGGAGTGGAACATACATTTTGACACGAGAGAGAGGAAACGAGACAAGTGTCCCGGTAGGTTACTCAAGAACCGTTACGTATGATGTGTCGATGAGGGTCGCCGCCTGTGGATCGAGAGGCGGCTAACCATACAGGTCCAGGGATTGAGCAAGGTGGTTGTCAGCAGGAGGCGATAGGACGACGGGAGCGGGAAAAAGAAACTCACATCCGATGTGAGGCTGGTAAAGGTGCCACGGGGGGATGCAAGTGCATGTGCGAATGTATAAATGTAGAAGTGTGAGGTCACTGGGGATTGGCAAGTGAGGGAGGTTAGTCCAGGGACAGGAGCGGACCTTCTGGCACAGGCAGGTCAGCTAGAAACCGGGATGGAGGCAAGAGCGGCATCGTCACGAGGGGAAGATGGTGGTGGGGTCGCCTGGGACGCGGTGTCGACGTCGAGAAGAGGGAGCATACCCGGTGGACGACAAGCAGAAGCCCATAACCTTCACTCTGTACAGTCGAAAGCAGACCAATGACAGAGCGCGAGTGAGGCACGCCGTAACTTCAAAGGCGTCCTGAGGCGGACAGGGCCTTACACGACCTGGCAAGGGTCTGCGGGGCTTGTGGCGGGTCCAGAAGAGAGGCGCTGGCGCAGACGCCGTTTTGGCCAATCACAGTGCGCGCTGCAGGCGTTGTCGCCGGAGTTTAGCCCAGGACCCTGCCGAGAAGAGAAATTGTCGCTTATATAAGCCCGGTACTCAAAAATAATAGCGACTCTAGCAAGTACAAGTAGTGGTCGTGTGGAAACAAGTGACGCCTTTTTTAGGAATCCCCACCGTCCCGAGGTCCAGTCCTATGAATTCATTATTTAGGATTTATCAGAGATGCCCGTGTTCGCATCACGCCAGGGACCCTCTTCTATCCTTTTTATCATCCTCCCATCGCTGCGGTGATTGGGACTCGCGAGCGGGGTGGGAGACCCTAATCTCACAGTAGCATATATGTATTGACGTCACGACCGGGTCTCTATGCAGGCGTGTCGGAGAATATACGCTATGTCATATGGTGGTATTCGCCGTGTCAAGTGCCCGCAAGTCAATTGCTTGTTGGTATCTCAGGCTCTGCAACAGGCCCACGCTGGTCTCCCTCAGATAAGAAATCCAGGCCATCTACGCTAAAGAGCCCCTTCGCCGACATAGATACGGGCCATGGCTTCCTAGTCTACCACTCTAACCTAGCCACTGGCCAGCCTCGTTTTTCCTACAGGTCGTAGGCTCCCCAACCGTCCAGGTCATCCGAGCGCTTCGAAGTGACATGTGGCCCACCCAACCCACCACTCTCCCCAACCCTGTCCCAAGGCGTACGCGTAGCTACTTCGCCACTCAACTCTTCATCAAGTCACAGCTCATCGTCGTCCATTTCCGCCGGCTTCAGCAGACCGCCGATTTTCATGGCTCGCTCGCGCTCTTCCTCCCTCGCCTTGTTCGCTGCCTGCTCGCGCTCTTCCGCGAAGAGCTCTGCGTTGTCACCCGCAAACTCCTTGAGCGAGATCAGGAAGTCACGAAGGATGACCTTGAACTTGTTGAGGTCCGAGTTGGTAGCGAAGAGACCGTCGATAAACGACGCAATTTGTGCCCTGTCTTCGTTAGTTTCGCTGAATCACCTTCGCCGAGGTGGGAGGACTCACGCTTGTAGATTGGGGAAAGCAGTTGAAAGAAGGGTCCCGACAAAGTTGCGCAGGAACTCATGATTCGACGTCCCTTCAGCGGCAACATTGGGCGGGTAAATGGGACCCGTAATCTTGCCAGACTCAACAAGCCAGAACATCTTGGCCAACAGCATGGACTGAGACTTGAAGCCCGCCTTGTGGTCGCTGTCTGTCAGGACGAAGAACACATCTTGCAAGATTCCAGTGAAGAAGGTCTGGAAGAAGTTGTTGCAAATCTGCGGATCCGTCTCGGCCATGTTGGATATCAGCTCGTAGCACATGGAAAGCCCTGCGCTTTCCACTTCCCGGTTGTCGTGTTTGCTCGCCCACATGCATGAGTCGATGACAAACTTGAATGACCGGGCGTCCAATTGCAGGAGAGCAGGGAAGCAACGGAGGTTGATCGTTCTCAGGAGCTTGAAAAACTCTACTCGATGCTCAGGGTACTCCGAGAAATCCTTGTTGATCATCTCCAGCGTGCATTCAAAGACGCTGTCCATGATATTCATAATCTGGTCTTCCATGAGACTCTGCCAGCCAGTTAGCAATCGTGAATTTGTAGAAGTGCTGCCCTGCAGGGCGCTTGCTCGGATAGGGTTGGGCGCATACATGTAGCTTGTTTATGATGGTAGTCATCACATTCAGAACCTCGGCCTCGCGTGCATCGGGAACGTTGCTCTTGTAGTCGAGAAGGACAGCTTCCAATAGCTTGGGCACGAGGTTGTTATGGATCATCTCGAGGTCGTCGGCCTTTTCTACGTAGATGTTGATCAGTTTGAGTATCTCCTTCTTGATCGTGCGCAGCCCTCGGACTCTAGGCATCTTCGTCGCAATGTTCCCTGCATCATGTCAGTTTGACGTCGACAGGGAAAGCTATGTGTTGCGAAATTGATTGTGATGGATTCCCGAGACGTGGACTTACCATCTCGCTGAACGGCCTGGTTGATAAGGTTGCTGCTCGCCCGGTACATGGTCAACATGTCGAAGTAAATGCGCCCGATTTGAGGGTAGAAGTAGGATCCGATTGAGCTGCACGCCGCCACGTTGGTCTTCATGATGTTGCCGACTATCTTGATAACCTCCGGATCTTGTAGGCATGCCGGATCTTGGTTCGCCTGAGCAATGATACGATCCCACTATTGCCCGATTAGTACTGATTTCTACTCAGGAATTTCGCAACATACCGCTGAGTTCGGAAGCTCCATCAAGTGTTCGATCAGCCCATCACGCACATTCTTCTGACCTTGAGCGCTAATCATGTAACCACAAGCCTCGTAGAAAGTGTGGATTTGCTGCGGCGAAAGATCGCGTGTGATTTTCGGAAGCGTACGAACAATCTCGTCGATAAATGGCTCAACCTCGCCTGGTTGTAACGCCACAAAATGCCGCCTGCACTTGTTGGCAATCTTGATGAATGTGTCGCACGCCATGTCTTGCACACCCTCATGGGTCTCGTGCATGAATTCAAAGAGCTTGTTGACAACTGTCTTCAAGAATTTCCAGTGAGCTTTGAGGAAACGTGGGTATTGTCCGACAATATACATGATGTTGCTCGCCACGACGGCTTTGTTGTCTTTTCCACGTTTCATCTCTGTGAGTCCAAGGAGATCCTTAATCACGGTAACCAGGAACCGCTTTTCTGTCTCTTCGTTCATTGCACCGGAGATGGAGCCAATGGCCCAGCAGAGAGTGTTGCAGTTGGCCCATGACCATTCAGTGCCGTCAACCTGACGGGCCAGCTTCTCCGACATGATCTGCTCGGTGTCATTGACATCTAGATGCGTCAGGTAAACCAGGCACTCTCTCGTAGACTTGTAGAGTTGAATGGTATCACTCTCTTTCACAAATTCGCGGACGATTTCTCCTTCATCGTTCTCGACAATCAAAACCTCCTCTGGCCGAACCATCTTCTCGATCATGACGGTACGGAGGTTCGACAGGATCTCGGCATATTTGTGTTTGCGGAGAGGATAATTCGCTAGGAGAGCGGGATCACGAGCACCCCCATTCGTGGCACCGATGCCCATCTGCAAAAGCGGATTTACGTCGGTTATAGGCAGAGCTTGCATTTCATCGTAGAGACCCTGGACGAGCTTGGTCCAATATTCCAAGCAAATCTTGAAAATCTCCCGGTCGTCGATCTGACTGATACGGATCAGGTAGAAATGGCCATGTGTGAGGTAGTCTCGGTTCATGAGATTTTCAATAACGCTCAAATGCTCCGTAAAGAAATTAGTGAGAAATAATGCGAGGTTTTGGACAAACTCTTGGTCCTCGCTGTTGCTGGATGCGTAAGTAGTCTTCAGATCCAGTGATAAGGGAATGATCTTGGAGATGGCTGTTAATGTCTCAGTGAACATCTGGACAAGTTTATCATCATATACTGGTTCAGTGTGGAGACCAGCTATCTCGGTCAGACACTTGAGCGTGATATTTCGGAAATCAGGGACCTCCAGGAAACGGCTTCGAAGCGTTTCGATCAGGCTTGCGCCAGTTGGCGGGGTTTCGAATATGTAGCCCAGAGGTATCCAATTGAGGAACCTCAGAAGTGTTTCCAGAGTGGCTTTGATGAGGCTTGCTTGGGTCGCTGTTCGGAGGACTTCGGAGCAAAGCTGGTAGATCGAGGTGAACTCGTCGCACATGCTCTGCTTCAGCTCGCGCCTTTTTGACGACGTCAATTGGTCTTCCGAATAGTCGAATACTTCTTCTGAAAGCAATCTCAAGATGACCATATTGTTCTCGCAGATTGCAAGGCTGCTGTGACAGGATGATATGATCTCGTTGATGAAAGTAGGCCAGTTGTGAGGCCATTCTTGCTTGAGGACGGATACGAGGACCAGGTTGAGTTTGTTGAGGAGAGTCCGATCCGCAGGTACTCCAGACTCGTTATTGGATAGTTGGATGATGAAGTTGACGACAAAGTTGCGAATCCCTGGAAGTGTCAGTAGAGCGCCAACCATGGGAGTAGGCGCGGAATCTAATCTACCTTGACACTGGTCGCGAGGGAGCACCTTCCACCTGGTCATAATGACATGATCAAGAACCTGTAGTCCTAAGTCTGCTGTGAATTAGCTTGTGACCCGATTGAAGTATGGTCAATGCGATCGAAACATACACTTAGTCTGCGGATACTGCGCCTCCTGCAATATCTTGTCTACGAGAAGCCATGCATCTGGATTCTCTTTGAACTGAATAACGGGTAAGATTCAAGTTACGGCCAACGCAGGAATGGATGCATACCTGATTGAGAGTAGCTTGTGCTTGCTTTTGCTATAATAGAGATTTGTGTTAGCATTGGGTTCATGGATCACAAGCGAAAGAAGCACTCCACATACAGTCTCTCCACGGCCTTCGTAGAAGGCACGGACGGTGCTGTCCAGCTCAGGGATGGACAACGACATTGTGTACGGTTGTTCCACGGATCACCTCCCAACAACCTCTGAAGCTGTATGATCTTATCCCCCACACTCAATCTAGCCTATTGAAGGCGCGGCGGAGCTGCCTTTGGCGGTGAAACGGTAGGGACGTCGGCGTTCGTTGCCCAAGGATGAGCATACACCGAGCGCGCAAGCAGGCCAACAGGGGCAAAGGACTAGAGTTCGGCGCAGCCGTGGTGCGTTATGCTTCCTTGTCTCCTCCACTACACCGGACGTGCAGCACTTTGATTGTAGGCGTGGCGGTTCGATTGCGTGGACGTTCCGTGGAGGAGTTGGGTAGAGCCGATGGTGGGGTACTTGGACAGGACGGCGGGGACCTGCGGGCAGCCTAGGCTTTCCGTTCGAGTAAAGGCTGAGATTTCAGAGTCGGTATGTACAGATTATCTGTGAAGAAGCCAGTTGTGGACCGATCCACGGACTTGTGAGGCGGAGCTTGGTTGTCGGTGTTGAAGAGCTTCAGAAGATGCATCAATGAAGCAGGCAGCGCGTCTGGTGCCAAGGCGCTAACCGGACGACGGCCTAGCGTTGCGGGTATCGATGCGCGTAATGCTCAACTTATGCCGCAACTGCACGCGCAGTCTTACACTGTTTCGCTAGAAAGGCTTATACTGGTAGTAGTTGCGTTGAAACTGCGTCCATTTCGGTCTCAACAGGTGAGCGTGCGTCAGGCTTCAAGTGTTGGAACGGAATGCTGGCGCAGTGTTGTCCAATCAGGATCATGGAATTGAGCCGCATCTTAAACATTAACACACTGTTGCCCATATTTCTAGAACCTTCAGTTGTTTGCTTACAAAATACTGTGTACTCCGGCGCTGAGCTGTGCTGTGTCGAATACAAGTAGGCCACAACTTGTCTGTAAGCGGGCAAGAGCCCTTCTTGTACTCTGAGATTTGTGGTATGGAATGAAATAGTTGCTCTGTTTCTTCGGCTGGCAAGTCGAGAGGTGTACAGCTTTCCACGAGTCTTTCATTGTAACATTTTACTTTTTTCCTTGTACCATGATAGGACGAACTTTCAAGTTTTGCAATCTGTCAATTGCAAACGCGCGACTTGCTACTGCATGTCTCGCCTGGGCGCGTCTCATGTCTCAAGTACTGCCAAGAGGTGAATGCGCACGGACGCTTCGAGAAACGTCAGGATCCCGAAGCTCCGCCCATCTTAGCTGAACCGGCAGATCGTCAATCAATCACGATGCAACAACAAAGACGTACATGATCACCAACGCACGCGCTCACATAGCTCCCCGCTGTCACCGCGTGCCGATACCTCAAGAACCAGTATCGTATCTCCACATACCTATCTCTGCATTCTGGCGTTCAACAATATCTCCAACCCTATTACCGCCATCCCACCTTCACCGTTGCTCTTAAAGGCACTTTCAACTGAACTCTTTCTTTATGATGTCAAATCCAAACATGTCAACGACACGAAGCAATGCGCAACCGGCACCGACCGCAACTATAATTGAACCACCCGTCTTGACAACGCCGTCCGGGACCCTTCGTCTCAGAGCTGAACCGGCAGAGCAGCGCCATATCCAATGGGCAGAAGACGTCGTGGACAATGAGGGAATGGGGAAGAAGTCCTCAAAAGGTAAGCTATCTGTGCATGTTTCGCGGAATTTGCTAAGAACTAAATAGTCTGCTGCATCTACCACAAACCGCGCGAAGTAGGCGAGTCGTCCGACGAATCCTCATCAGACTCATCCTCCGATTCGGACAGCGATAGCGAACCGGACAGCAGCAGAGCGCGTCCCGTGGGCGGGCGGAAGACTGGGCGAGGGCGTAAACCTCATAATCATGACCACGACCACGGTGAGCATGATCATGACCATGGCGAGGGACCATCCCAACAGCCGAAACCGCGACGTCGACCGCGACGCAAACCCAGCCCAAACGCTTACGAGAAAATGCCAAAGCGTAAATAGTTCCACGACACATCAACTCTCACGAATGACGAACGGAACGACTGGAGGCCCATACTCTTTTGAAGGACACGATTTTGCTAGAAGGCGTTTGGTGTGCTGCATGGTTTTCCCCGATTATATCTTGCTTTGCATTGCGGAGACTGGGAGGATAGGAGCTCGATTTGGACTGCAATAGGCATATTCCGTATCCAGTTCACAACCATGGTCGCCGTAGCCCACCCGCTGTGCCAGCTTAGGTGTGTATTCATAATGGGGTTTATACCATTGCTTCCGGGAATGAACAGCATGCAATGTCGCTCTCTTCCAGACCTGCTTTCTTGCTTGATTCCCTTAACGGTATATGGCGCTGTATCCACTCATCGCTGCTGGATGTCGCTTGGCGTGTCTGACGAATGATAGACCTCCAATCTCTGGTAGTCCCTGGGTATCGCTGTCAAGCGTAGCTGAGGTGGCTCGAACAGTATGATTACTCGTCCTCGTTCTGGATATTCATCATCGTCATCATCTTTTCTAATGGTGCAGCCTGACTTCATTCAGCGCCCCTTGGTGCCTTTGTTTGCGAAAGTAAGGCGGGAGCATGTTGCGTGGGTATGCGGACAAGTGTCTTGGGAAGCGGCAGTTCGGATGCGGTTCTGCGTTCTCCACCTTCCTCGTCCTTTGGCTTCGGCAGTTTGGCTGGTGGCCGGTCAATCGGTTGCTTACGAAGATGTGGCCTAATGAGTGTAACAGAGCAGACTTACTGGACGCCATGTTGATAGCGCGTAATACATTGTGCCAATTCGACAGCACTGCAGCGACCGCTGGACAACACATCATCAACACCTGCAGCTTGGTATTCAGGGTCCCCGGTACGGGTAGGCTTACTTTCTGTCCCATCGGATAACGTTGACAACTTGTCCGCCAGTGTCTGCATTTGGTCGGCAAGGCCCGCGCTCAGTGCTTCGAGTTCCTTGAGGTTCGCCAGCTCCGCCTTCTTCTCAGCGATGCGGGCAACGAGCACAGGCGATTGGGTGGCAGGTTGTGATGCTCCGAGGGAGGTGGAAGGGTTGCGGATGTGAGAGGGAAGCGGCCGTCCTGTATATGACATTCTGATCGAATAATAGCTCGCGTTGTTGACGATTTGGATATTCGCGTCGAGGGCTGTTGTCGTCTCCACAAGCGGGAGAACCGACACGTCCCACCCCGCTGGGTAATCACGTGAATCTGTAAAACTCGCCAAGGCGTCAGTCCTATCTGGGGAAAGTGCCCGGTTTGTTTACCATAGCAACAACAATTCGCAAACTATCATCACACGGCAGCAACGAGCAACTTCACGCCATTACCAGAACACCAGGAACATCGCAAATCAGACCCAAACCTCGTTTGTCACTATCATCATCTGACATACCTACACCGCGCTCATGGCGCGCCTTAATGAGCCGCCTGTTGCGCCAGGACCTTCTGCTGATTCAGTTGAAGTTGGTGAGTCGAGATTTGAAAAAGCGCCGGTGCGCTGATTGCTCTCCATAATGCAGACTGACAACGATTTAGTAAAGCGCCGATATCTGCGGCAAAATCGCGAGCTGGCGAAGTATGTCGGTTTGAGTCAGAGGCGAATTGTGCGAATGTGGGACTGATGGATGGCTATAGGATAAACTCGCAGCAGTCCATACGCATACGGAATCTGGAAAACGAAGGCTCGCGCCTCCTCGCCGAAAACCTCTCTTTACGCGAACAAGTGCTCCAATTGCAGAACACTCTCGAAGCACGCTCCAATCGCCCATCAATCGAGGACATTGGCGATGTGAAAAGTAGGCTTGAAACAAAGCTCGCGGAGTTTGGAAATTTGGTCGCGGAACTCGGACAACTGCAAAAAGCGAATCGTAGTCCACGATGCAAGAGTCAGGCTGCAGCAACCAGGCGGAGTCCGGATGAACGGCAATGGAGAAGTGGGTTAGGGCTACAGGCTGTGGAGAATGCAATGTTGCCCACCATTATGGAGGATAAGTATTTTCCGAGAGAGACTATGGGGTACGTTCAAAGATGGTCTTCGCATCTCGCAGTACCCGAAGGCCAACGACTGATTTGCCACAGCGCGGACGAGCTTCAGAACATGCTGGGTGAACCAGAGAGTCAGTCGCCTGATATTGGACCTCCACCCATCTCGAGATTCGACGTTGATGAGCCCATTCCCTTCCAACCCAACCGGTCACCTGCGGCTGAAGCGAACGAGATGACCGAAGAAACCGAGCCTGCACTGTTAGTCAACCTGGAGGCCCGGAAAAAGCGTCGTGAAAGTGGCCCAAAGAACGATCCGCGACGACTTTCGATGTTCGAAACGTCTCCTGAGAAAGCAGATGCACGACCAGCCAGAAGCGTTCGTACTGGGTCAAAGCGGAAATTTAGTGTTCAGGAGGACGAAGACCAGGAGGGGCAGCCCAAAGAAGCGGACACGTTTACATTCAATCGCCGTAATCCATCGGACACAGATGCAGCTGTAGCATCCAGTGATGGCAGCAGAGCAGAGTCACCTGTGAGACCTGCGCTTGCTAACAGTGAGTGCCTGTTGATCCGTGTACGAGTCACAACGCTAACGAAGCTAGAACCCGTCAACACCGATCCCGTCCTGTCACCGAAGAAGCATAAATCATCTAGTGCAAAACCGGAGAAGAAGGCCCCTGGCCTCAAAACGAATCGCGGACGTCTTACCATCACTCGAACCAATGCCCCTGAAATACCCCCAATTCCGCTACCGGCTCCCACTCCAGTCGCTGAGATACAACCAGAGCCCCTCCCGCCCAAAACTCCTGCAGTTGTCGACATATTCTCACCCCATTCCGATAAGCCGTCAACTTCCCGACCCGAGACCAAAGATACTCCACCTCCAGCGGATTTGAATTCGAATGATCAGACCGGACGTCCATCTCGGAGAGCGCGTCCGCAAGTCAGCTACAAAGAGCCAAGCTTGAACACCAAAATGAGACGACCGGGAAAAGAGTTGGTAGATGCTGTAGTCGCAACAAATAGAAGATCAAGTGTGGAGCCCACAAGTACAGTGAAGCGGGAGCCCGAAGAGCATAACTCAGGGTGGAAGAGGCTGCCATCAGTACAGGGGCATGAGAGTGAGGCCGCAGAAGCTGGGAGTCCACTGCGAGAGAAGCTTGGACGACGAGACGCCACGCAGCAGGGAGATACCGCACCTGACCCGCCGAGACTCAACTCTTCAGCAGCATCAAACGCCATTTCAGCGCTGATCTCCGCAACGAGTACCGCGAGGCGGAAAACCACTGCTGTCTCTTCAGCGGCCCCTGAAACGCACAATGTTCCCGCTCCAGTGGCATCCAAGCCGCTTACTGCTCCAGATGGAGGCGCGAGGGCAACCGCGGAGAAAACGGACGACCTAGCGATATTTGACTTCACAGATTCCTCGCCAAACGATCCGCCTCTTTCTCGACAGCGTGCCGACCTCGCAAAGGGGCTCAAGACTGGTAGACGGCACAGTTCCGTTCCTGCATCTTCGTCAACCGAGGAGCGTCTATCCGGCTCAAAGATAAAGCGTGACGAAATTACACGCCCTTCACACTCGCGGTCCGGAAGCAGTTCCGGAATCAGGAGTACGAGTGCAAACAAGCTACCGCAAGCCGACTCCAGGACCGGTTCGAAAGATAAGCAGCCATCGGGCCCACCGTCAGGTGCAAGCCAGCCGGACCTTCAGCCCTCAGACGAAGCAATAAGTACCGCTAGTCTGAGGGGGGAGCGAGCAGAGCGGGCGGCTAGCAGAAGGAAGAGTATGATGCTGTGAGCTCAACGGGAGAGCTTGCTAGCATCTTCAGAATACCGACTTGACGATTTTATATTTGAGCGTTCTGAGAACAAGCTTCGGCGTGGGGGTTCTTTCTTTTTCACCTGAGCTCGGAAAGGCGTTCCAGGGATATTGACTCTCCGTGACGATAAGCACGCATGCGTTGGATGGTAGCTTGGATACTTCACCTTTTGTCTGGATAGAGTAAATAATTCCATTCACTTTTGTACGTTCCGGTCCTAATGCTCCTAGGTGGATTTTCGCGACAGTGGTTGCATTGGAATTAAACAATTCTCACGGTGGACCGCGAGAGAGAGTTCGGCACAACTCCTACGGTTCCCAATAGATATCTAGCACTGCAAGTCAGTCTGCGAACGAGTGGAATGTACTGCGAGTGGGGGAATTCTGACAGACGCCTTACAGATCGAATTAGTTTTCCACTTCAAGTTAGCTTCCGCTGAGCCATGGTGGATAGCCAATTTGTGGGGCAGCGAGGGGTTATGATCGATGTCGCCATTTCGCGTGTGATAGTTTTGAGCTTCCATTGGCCAATCGCAGGGTGGTGGATGAGCTTCAACAATCTTTCGGCATGGAGACTGTGTAGGCGCTTAGATATAGACTTCGCACCCCTTGTTCAGGACGTCACTTCGCAGCTGGAGGTAGTTTTGGCCTACGTTTCGAATCGTGTAAAGTTCGTCGTCGCCGCCGGGCCGGTTTCTACGCATACATAAGCTGCTACCATGGCGCTTGACACCACACCCACCAACAAGAACCCACCCCTCCTCATCGACGTCCGCACCCCATCGGAATTCTCGACAGGCTACCTATCTCTCCAAAATACACCCGCAATCAACATCGAGTACCAAGACATACACCAATTACCGCACATCCTCCGCTCTCAACATGGTATCGAGGTGAGCAAGGACGACGATATAACGCTATACTGTCGGTCAGGGAGACGGTCGGGGATTGCGCTGGGGGTGTTGAGGGAGTTGGGGTATGCGAGGGTGAGGAATATTGGGGGGTTTGAGGAAGCGAGGGAGGTGCTTGAGAGGGAAGAGAGGGAACGGGTGCAGAAGGGGAACGCGGTGGGGGAGGTGGGGTTTGAAGGGAGAACTGAGGAGGATGAGGCGGCTGTGGCGAGGAGAAGAGAGGCGAGAGAGAAGCAGTTTGCGGTGTTGTTGCAGGGTTTGAGGGCGGAGTCTTGAGGGAAAGAAAAATTTTCGAGGTTCATTACTTGTGCTTGGTGAGAATGGGGAGCCCAGACGGCTTCGGCAGAGACGGACGCCGCAGACGGATAAGCGCTAGGTCCAGGGATGCGACGAACGCGTATGGGAGAAGAAAAGTGCTACGCAGGAAGGCGTGAGAGGGGAGACGCAAGAGTCCTCCGCACGCATCGGGAACCGCCGCGGAGTCCTAGTTGTCTTAACAGGTGCTAGACTATTTAAAAGAAGGGCAGCCTTTATGGTTGAGACAACTGAATGTTGCTGCGATAGGACCTAGGTTGAGATTTAAAGGGTTTGACGGAAGTCCTCGGTCGCCAGCGTGAAAGGACTTGATCCACATGTAGGCTTCGAAGTCATTGACTACACAGTCCTCTACAGGAATAGAGATACAATACCTCAGCTTGTTAGCCGACCAGAGAACAAATGTTTCTACGAGTGGCGCAGCGCAGCCTGGTGAAGTGGTCAAGGATAACGTCCCCGAGGGGTTAGAGTAGGATCAATTGTATGCAGAGGATATTACGAGTTTTGCTCTTCGAGCACCGTGATCATAATGTCCTCAATAACCCTACGGAAGGGTTTTGTCCGCTATAGTGATTCCACAAAGAGTTGTATCTCAGTTGTTACCCGTATAAACACACGCATCATCCAGACCCACATGTTGACGGCAAGTAGTGGCGCGCTTTGCGGAGTCTCGCCTCGAGCTGGCATAGAATGCAAACCAGTACTTTGCCCAACGAAACTAGCATTTTATCCCTTTCGTTCTCCAACAACTTAGTTCTCTAGCAAGAAAAGGCAACTTGGGCATGTACAGAGCGCATTTAGTAATGAAAAAAAGAAGTAAGATTCATAAATCATAAGCTCGAGCACTTCAAGCCAGATATCCTCCACTACATGAAACGATTACAAAAGCCTATCACCGTCAGAGGGAACAATCGAGAGCGTTTCACTGCCTCGAAACTTGTTGAAAGAAAACTCCGAGGCACAAAGCAGGTACGGCAGGTTGAAAGTATCCTTCCCGTATCCCTCAGAATTCAGAAAATCCCCGGATAGTGGTCGAAGCACTGTCTTCCTGGAGCATCCTGCACGTCTACAGGCGGACCGCTTCTAGGGCAAGCCTGCACTGTCCTGTTCCGGTCCGTGACATTCGTCAGAGCTGATCATGTGGGCCAGCAATGCGTGAACTGTCGCCATCTACGGCATAAATGGTCGGAACAAACTGAGAGAAGCGTTAGCATATGCATCCCTCTGAAGATATGCCCTTGACCATATAGACAAATGTAACGTACTTCGGCCTCTGTCTTCGCAACCGTAGGCGCTTCACGCAACTTCGGCACTACAGCGGGGGCTGAAGGCACACCGATCGGATCGACCTTGGAATCGGGGTCCCAATCAAGACTGTTGAGCAAGCTGTTGGACGTATGGAAGGTCTGACTATTGCGATCAGACGTTGAAGTCATGGATGGACCGGGTCGTTTTGAAGGGAGTATGGCGGTTGTGAAGGCGCGGGCAGTTGATGCAGTCGTACGAAGGCTCTTGGCCTGCGTCGAGCTGGCGAGGTGCTTGATAGCGCGAGAGGATACTCGTGAGGCTTGCATGATGGATCGTATGTTGTGAAGACAGCGTACAAGAGGAGCAGGAGATGCACTGGAGCGGGCGGGAAGCTGCAAGAGGCGGGAGAAAGGAGGAGAGTAGTCAACAGTGATAAGCTAGGAATGGAACGGCCCGGATATGTAAGTTTACCACTTGCTCGGTCGTTTGAACTCGGGTTTCACAGGAAGAGGCAGGGAAGCAAGGTGGTGGAACTCGTCCGTCCTCGGGACATTTCACGAAATATAAATGCACAGGCGACTCTGACGGTCTGCTGGTGGCGGTCAACGCACACACGCCTGGTCCAATAGGCTCGTGTTCCGCATGGTATTCTTCGGTCATGATCATAGAAGAGCTAGACGGGGCTTGAGCGTGTGCATCATTCAATACATACTGGCACTTGTTGATGCTCGTTTCACTGGCACAAAGCAGCGGGACCCGGGAGCTTGGACTCTCACACCATAACACTAAACCATCTATAGCCTAGAGTACAGCCCGCCAATGGTGCACTTGCTCCACCCTCCCGCCAAGCTCAAAACATCTATCAGATCACTTCCCCGCATTTCATCAGTGGAATAGACGACTCTCCTCTTCTCTGTTTGCACTCTGGCGGAAACACATGGGAACTCGGGTAGATTGTCATCGGGTTGTTGAGGACTCGGGGTTCGGAGTTAGTCGCAAACACGGAGTACGGAGTATTCTGTGGCGGTTCAGGGCAAAATACCGGCGGTGAGCCATTCCTCAGGGGAAGAAATGCAATTCATCGCACGTTCAAGCCAAGCGGACCCGATTTGGCCTGATCAGTCTCGGCTGGCGTCGCGATGTCGGAATCATGGCCAGTGCGCTGTTGTCCCTGAAGCTCCCGATCATCATCCAGGTACCAACGTCAATCTCGCCGTCCAAACAGAGTCACGTTGACATCTTCCCGAATGCTTCCGTGCGTTCATAATCGCGTGCTTCCATACCTTAATGCAACGTGTGATAAGGGTGGGGTGATGGGCATTATCTGAGGGAATGCGGTGATGTCTTGATTCGAAATCGATGCACTGGAGAATGATGCCAGGGGTGCCTTAACGTCCAGTCCGTGAGTCGAGACTCGCAAGCTGTTCTAGATCGGGTAATAGTGAGGCAGGCGTCCAGGCATGCGTAGGAGTCCACCCACCTAACTCAAACCCATCGTATGCTGTCCAAGGCAGATCCGGTTCGCAACACGGTTTTGGTGCAGGCATTGCAGAGATGATTGTCCATTTCCACGACGTAACTCAAAGAGATGCACTGGCGGCACCATATTAAACAGTGGCGGTGTCCATTTTACATGGAAAGGAGGGTAGCTAACGTCCCTCTACGCACGCGTTTCCATCAAAGATTACCTGCTTCTCTGTTACCAGCGCTCTCAGCACCAGTTCATCCTCATAAATGTCATCCGCATCACCTTGCGCCTTTCTACAGTATCTTCCACACGCACGCGCGTCCCCTCTATGTGCATAGATCCTTCGAGGGCAGATGTATACCTTCCTAGTTACCCAAGTTGGGTGCCATCGTAGATCTACGTTGCTTTCTCGCGTCGCACAAAGTTGGTCAGTCCCTTCTACCTCTTTACTCGAGACCTTCGTCTTTATTGCATGAAGATATTGTTTCTTCTCGAGCCAATCCACAAGTCGCGTAATGTCGAGATATTTCGCTTCTTCAAGGAGGGCTAAATACATTCCGTAGTCGTGCCCTTTCGCTTTGTCGTAGAAGATGGGGAGCACGCCGCGACGGAGGTATCGTAGGATATGCTCAAAGAGGGTCGGATCCGCGTCAACAAAATAGGAGCCGTCTCCCTGTGCATTATCCCAACGGCCCGATAACAATGAGGCGAAAAAACCGCTCTCCTGTAGAGTTTGGAGAGTGGTGACGAAGCGACGCTCGCCAACCTGAAGCGTTATGCGCCTATCGGTTGTAGTGATAGGTGGGTGTTGTAAAGGCTCTTCGCCAGACATTCTACGCTCCGTAAAGCAAGACCAAGGAAAGAGGGAAATCGAGTTGGAGAATAGAGGAAAGACAAGAGGAAGTTGATCCCATATTTCACCTGGCAGATATATGCCCATGGTCCGTTTTCATTGGGAACCGTGATGCTTTCACATGCCCCGGAGATGAATCTTGCTCGATTGGCCCTACAGAGAGTGACGGAGCCACGAGGTCTTAAAGTCCCAGCCGGACGGTTGCTGCCTTCACGTGCACGCATCGAATAACAGGTCCCAGTCAAAGCGGCAAAGTGGTCATTTACTGCTTGCGAATCGAGAGCAGCGCAAATTTGTCTTTCTGGACAAGGGCTAGCTAGGGTAGCAAAGCAAATATTTCGATTTTCATACGAGACCGCTTTGGATATTTCATAAATGCTACTAAGGAAACCTGAATTACCCTTGCCACGTTCCTTGCACTTTGCTTGAAGGGCTTCCAGGTTGCGGTCAAGCGCGGTATGAACGAGCATGGCGCAAGAGTGGGAAGCCGGGAGGGTAAGGAAGCTTATAGAGAGGGCAAAGCGATGATCAACCATTTCGCGATCGAGTAGCATTTGAGCTTGAGAAGATGAAAGAATACAGCAATGGAGCTCTGAGCACCGCTGTGCGGCGTTTCGTCTTCTCTGGCGGTTTCTGTCAATTTATTTGAGAATGAAAAGGATGATTAGCAAACCACGGGAAGTAGAGATATTTCACAGCATTCCTCCATCGAAATCCACCCAATCTTGCAGCGTATCTCAGCTCAGCTCCTCCCCAATTGCAATCTGTGCATAAATATGTTCAACAAATCGCTTCGAAGCCATCTTACCATTCTTCTCCGCAAAGTGCACAGCCCGTTCGTATTGACTTCGCGGAGGATCCCCAACTTCCAGATCGAGTAAGACGCCTGCCTTCATCAGGAACGTCATCGTGTCGATACGACCCCATTCCGCTGCCGCCTCAAAAGCGGTTCTTCCATCGCCTTCAGCAGGCAGATAGTTTGGATCGGCGCCTCGTTCTCGGAGAAAGGTAGGTATGCCGACGTACTCATTCATCGCAGCAAGTTGGAATGCAGTGCCACCTGAATACACGGGAACTGTATCGATGATGGCTCCTTGATTGACAAGATACTGGACGATATCGAAGTTGCCATTTTCGGCGGCTCTTTGTAGGGGTGTCCGACGGAAGTTCCATTTCCGCGCGTAGTTCACCTCTGCACCCCTCTCCACCAGCAGCTTGACCATGGGAAGATCCTACACGTCAATGGCAGCTAATAGTGGAGTCAAACGGGGCAACCAACTCCTGCCGCTTCCCAGCGGTACCGGCCCAAACTCTGACCCTCGCAACCCATTATGTGCTATGCAACAGTTCGGATTAGCACGGTTGTCTAACAGCACCTGGAGTATCTCGAGATTGTGCGTGAGAATCGCATCGCCCATAGGACTTGTACACCCCATAAGTCCGTACAGAAGGTCTCTGGTTGACGATTCGACCATGTCGATATCTACCTTGCCGCAGAGCATGTCGATCATAGCCAAGTCACTATGTCGAATTGCTTTTCGGAGCGCTGCGGATCCATAAGGGCATTTACCATGACGCTTCTCGTCTCCTGCCGCTTCCAGGAGTAAGCGGATTGTAGTGGCTTCGGCTTTGCGGTTTACTGCCCACAGCAAAGCCATTGAATCTCTGCGATCAGACCCTTCAGCGAGCAGAAATTTGACCCAATTCAAGCAATCCTGTCCAGCTGCGACTGCAAGTAAAGAGGGCGCGACATATACGACATCGTCCGAGCGATAGTTAAACCCGCTGATGCTACCATAAAGTACCGGGCGTTTTGAGATGTACGCTTTATAATACTCATAATCAACATGATAGACAAGTTCGTCCACTAGCATTGGCAATCAAATAACCACGGGTCTCAAACGCAAGGCATTGGGCGCTGAGTTTCCTCGCAGTGTTACCTTACTCTGTGCCCAGAATTTGGGTAGTGGCGACATTATCATGTACGGGTTGACGACCAATTCTTTTTTGGTTATGAGCAGTATTGAGTTTGCCTCAAGCCTCAATGGTAGTCAACCCTAGGAATGCATCATCTCAGCTGAATGCACTCTGTGTGACTGCTCGTGCAGGCGGTCCTTCTACCGCCCGCGGGCAGGGCTCCATTGCGTACTCGCAACCTGGTAGTGTTTCACAAGTTTATTGTTGCCCTGGCGCAATAGGTCCTTGCTAGTTTCTCAGTATTGGCCATCCCCCCGCCTATCTATTTTCGTCCCAGCTGTTTTCGTCCCTTCCGCTACTGTGACTTCTACCTGTGTGGTAACGGTGATTATAGCAAGGTTAGCTAATAACAGGGTATGCAACAGGGCACACTTTACCCTCGTAAAGCGTCGTTGAAAATCATGTTCCCGGCGGTATTGTCGCGGCCGCCCAAGCGGTAAACGCGCTTCTCATGCTCTCTGATAACATCTTTTTTCCATTCTCCGGTCCTAGAAATATGAGCTAAACTCCTATGTAGCTGTAAATATAGCATACTCATCTAGAGACAGCACTTTCGACTTCTACAACTAGGGATATAGCATTTTGAGGGGTAAAGATGATCGTATAGATCTTGTTTTGCATTTATATCGAGGCATCTATATCGAGATCTTTAGGCGATATTAGAGCTTTTTAGTCGTTTGGGTCTGTCTTGAAGGAGCATGGGGTTCTAACGATAGTAATTTAGAGGTGGCCATGAGTGAAGCGGGTTTATTAGCAGTCGTAGAGTGGAACAGCAGTGCAACGACAAGTGAGCCGAACGTCCTTTATTTATCAAGTGTGTAAGGCCGTCCAAAAGTTTCCTCTTGGACAGGTTCGAGACTAATAACATACCCTAGTGTGTCTGAACCCTAAAAGGACCACAAGCAAATCATTGGTTGGATGTCCGCTTGCATGCTGTGCCTGAACGTGAAAGGACTACAAGTGAATTATTGGTTGAGAGTTCGCAGATATTGCACAAATGCGTTTGTCTACCTAATATTTGTATACCTAGGCTGTCCATTCGCCTTGGGTTATGCTGCGTTGGAAAGGGAAACTGTTGTCTGACGCGGACGGTGGGCGTGACTAGATTCTGAACACTCGCATTCCTGATGGCATTAGAACAGGCATTAGAACAAGCAGAAGTGCGGCCCCAACCCGTTGCCAGACGTGAGGGCATCTAATAAGACGTAGGCGAGCCGTGCCACTAGACATTTACACACCCGACAAATAGACTAGGTATTGCTCTGTTATTAAGGGGCGTCCCTCCGAATTCGCTTCCCTCTGCTTTCTACGTCCGCCTCCATCGTCCCTTTCATCTCCTGCGTCAACTCAGTGCGGCGTTATTATGTAACAAACCTCTGACGTCCGGTGGAGGAAACTCCAGGCAAGTGGATCCGCGACAGTATTCCAGCTTCGTTCTGATCAAGGAGTACAGATTAGTGGATAGCTACATTGAGGATTGTTTGGGAATTCTTGATTACTCTATAGAGATGGGTGCGAGGGCGACGTCCGGTGAGAACTGTACATTCACTGACTCAGGAAACAGCTGACCAGGAAATGGCAGTGATGACCGCCACACGCCTCTAGAGGCGCTGGGGGGCTGACATTTTTGGGGGGTCGGCGCGGGTAACTGGGTCCGTCAACTCCGGTGACGAGCCCCTGCGCGCATTGTTCACAACTTGCTTGCAAATTTAGAACGTGCCTAGTCTAGATCCTGTGTTGGGTGGGGATGTTCCGCCATTCGCCTGGCCTATTGTGCTTGCGAGTTTCTGTAACTGCGGCTAGAAAATAATCGAGACTGTACCTCTTATAGCCCGGATGAGAATGGGGGGCGAGCTTCGTAATTTTGAAGGACTGTGAACGACATCATCATTATCAGCCCATCCCAACTCCTCTCAGCCATCTCATCGTGGGGGTTCGGCGTTCAGCCAGCGGGAATTAGGGGTTTGTCCCCGCCAACGGTGCAACAGGAGATGCTGTGCATCCCAAACCCTATATGTCTCTGACTGGGTCGAACCTTTGCTCGCGTTGTGCGGACACTTGGCTGTCCCCACCTGTGGACGCTGGACTGTTTCCTGTAGCTCGACTACTGCTGCTCCCTTCCCCCCTACTAGCGGCCCTTTCTACTAAAAATTAGCACACCTTATATTATAGAGAGAGAAAGAAAGAGTATATACTCTTTAGATTTAGAAAAGCTCGAACGCTGATCGCCATCCGCCATCGAATAATGTCCTCGCCAACCTGTGGTGCACCTTCCTCTAAGAGCTGAGCATTAACGCGCGCATGCACATTTGCTTTCTCTCTTGCAGGTACGTCAGCCCACGACCATGTTGGATGCGCCTCGGCAATAGCTCGTCCCTCTTCTCGGGTTATAGCCTTAGGCCTGTTAACGCAGGTTGCGCCAGCAAGGGCCAAATATGTCTTTTGTGCTCTTACAAGAAATCGGCCCCATTCCGCAAGACCCATTCCCGCAGTAGTACGGGCTTCCTCTGCTGTGGCATTATGTGAAAGATATCCCATGTTACCAGCTTCGGCAAATTGTGCAGCTGCCAATGTGCCATGTAGATGCTTGTTGTGACGTTCCGAGGATGAGCTTCGCGATGGCTTGGCATAATAGGGACGAGCGAGCACTCAGCAGAATCAGCAGACTTCACCGGGATAGATAAGGAGGCTAGCCTGATATGGTAAGCCTCAAACCAGAGGCTTTCAATTGGCGGGGTCGTCGAATGGAAGTGCATGGCATCTTAAGTTAGACGCGAACAAGGGAGTAGTTTGGCAGCAGCGGCGATCCATGGATTGCTCATTTCTACCTAGCTACTGCTGGACCTCTGAAGGGCTCCTGGGCATCCCGTCTCCCGAGGTCCACGCCCATGCACGTGATCAACCTCTCCCAATGCGCTACCCTGCTCTGGCTTACAGTTCCATTTTGCCCAGCTGTACGCAACTTATCAAGGAAGAGACGAAGCATCTCTTCTTCCTCCTTGAAAGTCTTACCCCTCTACTGGTCTTCTACGGCAGAATTTCGTTTCATTATTGAAAACAAAGCGGCTCCTTGGATAATCATCTGGGTGATGGTGTAGTCCTCCTGTCCGCCAAGTTTCCAGTCCCTGAACTTCTGAATCATGCCCTCGACCTCCTCGTTGAAGGGCTCAAATTTAATCCAAAGATTTTTGGATTCCGAAGACTGCAATTGCCACCACCAACGTATGGTATTCGCGCGCGTGCCTACCATATCCAGGATCGAAATATTGTCCTCTGCTAATGTTAGCTTTTTATTTAATGAGGGACAAAGTGTACCTACAGCAACGTCTGCACTTCTGCCGCTTGGGAACATGTTAAATGAGCACCAAGAAAGTCAATAGTTTGGTCCAAAAGGGACTATTCGCATTAGAAACTGGAAAGTGAAGACAGCATAACATACAAATCGCGGATCCGTTTTCTCTAGTTGGAGCCACTTCTTTCTAAATTCCATTGTAGCTTTCTAAAGGTCTGAAGAGCAAGCATGCCACGTCTTATATATAGTTCCGTCAGTTCGAGCAGGAAAGGCCACAGGCGGGGTCGGCTAGGTAAGCATTTGATATTACCATCGCAATAACTGAGAACCGTTCCGGATATGCGCTTATGGTTAGGCACTTCTTTACTAGAAGGGAAACAACATACTCAGAGATGTGTCGCAGCCCATGCGGGTGGGTCTTGCAGGCATTGAGCAATCTAGTCAAAGGTTGGAACCGATTTTTGGAGCGATTCTCAGTTAATCTATCTAGGCGACTGGCATCGTAATGCTCAACTACAACTGTCTAGCTATAGTAACAGACAATACAGTCGCACCGTACTGTAAGATATTAATGATAAAGGGCGGATGTGCGGGAGCAATAATTGCACACGTTTTTGTACTTGTACTGATTAGGTCGGCGGACGAGTGTCATAATAAAGGAGCCTGATTTCGACAGACGAATCACGGGCAAGAACATTTATAAGGGAAGCGTTAAGGAGATACTTACGCCGCAGCCTATATTTTTATTATTAGAATAGGCGCGTAAATCCAGGAAGATGATTTGAAGGGCACGATAGAGGGACAACGAAGGGGCATCTTGGGACAACTGTATATAGATGCATCCCGAGGGGACTAGTCAATGCTATAGACAGCGTGCTAGAGCAAGTCCCCGGCTTAAAATCCGTGATGCTACGCAGGTTCGAGAGCAACAGAATGCATACTGTGGGATCTCCGGAGACATGTCCAAGATGTCCTCTCTGAATGGCACAGTCAGCATCAGCCCTCGTGAGTCCACGACCCGCTACTGTTAACTAACAACACTTGTGGGTTGCGCCAAACGCTTTCAATTGGAACAGTGACGTGCTACGCGCAGCAGGAACCAGGGCTTCCAGTGGCTTCAATCTCCTCCGTTGTGGGATCTGGGTCAGCGTTTCTCGGAATCCAGTTCTTATTTTTCAGAACCTGAACGCCCTAGTATGAGAATCCTCGAATCTGAGATTCCTAAACTAGTGTATTGCCTCTTGCGTGTCTATAGAAAGTAGCAGATACGCTGTAGGAGTCTGTAGCTGCTAGATATTTCGTTTTTGCTGTGCAACAACCAAGAGTAGACGGTAGTAATTTTGTAGATCCCAGGTTCGAGAATCTAAAAGCGTAGGTATGCTAAATAGATTTTAAATGTTGACAAAACATTCAACAAAAGCGGCTCAGTGGTCTAGTGGTATGATTGTCGCTTCGGGTTCCTACGCCTGGTTTCCTTCGAAACCGAGATTGTGACAGGCCCCGGGTTCGAATCCCGGCTGAGCCCCAAGCATTTTTTTTTCTTTTTACATATATATAATCGACTCGGTTTATTTTTGCTGTTGGGTGTAGACATACATGGAGCCTAGGAGATGTTTTTGCGTTTTTTAACTGCGACCACGGCGGCGTCCTGAAGATTTGTGCAGTGGGCGCGGACGCCAACTTCAAGATACGATTCACCTTCTAACATTCTTTCTCCTGTAGACTTTCGAAACTTCTTCTTGATCATCAGGCGTTTCTAACATTTAAGCACCTTACCCTAAAGGTATCTCGGGCCATGCCGCGAACGAACCTCTACGTCCAAACGGCTGCGTGGTTTTGCAACTCACAGATTTGAATGGTTGGTCTAGAGCTCTAGGAGCTATCGTTATTTCTAATAGACTGTGTTGGATTAGGCGCCATCTCTTTTGGTGTCTGCAGCGACAAAGACCTAGCACCGCTCACCAGCAGTTTGATTGATTCTATATAGGCAGTTCTAGCAGTTCATCTACTAAGCCTAGGGTGATAAGCTTCGTCGCTAGAGAATTGAAAAAAGAATGCACATATGAATGCAGGGCACTTAAGGGATACATAGCTATCTTTAATCACATAGTAGAAACCTTCGGATGCAATCTTGGGCTCTAGATCAATCACTCCCCACATGAGCTCTTCTAGACAATGACACCTGATCTAAGTTACCATAGACGCTCGATGCTGCAACCGTACACTAGTAACTACAAGCCTCTTCTACCACTGTTCGAGACCGCATCACTCCTTGTTCTTGGAGTAGATCTCTTGTAGTACATCCCAGTATTCCGGTCACTGTTCCATGTAGAGTCCTCGACGAACGGATCGGCCTTCCCCATCACTACTCCAAGATGACTTCAGGGGTTTCCGACAGACTGGCCTTGCAGTAACGCAGATTCAGCATCATTTCACCTTCAGGCAGATTGGTGCATCTTCAAATCAAGCGGCCACGTAAACGACCCCTCGGCTGCGTCATCCCTTTACGCCCTGCATGCACCTCACGTTTCCACGCAGCAGCGCATACGCAACCATGAGGCTGAGCATATCCTTTCACGAAAGCTCTGCATCAGCTTCGACCTGAAGGCCTTTGGATTATATAATCTTTGGGAAGGGTCAGACCATGTGACTTCGCGAAGCTGAATGCGAGGAATGCGAGAAAGCAACCAATCAGCACGGCCAAAATTGCGTACATCGGATTTTCAAGATTTCCCTGCGTATATCGCATCAATTGAGTATGAAATCTGCATGTTTTGGGAGCATAGAAGGAGAGAGCGTCTATATCTCGTTTCTCGCTTTGCATGGTCGGTTTACTCGCTTTGGACATGGCGAAGAGAGTGGATACAGATAATACTTCAGCTTCGCGCTTGTCTTACGCGTTCACTGCAGAGGTTGAAGAAAGCTGGAGGATATAAGATGTATAGTCTATCGTGCATCAGTCCATCACACACTGTTTCTATCGTTAACATTGAGCTTCGCCTGGACTCCACCCCTCGACATCTTTGACCATTCCACAACCGAAACCTGAAAAGGGACCACCACTGACCATGGCCGGCGGAGAATCCATTTGGCTCTATTCACCGAGCTTCCCGCTCTCGATCGTGGTCGCTATCCTCTACCTCGTCCCAACCCTCGTCCTCGCATGGCAGATCATCGTCAAATACCGATCTTGGTTCTTCCTCTGCGTGCTGATCGGCTCAGCGGTGGAGGTAGTAGGCTACGCTGTGCGTGCGGTATCGACGAAGAAGCAATCCGATATCGTACGTCCATGGGTGCAACCCTTCCTTGAGAATGGCTAACCCCGCTGATTAGCCATCCTACGCGGTATCCAGCACCTTGATCATCATCGCTCCCGTGTTCGTCGCCGCCGGTAATTACCTCCTAATCGGCCGCCTGATTCGCGCAGTCCTGCCTCCGACAAGGCATCGAATTTTCTTCATTCCGGCTCGGTTCATCACAAAAGCATTTGTGCTGTTCGACATCTTGACATTCCTGATCCAGGCCTCAGGTAGCGCCATCGCTTCGTCGGGCAACTGGGAGGGAGATCAAGCGGCGACCGGAACAAATGTGCTCATAGGAGGATTGAGCTTGCAGGTTGCAACCTTCGCTTGGTTTCTCTCCATAGTGACGAGGTTCTGGTGGTTTACCAGGAGGGAGGTCAAGGATGGTGCACCGGTCGGCTGGGCCAGGGTACTGCAGGCGATTTGGGTGTCGTCGTTGCTTATACTGGTGAGTTTAATGAGGCGGCTATAATCGAAGCAACTAATGTCTCAAAAGGTGCGCTCCATCTACCGAGTCATCGAATTCGCGCTGGGAATCAATGGCTATCCCTTCACGCACGAATGGACGTTCTATGTCTTCGAGGCACTGCCCATGTTGCCGGCGATATCCGTCTTCTGCATTGTTCATCCGGCCAAATATCTCGGAAGTCGAGGAGGCTTGGACAAGCCAATCTCACAAGAAGAAGGTCTCATCGAGCTCGATGACGGTGAAAGGCGCCGGCGTTCACGTCGAAACCATCGCAACAAGTGAAGTGCGAGAATCTGCGCACCGGGAGGCGGAAACTCGGCTCTTGTCGGAGACGTGTAATATCAGCGAGGGATCTAGTGGTTGAATTAAGGTTGGTTGCGTCGTTGGATTAAGGTTTTTAGCGCGAGCTTGTTGGATCCGGCGAGGAAGGTGCAAAGAGTGGGTAGACGAGTAGGGAAAATCGCCGGCAGCGGTCACAGCCCTCCTCAAAGCCGGCCCATCAATATATCTCTTGTTTCCTTGTCCAGGCCACGGTATTCTGATCGATGTCCGCACAGTGAGTTATCACTTCTGGCGGAAGCACCATGGCAGTCATGTCCCAACCCGCCGTCTTGGTGTAATCAAACGAGTGACGGCGACCAGCACTGAAATAGGCAGGTCAGAACGATCTAGAGTGCAAATTGCGCCAAATTCTCCTTTTCCCTTCCACAAGAAATGCTGGTAAACGAATGTAGTGCCGACCGCCTATTCGAGGTACTGAATCTCATCATTCCTGCGCCCCGCCATATTCTGGAAAGGGTATCTTGACACTTGTCTGCAAAATTCGACATGGGGTCTCAGAGGTTCGGGAATATTTCTGTAAATGTTTTCAATCCACCCCAGCATCGCGGTTGGAGCGTGCACACCCTGAAACCCTACTCTTTCGAAGGCCAATATTGGAGTCAGGATGGCTTGGATCGCAATGAAGTGGGCTAACAGGATCTGGGCAACCGCGTTACTCGGATCAATAAACGACTGGAATTCCTCGTGCTTCCACCTGGCCGGGGTATTGTAGAGAACAACAAAGGTGGTGTACGCCGCGACTGGGTCGTTATATGCATGCTCGACCGTTCTCACCATGATCTCCCAAAACGTCCTCTCCCATTCGGTCATGTTCAAAAGCTCGATCTCTTGCAGTGACATAGCCGCTGCCTCGAGGTCGTCTCGATTCACCGAAGGGAGCGGAGATATCGCGAGTCGATTTCTCATCGTCCCCAGGTGTCCATCTGCGCTCAAGGCCTGCTGTAGTTAGCCCCTCGCTCCACGTAAACAAACCAAGAAATCGTCGCCGGGTAATTGAAGGGATTACCTACATGAAAAACTGACTCGGGGTTTTTCAGCCCTTCATCCCCGGCGATGAGATTGCACCCCCTGACCATGGTCAGGAACTCAGCGAGACCATCCTCGAGATGACTGGATTGAAAGGCCAAAGCGAGTGCTGCTGCCATGCGTGCGTCGCGTTCGTTTCGTGTCTTCGGTGGTACTGAAAGTGCTTCGTTGAGCGACTTCACCGCGAGTATGCGATGGGATATCGCCTCTTCGGCGACGTTGGCACTGGACACGGCGTTCAGATGTGACGCTGCCAATGCCAGTATGGAGTGTATGAGATATTCATACTGATTGTTTGTCAGCTTACTACATCGAATGAAGGCCTGTACGTCATACGTTGTGTGCAAAGCCAGGGATCACAGTGATCCATATCTTATCAGCACCGACAGGAAGGTGAGGGTACGCTGTGATCAGGAAATGGTGGAACAAGCGCATGTCGGACATTGTCTACGGAGTCGTTAGTCCACCAGCTCTGATGCCTACGGAAAGTTGAAGTCAACTCACGAATGCGCCAGGTGTCGAACGCAGGTGCACCATCTCCTGGGGAGAGGGAGAGGTAGGAGTGCGATGGCCCGACTGAATGATGTTTGCAGGATACTCGCATTGCAAACCCGCCTTGATGCAGTGGTTGCACTCAGGATGTTTCTCGTTGCATTTGATTCTCCGACGCTTGCAGTTGAAGCATCCCCGACGCGACTTCGTGTGTCCCTTCCTGGGAATTGGCTTCCGAGTCCGCGACGGCGGCGGGGCTCCCTCACAATTTGGGGTCCCCTCTGGGGAATTGCTGGATGAGGACACAATGCTACGCATAGGTAGCGGCGAGATGGACATGTCCAAAATCTCCGATGTTAACATTGATGCATGCGCAAGCAGACAGGCTCTTGGTGATACATATATTGGCAGGTTATGTAACGCACCCTGGGGCAGTCGCTTGTGGAGGTGAAATTTTAGGGGCTCAGACCACGGGCTTGGAGACCTCCGCAGACTGGTCCTTGGTTAAGCCAGGGGAGATGAGGTCCAATATGAGCTGTGTCCCAGCCTACCCTAGGATACTATTCCGTAACTCCGCCTACTGTGACGGGTGGGTGCTTTGTGTATCTACCTAGCCCGTCCTGGTCTAAATCTCCCGGCCGTTCGCAACCATGCGTCTTAGTTTCCAAACGCATTCACCGGTGCGCCATGGCTGATTGTGTGCACTCGGCTTTTGATGTCAACCTGCAGCGACGAGCGCTCGGACAGATCTGAACTGAAGACTGGGCCTGCACGCTGGATTAACGCTGAGCATCTGCCTTTGGAGGATGAATAGACTATCATATGAGAAGCCTGGAGGAACCGGCTGGGTGGTCGAGCACGGGGTTCATGAAGCGCCTGTCTCCTGTCTCCCCTCGAAGTTCGGGGGCGCCCGAGCCTCCTCTGTGCCCTGCAGATGTGCCAGCTATTTTTGCCTTGCAGAGGGTCAAGCATTTGCCAAGCAAATGTACTGGTAAGATCGGGAAATGCTTACGTCCGATCAAAGGGCGTGTTTTGAAGCTTCGAAATCATGGGGGGACTCTCAGCCAGTCAGCTTGCAGTATTTACCATATGAGTAGTAATACATAATACCTAAGCTGAACAGAAACCAGCGTCTGCAGCCTTGTCTCGACTTGGTGGTTATGCAACCTTAGGGCGCAACTCGGTCAGTGTTTTGCTCTGGACAACCCGTCCAGACACTGGGGTGGCCCACTGACGTGGTTCTCGTTACCGCTCGAACAGCGCGGCGGAATGATTTCGGAACGATTTCCGATGAAAAGAGCAGTCACCATTGGATAGTTCTGAAGCTTGAAATAATGAAATTGGGTACAAACTGTGAGTCTGCCTTTTGCCGAGATACACCATGCCATTCATGGCCTAAAGATGGGAGAGAACGTGAAGGTTTACATGGTTTGCTAGCTTGCCGAGGGACACGACCCTCCACGCGCACGTGCTCCCGTGTGTGCTTCTATACTTGGGTGTGATACGAGGTTTAGTTAACCTCCCACACGCGATTCCAGCAGCCAGCGTAGGATCGTCGTCAACTTTCAGCTGGCTTTGGACGCGGCCGAGCTCAAACTTGCTCAGTGCACAGGTTGCAGCCTCTTATCAGTGGGGATTTTGTGATCGATGCATCCCGTTCCCGCGTGCAATTATTCCTCATTGGATGAGCAGGAGACCATTCATACCAAGATCACCATACCGAGATCATGCTGCTGCCCTTCATGACGGTTCGCTTCTATTATTATTGAAACGGGCGGCTTCTAGCTCAAAGGTTGTGCAGCTTGTTGATTTGCCGAACACCCTCAGAAGGCCCGCTCTATCTCCGCGTACGACAAGTAGCCTCATATGAAAGCAAGTAATCGCCGAGTAACGACGGGGTAAACGGCTGAGATACGAACCAGGACGGGTATGCATGGCAAAGATGACGTCTTTTCGCCTTCGAATTGGGTCCTACCCGCGTAGGAGCCGACGTATGCATGTTGCCTAGTCGGCGACCTCGATGTTGCGGCTCCAACCTACAACCACGGACATCGGGCATTCGAGACGCCGAAACATGGAAGTTAGGGAAGTGATTTCGTTTACACGAGTTTTGCGTTCCATTTTTGACACTACAAGGTGGTTTCACTTTGTGGGGAAGTGTGGATGAGTATACCAGGGTCACTTTGCATGCTCCTCTAACGGGCTAACATGGAGGAGTGGTTGCGCCGATTATATCTGCCACTGATGCTCAGTGGAAGACAGCCGTTTCCCCAACCTACTACCTGCGGGGTGCCCGCTACCAGACGCGCGTTGGTGGCGTGGCATTTGCGCCGTTTGATGGAAAACCCTAGCAAGATGCAACGACTTGTCCGGATTACCGTGAGCGTTCTAGAATGCTGACAGCAAGGCAATATTAATCGCCGGCGAAACATGGACCGAGTGTGCAATCACTTTTTGAGGGCGCCAAGCTACTGAAGTCTACGGAGTACCGGTCAGCAGACTGTCCAGTAATGGGAGAGGATGATGTGTACTGTGGTAATACATACAAATACCATGGCACCGGCAATCATGAACGGCCAGGACCAGCGACTCGCCCTCGCCCTTGCTGCTGAGATGTTGTCCGCGCTGCATTTTCCAAAGTCAACGGCATGATTGTAGATCCAAAGTCGAAAGCTTGTGGATTCAGTGAACGTGACAGCATTCATTCTGGTAGACTGCGGGGCGTTGAAACTCAATCTCAGAGTCAGAGGTATGACCGGCGACAGAAACATGTAAAATCATATTTTCACAACTTGGAACAACGCCTTGTGGAGGCGAGGGTATAACCTGATATCCAACACTAACCATAACGCCTTGCCCTAAGCATTAGATGGCCTAGCATAGAGCGAAATGATGCTAACAATGCAGTGCCATGTAGAGTATGAACCCATAGATTCTCTTTGGAAAGCGGACCGTGCCAGCAAGAGGTATCCGTCGCGTATCCCAAAAGGAAGCAAACATGAGCTCATGAAAGGATCTCAAATATTTTTATCCAGTTCATCCGCTTAGCCGTTAGAATTCTCTGGGACCTTCCCTTTAACATCATTGCCTATCATCACAGGGGTGAAAGCGTGTCCCCCCACCTCGCCAGCCTCGCTGTCATCATCGGGCTCCTCGTGCTCTTTCCACTCGGAACTTCTCCTGCTCAATTTCCCGGGGCCATTGGGATCTCTGGGACTCGCAAGCGGACCGGTTGCTGTTGCCCCGATACTCCCCGGAATGCTGTCGGTTCGACCATGCCCCAGCAACCCACTTCGGACACTGATACCATCGGCATTCTTGTAATAGCTGTTACGATCACTGGTGAGGGTGGGGGCAGCCACTCCAGACGATGAATACACACTGGCTCGCTCAGCATTCATAAAGCCCCCGACGGCAGGCCTATTCTGAGGACTATAGATTGTGTCGGGGTTCCCAGAGAGTACACTGAGAGGTAATGATTCCCGGCTTCCTCCCCAGACCGACGATGGGGCCAAGGCGCGCACGGATGCATTTGTGTCAAGAGAGTTCCGGCGACGGCGTTGCTTCGAGGAGGACGCGAGTGTCAGAATCGACGCGTCGTCCGTGAGGATATTATTTGCCGTCGCTGCCTGGTAAGAGTGTGGCTGCGGCTGAGGCACCATGTGGGGAGGAAGCGCCGAAGGCGGCGGCGAAGTGGGAAACTGATGTGAGAAATGTACAGCCACGCCGCTCGGAGCCTGCGTACTCTGATGATTTTGTCCCAGTGCATTCGACGGCGCAGTCGACTGTATGGTAGTCAAAGTCGTCGTGAGAGAACGCTCCGAGTGATTTGGCGACGAAAAGGTGCTACCTCCACCCACCGTGTTGCTATTCCCCGTTTCCGCTTTTGACCTCCCAGAATGTACGGTGTCCGGGTGCGTCGCAACAGTGGGGGCGGTCGATTTGTTGCTCTTCGCCAACGCTTGTCGCCGGTCTGAATCAGGCCCCTCGGCAGATGTAAAGCTCTCATTGATGGACCGTGGTGTTGCTGGACTGCTGAAAGAGAGTTGCCCGTTGGGTCGTCCATTCAGGTGGCCGGATTCAGGGTAAGGGTTATTCTTGACAGCAGACTTCTTGGTTTTGCTTTGTGGTCCTCCGTGATTCTTCTTCGAAAAGGTGCTGGGATGATCAGAGCTGGACGATTTCAAGTTTGCCAGGCGCTTCATCCACCCAGTGAAAGGTCGCTTGCGGGTTTGCCTGTCTTCAACATGAGGTTAGCAATACGCAACTTATAAACAGGAAGACAACCTACCAGGCGGCCTAGATGTGGACTCTGGGGTAGGCATGCCGATTCAACGCCAGAAACGCCGTGATTGTGGTTAATGAAAGAAGAAAGAGGCGATTCGGTAGCGCGAAGAGAGCGCTTGGCGAGTATACGTAGGGCCAGTAGCGCCCAACGTCGATGCTACTGATCGGTGATGAATGTGGAGGTGGCAGAGCAGCGACAACAGAAAGCGAATCGCGTGAATATGTTCTGTGAGTGGGACAGGTAAACAGGGTAAATGGCGTAAGAATAAGGAATTGGGCCAAGTGCTTCGGGTGTAGGTTTCACGACTGACTTTTGTTTGGTGTTGAGGCTTGAGGATTGCGGATGTCAACTGCAGGGACATGTCGGCTCGACGCACAAGCCATTCGCCAAGCCAAAACCGGCATCATCGATCCATGGATCCATGGATCGTTCCGTGGCGCCTCAGTTTGTCTTCCGACCTTCCGACCAGCGCACACTGCTTTCAGCCTCACACCTTCCGAAGCCCTTTCTAGGCCAACCGCAACGAGCATGTTAGTCCACGAAATACGACTTTCGGAGGCAATGGCGGGCGTATAACGGCTTTCACGGGCGGTGCTTCCATGGCTTCTAAACCATTTCGTGGGGAGAGGTCCATAAAACGTCTACCCCAGGATGTCGTTGACCAGCTGAAGTCATCGATAGCTATTGTGTCGTTGTCTGGCGTTATACTGGAGCTCCTGAGGAATGCTCTCGATGCAGCAGCGGCCAACATTGAAGTAACTGTCGACTTCAGTCGTGGAGACTGTGTAGTTGAGGACGACGGTATTGGAATAGCCCCGCATGAGTTCAGTGCTGGTGGGGCCTTGGGGAAGCCTCACTGTTAGTCTTGGTTGAACAGCTTTGATCGGCATAGGCTCATTCATAATAGGCACGTCGAAGTACGTCTCGAATGAAGCGTGCTACGGCCGTCATGGCATGTTCCTCGCCTCGCTAGCTGCCGTTTCTCTTCTGACCGTCACATCCCGCCACCATGAGCACCGGTCCCTTAATTCGATCACATTCCATAATTCACGAACCATTGAGAGACGAATTCCAGCTCCACCGCACGACGACCTCAAATACGAGGCGCATGGAACCAGGGTGACAGTGCGTAATCTTTTTGGCAACCTTCCTGTGCGGGTCAAGCGAAGGTCTCTTTTGGCCGATCAGAAAGGCGAAAAGGACCGGTTGTCGGACTTGTTGAAGCGAGATGTAGTTGGACTTCTACTGGGCTGGCAACGGCCCATTTCTTTGGTAGTACGCGACTCCGCTCGCAGAACTATCGTCAAGCTGAACAGTCGAGCTCCGTCTCCGCACTCCGAGACCGCGCCCATGGACTTAAAGGTCCGCTCACTAGAGCTACAATACATATTGAACATGTTCACACAGGCCGCTTGGATTACCGTTTCAGATTGGTCGTCTTGGGTCCCTGCGTCTGCTTGCACGTCCAGCATTTCGATAAAGGGAGCCATCTCCCTTGAGCCTGCACCAACGAAGAGACTGCAATTCTTGACCTTTGGAATTTCACCAATACCTAATGATAATGGGCATAATGCCTTGTACGAAGAGATAAATCGAATGTTTGGTTTATCTAGCTTTGGCACTGTCGAGCAGGATGCTGATCTGGACGAGAACGAAAAGCTCCGCCGTCACAATGACAACCGCTATAAAACTGGTGGTTACACCATTCGCCAGCTCATAGGTCGCAAGGGGGTTGATCGATATCCCATGTTTCATCTATGTATCCGCCTGAAGGACCATGCGGCCGGTCGTCCATATGGCCAGCACTTTCTTGATAAAGAGGCAAACGTCCAGGCGGTCATGGAAGTACTTCAAGCACTGATCACTCAGTGGCTTTCGATCCACCATTTCCGGCCCAGGAAGCAACAGCCCCGAGTCCCAAAAGACTCCCCCGGGCGCACCACTTCCGGGTTGAACGTAGCTTCGCCGGACGGGACTGGCAGATTCTCTCGACCTTTATCGGCACAGCCTGCCAGTCTGAAGAGGGAGTTGGCGAGACCTGAGCTCCATCCGCCGTCGTCAAGTGCAAAGCGGCAGCTATCTCTTAATGATTGGTCTCGGGTCAAGAGCGGGAAGGCTGACTTCTTCGATCGCCTCAGAGGCCCGTTCAAGCGGCCAGAAAGTGCCCCTGAACAACTACAGGTCAGCCATGAGTATGCAAGTACGTTATTGACAGCTGGCCATGCAAGATCCAACGTGGATCCAGTTTTACCCGATACGTTGAATAATGCATTCGGAGAACGTCAGCCGCATGAGGACGGTTCTGCCGTGGGAGATGGTGAAGTATTGAGCGAACTCGATGACGACCAGACTATTACCTGGACGGATCCTCGGACCAAGACCGCCATTTCGTTGAATGCCCGAACGGGTTGTCTTGTTTCACGCCACGGTGCTCCAATGCGTCACGATAGACACGACCTCAATGCTTCTTCAGGCCATGCTGCACAATCCAGTCAACAATTACGCCTTAGGGAAAGAGCACGACCGGTAGCCGAGCAAGGCAATACATGGCTTGCTGGCTTGTTGCAGTCTTGGAACAACCCTATCTTTAGCCCATGCGAACAACCCATTCAGCAGATTTGCGTTGAGGAGCCAAATCGGAAAGCAGATGGGTATCACCAATCTCGTCACTTTCACAGCACGCATGTGGCACGTACGAGATTACTCAATGGCTCAATGGTGTCCTCAGGTTGCAAACTGTCACGAGAGGGTTTGCAAGGCGCCGAGGTAATCGCTCAGCTGGACAAGAAGTTTGTTCTCGTGAAGATGGCCATCAGCTCCCAAGGACTTTCTTACGAACTTCCAAATGTGAATGTGCTGGTCTTGATAGATCAGCACGCTGCCGACGAGAGAATCAAAGTAGAGGCGCTCTTTGCTGAATTGTGCGCTGTTGAACCAGAGACCCGCAACCAGTATTGCTCAAACTTGGGCCATAGATCAAGAGTGGCAGTCACTATACTCGAAAAGCCGATGCATTTTACCATCACTGTGCAAGAATGTCAACTCTTCATTACGCATGCCATCAGCTTCGCCGCATGGGGTATCTTGTTCGATATATCGGAAATAGATTCAGCTACTATCCTGGATCCAGATAGGGAGCGGCGGACCATCTCCGTGACGGCTTTGCCTCCGGCCATATCAGAAAGATGCAGATCCGATCCAAAATCGCTGATTGCATTTCTTCGCGCCGCTGTATGGAAATACGCTGAACAGCTGTATAACAGGGGTTCGGAAGACTTGTTCTCGAAACCTGCATCTGAGGTGGCAGAACCTCCGCCTTGGGTGAGGCACTTGGCTTCTTCTCCGCATGGCCTTGTGGATTTGGTCAACTCTCGTGCTTGTCGTTCTGCTATCATGTTCAATGATGAGCTCAGCAAAGAGCAGTGCCAAGAACTTGTTTTGAGTCTATCAAAATGCGTCTTTCCATTTGCATGTGCTCATGGGCGGCCAAGCATGGTGCCCTTGGTCGCTCTCGACTCTCAAGATAACGTTTCGGAGAAGTCGATCACACATACTCATCCCTCTCCGCAAGATTCTGGGACGGGTTTCGTGTCCGCCTGGAAAAGCTGGAGGGCTGCTTCGACCCATTGAAAGGTTTGCTCTGCTGCGAATGACTTGGTTTGGGTTGGATGTACCCTGTTATAGATTCTACCTTGATGATACGCAAGATGCGTGAAATGTATGAACGCCATGAGACCTGGGTAGCCATCCAAGAGGGGCAGTCAGGTCAATTAAACGCTCATTTGTTCTTGGAACATTCTGGGAGGGCTTATGACGAAGTAGGTAGATTTCGAATAAGCGTGACAAATTGGTTCCTGGAAAGAAGGGCCGCCTGGATATCTTCTCCAGCTTGGGAGGGTCCGACAGTATCGACTCTTCCGTACAGCTGTATGCGTAGATGAGGTGGGGGGCCCAAGTCATCGAACAAAGGTGAATTGCGTGTGCATGAGGGCGATCTAGTGGTACTCTCTATCATATTTCGATGTACCGTTCATCTACAGGATTGTTATCGCTTCTTACCAGCGCTTAGCAGCATTGTGGTGGATGAGGAAAGTTGCGTTGACATCGGAGGTTCAAGCGCAAAATATTCCGGGCGGTCGCCAAGATTTCATATCACGTGTATGCTAAGCTGTTTTGGTATACACTAACCCCTGACGGTACCTAGCATGTCGTCTGTGCGACTCCAGCACCGCTCTTCTCCTCACACGTCAAACATCATCATGAGCTTCCATACTTGCCTTTCGTCCCACTCTCCTAACCCTTGAGATGCAGTACCGTCCTTTTCACCATGAGTGAAAATGTTACGCAATTTTTGTCGTGTCTTTCGGCTGCCGTCCAAAATCAAGCGACGCGCCCGTCGAAGTCGCATCTTTGCCCTGATGCTTTTCCTGGCACTATTGACTCTACTTGTCACAATCATTGCTGCCTTTTATCTCATTTACAAACCGCCGTCTCTTCTCATTAAGTTCTTCGAATACCAATGGCCGGATGTTCTCTGGCGTATCTCGACTTCCGAAAAGATTGTGGCGTTGACCATCGACGATGCACCAAGCGAATACACGTCTCAGGTTCTAGATATCTTAGAAGAGAACGATGCTTTTGCTACGTTCTTTGTGATCGGAAGCCAAGTCCCTGGTAGAGAGGAAATCCTGGAAGAAATCGTCCGCAACGGGAATGAACTTGGAAACCACGCAATGCACGACGAACCCTCACGGTCGCTCTCCGATGACGAACTAAAGGGCCAGATTATGACGGTGGAAGAAAGTATTCGCAAGGCATACGATTCTCTCAACATGGCCCCTCCGCCTCGATATTTCCGGCCCGGCTCTGGCTTTTTCTCTACGAGGATGCGCCAACTGCTGAGTACCTTGAAGTATCGGATCGTGTTGGGGAATATCTATCCCCACGATCCGCAAATTCCTTACGCGAATGTCAATGCTAGACATATCCTGAGTATGCTGCGACCGGGTAGCATCATTATCTGTCACGATCGGAGGAGTTGGACAATCCCCATGTTGAAGAAGGTAGTGCCAGAGATCAAGGGAAGGGGCTATCGAATCGTGACTATTTCGGGCCTTCTTGATCATCAGATTAAGGAGCGAGAAGCTCAATACCCTAAGCTGGAGGACCCCGAGGACGGTGATGGCATAAGAATTGAGAGTTGATCAAGATACCGTATACTATTTCAACAAATCATGTCTGAGTAGAGTACATTCCCACCCGCCACGAGATGCATGTCGGCCTGGAGACTATGCGTTGAGAGATTAGGGGCTCGCGCTGGGAAGTTGTCAAGACAAAACCTTCACATGGGAGGATATGAGCCTTGCCTGAGACGGAAGGTCGATTCTTGCATCATAGTGCTGTTATGTCTCGACTCCGCTCCGTCATTTGGCTATCCATTGGTGAGTATCAGCATGGCTCAATTGAGCAGTCCGATTGATACAAAACGCCGAGGCTTATACGTGAACAGAAATGGACATGCGTGAGCGATCCAGTCACCCGGCTTTTCGATAATCGGAGCCTTGAAATCACTGTTAAGAAATGATGAGGGAAGATGTTTTTGAAGGGCAACTGGGAAGAATAGTTGGGCGGCTGCGTTAGGGAAAGTTGCTTGTGAGGGAGGCTTAGCTGTAGGGATGGAAGCTTTGTCTGGTGCTTGTTTATGCGCGAGGTTGGATTTGGACAGATGATTAGGGCTTCTCAGATCAGAGTTGGACAGTCACTACAATATATTTCAAGCCTACACAACTATTCCTTTTCTCCCAGTGCCTTGCAAACACTGCCTCGTCAGATTAGGACAAGCCCGCTCCAAGTCAATATTGATGCTCGGTGACTTACTCGGACTTGTACATCGTGTTTGTGATATCTCTCCCGGTTCAAAACCGATTGGCGACGATTACACGCCGTGGGTGAGTTAACCGCCAGTACCCTGGCACACAGCCACTCCCGTTCATGCACCGCCACCCTCATCAATCAGGTGATGGCTGCTAGAGGCAGTATAGTCTGTAACGGCTATCGGGCACCATGGGCTGGAATTTAACTATCGACTACGAATATATAATATAATTCGTACGATTATGAGACACGCGTACTTCTGAGTTATCTGCACACAAGGCTGAAAAGGAAGACGACATTATGTTTGACCTATGCGCCCACAGACTGCTTGAAGATAGCGAACGATTTCATCCGCGTAACGGTCATCGATTCGCTGAATTTTGGGAGTATGAGGTACGCTGTGGAAGTGGAGAGTTGGCGAAGTGCAGTAGGAAACTGCCATCTTTGAGACTGACCGATATTTAGCGGGACGAAACACGATCATTTTATAGATCTGGAGAATTAAAGGAGGACAAGATTGCAGATTGGATCTCTAGAGTATGTGCGACCCTAAGCTTCCCAGATCCCCTTCGCCGACATCTCGAATCCTTTTGCCTCTCGACGTCCTGACCCTTGAAAACAGGAGCCTTCATCCGATGCGAACCCTGTTCGGTCCGGTTTCAGAGCATTGTATGTAGAGCAGACCTCTCCATATTGGCGATTCACATCTTGAATACGCCTCACTTAGAGAATCTTAGGCTCTCCCCCAAACCCGCAGGCAAGCCTTCTTCGAGCAACCTTCCTTACACCCACCTCACGTACGAGACTCTATCCCGAACGTGGCGAATTCCCTCGTTGTTTCTCCGAGCTGCAAGTCAGAAGCTGGGAATCGTGGCGGAGGTGGACGTTGCACCGCTATGTGGACCCTTCATATCCAGCGGCCCAGCTGCAGAAGGAAAGCTGGAACCGATGAAATACGAGACTGAAAATGGATGTAATAGTGATTCTGCGTCAGTGAGAGGCCTCCTCATCCGCAGCGATGTAAACTGGACCTGGGACTACACCCTGTTCCTTACTTACGACCCTGACGCCCGCATCACTCGCGTGGTGATAGCTGGACTTACAGCCGTAGAGATCCCCCTCATCCAGACTTATCTGAGAAACCTAGCGACGCAGTCTCGAGAACGTTGTCGCCCTTCAGATCATGTCCGCGAAGCTTCTATCAGCCTCGATGAAAGGACCGGCACAGCTGGTACGAACCTCCTAGCCCTCCCCCTCCTCCTCCCTCTTCTCTTGCTCGACCTAGCGACCGATGACACAGCCGCTCTGATCAAACTGCGCACCAAGCTTCTCAGCGAGATCCAGCAACAGACTGGAATGGATCGGTTCAATTCGCTGCGCAGCGCAACCATTCGATACGGCCCCGTGGAACTTGACAAGAGGAGAAGTAGCTTGTACGTGGAGAGCGATAGAAGGGAACGACATGAGCTGGATCTCGATAGTATAATGTTGCGCCTGACATGCTTGAGTGATTGGGTGGCGGCGCAGAGGGGGTTTGTAGCGTTGCAGTTGAGGATTGTAAGTGTTTTGGAGAGGTTGATGAAGAGTGATTGGTGCGGAGGGAATCTTGCGAGGGATGTAGGAGGAAAAGTGCAATTTGTCGACAGTGATGCTGCGAGAAACGAGTTGGTGTTTCGACGGAGACTAGAGTTCATCCGTCAGAGCCTCGTTTCAGCGGAGCAGAAATGCATGTCCTTGGATCACAGCATCACTGCGCAGGTACAGACCGTAAGTCTTTCCCGCCACTCTCCTTAGGCCCGCCATTACATTCTTACAATCGAGTAATCGGACAACAGATATACTCCCTCATCGCCCAAAAAGACAACCGTCTCAACATTGCGGCCGCAAGTGCTTCGTACCAGATCGCATCTGACAGCCGACGGATTGCGATTCTGACGCGAAAGGATAGCACTGATATGCGAATCATTGCCGCTGTGACGTTGGTGTTTCTGCCGGGCACGTTTGTTGCCACTGTCTTTTCGATGGGGTTATTCGATTGGGGGTTTGCCAGTACTACCGGTGGTGGAAATGCTGGCCAGAGCCTGGGTAAACCAAAAACAGACGATGAGAAAGGATTGAAAGTGTCGCAGTATCTGTGGGTCTATCTGGTGTTCACGGGTGTGTTGACATTGATGGTGTTGGTGGGTTGGGGAGCGTTTTCCTGGGTGCAGAGCCGGAAGATGGTGAGGAGGTTTGGGAAGGACGTTAAGTTAGATATCGAGAAGATGGATAGGAATGTTTCGAAAATGCGTGGATCGGCTGAAGATACTAAGAGTTTACGTCGAGATACTGAGAGCACGATGGTGGAGGGAGGGCGCCTATCTGAGCGATTCTCGAAGGTGTCGTTGGGAAAGATGCAAACGGAGAACGAGATGAAGGGTGCGCTGATGTGGTGGAAGGAAGGGCTGAAGCTCAAGAAGAACCCTGGGAATGTGAGCCAAAGTAGTTGGGAGGGTAGCGAGGACGGATGGAAGAGTGCATGAGACCAGAGATTGGACAGAAATCGGGTACTCGTGGCAGGTGGACAATTGCTCCCTCTTACAGTACAGTAATGTTACATCCGTATTCGTATTCGAGGTTCTGCAGAGTCTCCTCTTCAAATTATATAGTTAGCAACTGTTGCAACAGATGTCTGACTTTGATCGCTGAGTCCCTATGGCCTTTCAACGAGATCGAATATCGAATGCCTAGGATGAAGAGATGATACAGTCCTGAAGTACGGAGTAGAAGATAGTGAAACCCGAATATCTAATTAAGTCGTTCCCTAGTTGTGTAGCTAGATATCTGCGACCTGGCTGCGTTCTTGGGCTATATAATAAAGCCGCCATGACCTGATCTCGATTACCACCACCCTGGGGCAGCATCCGAAGCGAGATGAGGTGGCTCAACCCTGGCTGGGCGAGGAACCCGAGCGCGAGAGGAGACTTGCGGAGAAACTCAACCTGAACATGATGAACGTCTCTCGAAGCATGAAATTCTCTTTTCAGCATCATGTCAGCCGAGTATCGACGTGATCCCACATAGAAACTTCGAGGTGCCACTCAACGGTGGAGCTCGGCAATCGGATGTGCTTGCATTTCACTCCAAGAGGCCAAGAGGAGCGACACCATCCAGATTCAGAAAAGCGCCTCGGAAACGAGAACGACTCCGTTTCTCACTCAGCCAATAAACGTGGCTGGTGAGAATACGAATGTAAACGTGCATGCCGACAGCCTTCGAGGCAGAACCTCGTGGGGAGACAGTGGCAGCGATTACCGCAAGATGCACAAATTCGTTGCAAGTATGCGTGCCTCTGAACCATGCGCAAGCAGTTCGAATGCCTCAAGTATTCGGGTGAGGACAAGTTTCTATGTTTGCCCTCCGGCCTGCACGACTCACGGGAGGCTGGCGGTGGCCTAGCTGAATGGGGCAAGGGGCGATATTGAAGAATGAAAGCCTGTGGACAATGGCGCATGCAAGTGCAGGCAGGCCATGGAGTTATGACCATCATGTGCCACTCGCGCGAAATCCTGGGGCAGCAGGAGAGAGAGGTCTGTTTAAAAGAATCCGATGGCCCCGGGAACCATCACTGTCAGCCATTTTGCATTCCTCCCTCGTTACTCGAGCAGACCCCTTGCCCATCATTCGTTCTGGGTTCTTTGTAAATATCCCCTCTTGATTTCTGTGCCCTCTTCTTCTCCGGCCACTCGCTTGAGCTCCGTTTGACAGCTTTTCAACTCGTCATCAACCGAACCATTACAATGCGTCTCGCTGCCGTCACCCTTCTCGCGTCCGCGGCTTTCGTCGCTGCCCAGTCCAAATGCGACGCTCAGAATATCCTCGATGCCTGCAAGGTCCAGTACCAGAACAGGATCAACGCCTGCAAGCCCAATGACTACATTTGCTACTGCGAGGAATACACCAACCTCGATACCTGCTACAACAACTGCCCCAACTCGGACGAACGACCGCCAGTCAAGAACCAGGTTACCCAGTACTGCCTCGCCGCCGAACCGTGAGTTTTCCCTCGCATCTACGCCAAGTCATGAGGCCCATCATGCAGATGATTTGTACTGACTCCATCGTGAACAGGCTGAAGTCTGCCTCTAGCGCTTCTGCTGCGACTGCTTCCAAGACTCAGACTGGCTCATCAGAATCCACTGCGACGACCGCGCCGAGCACGACGGGTACCGATGCCCCGACTGGCACTGGGAGTGCGACTGGTACTCAGAAGACTGGTGCTGCTGATTCGCTCTTCGTTCCCGCCGGTGGTGCTTTGGCTGCTGCTCTCGCCCTCGCCGGGCTCTTGTAGACTCGGAAATGGGTCGGACATTGTTGTACTGTTGAAGAGACCTATGCATAATACTTAATGCGTCGTTAATATCATTGAAGTATGTAGCAATGAAGGAGCGTGGGGGCTGCTTCCATTAATTCGTAGCTTCCGGCGTGACGTCCAACTCCCAGTAAAGGATTCCAGCACGACGCGAGTCCCACTCATGTTGATGTGGGACGGGATGCAAAACCTTGCGCTTGGTAGCAGTCGCGAAGTCTTCTCCCTACTTCGGTTCCTTCAAAACTCCGCCCTGCTTACTCCGTACGGATCAATTAGCTTTGTTCCTCGATGGTATTGGCCTGGGGCATGAAGCTGGTCACGCTTGCCGCACTAGCGAGCCATTCCCCCCCTCAGACGTCACTGGCGATCCTTCGCGGATTCCAACCCCAACATTCGTGCAAGCTATCACCACCGTCACCGGAAGCCTAAAACACGAACGGCCCATGATATCTTCCATTCGCTGTCCACAGCCGGCCCACCACAGCAACTGCGTGCAAGACTGCCATTCCTAGGGAAGCTGCGCTCGACATGCGACCTGGCAGGCCTCCTTCTTTCACAGAAGTGATGACATGGACAGAACCGTTGTCGACCACTCGTCGCGGGGATCGGCCGTGCTCGCTGTTACGGTCACGACGCTAGCCTGCTGCACGGTATTCGTTGTTTTGCGCCTGATATCGAGGTTCGTGATTGTGAGGAGGGCCGGTCTCGATGATTACCTTATGATACTGGCATGGGTGTTAGCATTTGGCACCTCGTTCTCCATATGCTACGGGACGTCCGTGGGCTTGGGCAGACATGAACGGGACGTACCGCTGGAAGGGATCAGATCTCTGAAGAAGGCGGCTTATGCCTTCACTGTGCTCTATGTAGGTATTCCTTGGACTGTGTAACGTAGTGAAGTCATACTGACACATTGTAGAACCCAGCTTTGATGGCAATCAAAAGCTCGATCCTCGTCTTTTACCTTACGCTGTCTCGGACACAGAAGATATTCCGACGCGCGTGCTTCGCGACACTGGCAGTCGTCATTACAGGAGGCCTTGCATTAACGGTGCTCAACATCTTCCAATGTCGACCGATCGGTGCTGCTTTCCAAACACCGGTACCTGACACGGCGTCATGTACGAACATCGTCACGATATACCTGTCTTCGGCGCCCCTGAATATCATCACGGACCTGGCTATTCTGGTTCTACCGATGCCTCTCCTCACAAGCATGCATCTGCCCAGGAAGCAGAAGGGAATACTGGTGGTCACATTCGGGTTCGGTTTCTTTGTCGCGATAGTCGATATCGTGCGCATGGCCTATCTGCAGGATGCTGCACGGGACTATCTTCGCGCTATTCACAACTACACGCCGACGAATGGACGTACCTCACGGAACAACACCGATTATCCCTGGTATATCTCCTTCACCTTCATGTGGTCGGCGGTGGAGCTCAATGTCGGCATCATGTGTGGCTGCGTGCCGGCGCTGAAACCACTGGTCTCAAGATTCATGCCTACCTGGATACTGGACCGTACCGTAAGGGAGAAGTCCACCACGCAGACCAGCGAGAGTCTGGGCATAATTGGAGACAATGTAGCTCCCGACGTGAACATAGAGGCACCACCAAACACAACTCCGGACGTTCCGCCTGCGGCGTTGGTCTCCAAGCCTTCACATCCTACAGACACCGAAAGCGACGAACCCATCGATGTATTAACTTTTCTCACCACGCCAGAGACAAACACCACAACTCGCACCGGGCAATCCACCATCCACAGCTCCGTGTCCACAGCGCGCGCCAACCGACACTCCATGACCTTCTACGACTTTGTGGAGAACCCGGAGAAACGCAAGAAAAACATCACACTCATGGGTAACCGCGAGTCCATCTACCCAATCATGATGGTCACGATCCTCTTCTTCGTCTGGGGCTTCGCCTACGGCCTGCTTGACACTCTCAACACGCGGTTCCAACAAGTCGCCCGCATGAGAGCCGGCCAAAACTTAGGCCTACACGCCGCCTACTACGGGGGCTACTTCATCGGGCCCCTAACGTTCGGCCGTATCGTGTTTCGCCACTGGGGCTTCAAGGCCTGCTATACCGTCGGGCTAACCGTCTATGCCTGCGGCACCCTCGTCTTCTGGCCCTCTGCGGTCCTAACCTCCTTCACCGCCTTCCTCATCTCAAACTTCATCGTCGGTCTCGGCCTCTCTACTCTGGAGATCTCCGCGAACCCATTCATAGCGCTTTGCGGACCACCCGAATATGCCGAAGCAAGGCTCAACATGAGTCAAGCGATTCAGGCGATTGGGACGATCCTGAGTCCGCTGCTGGCGAGTAAAGTGATGTTCAAGTCCGCCACGAGTAACTTGATCCAGGTGCAGTGGGCGTACCTGGGAATCGCCTTCTTCACGGTTGCGCTGGCGGTGGTGTACATCTATGTGCCGTTGCCCGAAGCAACAGAGGAGGAGATGGAGGATGCGAGTAAGAGGTTGGATATCCCGAGGGATGCTACCGTTTCGGTTCTTCCGAAGATGATGAAGGGGGGCAAGAAGGTCAAGATCATCTGGATCACCCTCGGCTTGGCAGTTTTCAGCCAATTCGCATACGTGGGCGCGCAGGAGAGCGTGTCCACGTCGTTCACCGAGTTCGTCGCTGCGGCCATGCCGTCGCTCGATCCGGAGAATCTGCGCGCGGCAGGACACACTGCGTTCGCTGTGAGTCGGTTCCTGGCCGCGATTCTGAACATCTGGATCAAGCCGCGGTTTCTGCTGGCGTTCTTCTATGCCGGCGTGATTGCGCTGAGTGCGGCGTGCATGGCTGCGCCTCCTGCGACTGGAGCTACGCCTACGGCTCTGTTGGTCATGTTGATGTTCTTCGAGGGGCCGCTGTTTCCCCTGATCTTCGTGCAGCCGCTCAGGGGGATGGGCATGTATACGAAGGAGGCGTCGGCGCTGCTGACGGCGGCGATTGGGGGTGGGGCGGCGTTTGCGCCCATCATGTATGCGGTTGTGGTGCGGTGGGGGATTCGGACGGGATATGCGGTTCCGTTGGCGGTGTTTGCTGCTGGGGCGGTGTTTGCGGTGTGGCAGAATGGGATCAAGGGGGCGAGAGGGTTGGCGGATCCGGTCAGGGATGAGAGGGCTAGGGAAGCGAGGAGGAGGGAGAGGGAAAGGGAAAGGGAGAGGCGAGCGGAGATGGGTGGGGCTATTGGGGCTGGAGAGGAGAGGAGGGGGAAGAGAAGGTCTGTTGATGCTTTCAAGGGGTGGTTGGGTTGGGAGAAGAAGAATAAGGAGGAGGAGAGCGTATTACCGACTGTGGAGCATAAGGAGCGCGTGGATTCCGACCAACACTTAGAGTCGGGCAGAGGTCTCGGGGAAAGAAGACATAGCGATGCTGCGACAGGTTTGGAGCGCAGTCCAAGTTCTAAACGGACGGAATGGAAGGAGGACGGCGGACAAGATCTTGACCTGTGCACCACGCTAGCTGATTCGGAAGGATATGGGATGAACCGAAGTGCGACTGGGCATGGAAATGGGGACTTTAGCGGCAGTGGAGGCTATCCTGATATCGAGAATGGGGGCCCTATAGCGCACGATTGGCAGCCGCAGTGGGATAGACATGAGGAACTTGCATTTCAAACCACGCCGGCGTGGTTGGAAGGGGATGGGAATGGGGCGGGAAGCGGGATGGAGAGTGGAGATGGTGTTGATGGTGAAGTCACAAGGTGATTGTGTAAGATTTTGGCGGAGATGATGGAGGATGTAGGATAAGAACGGTCTATCTTTCATTGTATATACTGTGATGATAGGTATAATGTTTATGAATCCGTCACGAACTGCTTTTAGGGATATCTAACGTGGTTCTGTGTGATTTCTCCGTTAGAATTCTTTTTATATCTGAATATACTTCACTTGTGGCGTCGGTGAATAGGGGTACAATTTTGATAGAACACATGCGAGGGATCTGTAGCTTCACACAAAACGAACAGATGATACGTAGTTGAGGGCGGGGTATTGCAATTAAACAATTATTCTTTGCCAACAGAGATGCGAAGGGAGAGTGTGCTAATGCTATCCCGTTGCGCGGTTCCCATGCCTCGTCCTCTGCCGACCTCAAAGCTTGACGATCATGAAAGAATAACCAACTTTCGCCCATTCCTCTCATCCCTCCCCCATAGGACGGGACTACAACTTCACATCTCCTCCTACCATCATCTCACCGATCAACCGCGATCCCACGTCGGTTACGCGTCCAGCGTCGCACGAAATCCCGCTTTCCGTGCGGGGAAGTGTGAAAAGTAAGAAACGCTGGGGATTTGAGCTTGAGGGGCTATGGGAAAAGAAGAAAAACGGAAGTGAAGGCTGGCGGCCATGACGCGATCAACAAAGAGGATACCAACGTAATCTAGTTAACGTTGATAAATCGAGCATCCCCGGCAAGACAGGCAGTGCTAGCTTGGTAATGCCAATGCAACCTAACCTGTTCTCTCAGAGGTCCCATTGACTCGACTCGCGGCGTCCGAGATACAAAACAGAGCTATGTAGAGAGCTGCCCCTTATTTACAAGGCAGTGACAACCCGTCTAACTCCCTTGACTGAATCGATTGGCTCCCCACTCCAACCTGGTACGCCATCCTTCCCTAGGGTAGACTACTAGCATCGCTTGCAAGATCTCTAAACATAATATCACAAAATCCGACTGACTTAGTTCATTCCTCGCAACCCGAGTAAAAAGAAGAAACAACGCACAAAGGCCTATTATGTTTTCTCGACCTGGTGGAATACCTGCATCTCCACCTCGTTGACATCGAACACCGGGATTCTCTTCTGCAATGGAGATCAAGCACTAGATAGAGAGTTGTAAGGTTAGGGGAAGCGGGTCCCGCGCATATGTATGTGTACGCCATGTGTCGGTTACGTTGGAGGGGGAGGTTTTGCGATTGGGAGAAGGCTTCGAGCGTGGGTCCTTCTAGCTCTCTGAAGGAGTGTTCGCGACATGGGAGCGGAGGATGATGCGCGTTGGAGTGGTGTGGTTATCGTGCACAGCTGTGACGAATAAGGATTTCACAGGTTTGGAAGGAGAAGTGGGAATGGCGGTGGGTGAGGGTTGCCTGTTGCTTATTAGTTGAAGAGTGGCAGTGAAGATGCATGCGATGGGGGAGTTATGTGGATGAAGTCGAAGGGAGCGGGATATCTATAGGCGACCGCGGACAACGGCCACCAACCTCATCAGCCACGGCTATAAGGCTAACCCGCTTACACAGATTAGTTTACACACGAGCACTTGCATAGGAATCAAGGAGAAGCAGACGTAGAGCACCTGCGATCTGATTCGCTACAGGGGCGTGGCTCACGACAGTGGGAGACTATGCTGTACAATGCAACCGCAACGACGCAGACAAGCACAGTGTGCGGAGAACTCTTATCTTATCTCTATCATACTGTGCATCCTCGTCGCATGTCGTGCAAAAGCGGTGACTGCGTGCGGAGAAGGCATTACGGTCTAAACGCGTGAATCGCTCGCTCATACATGGCCGCCACGGAGAGAGTGCCGCGTCACGTATCTGTTGAAGACGGTATGTACTGGAGTTGTAGTGGTGGTGGTGCTGACAATAACCACCGGTGTTTCTGAAGGAATACATACATACTAAAGGTCATGCGTGAAGCAGTGAATAGAGGTGGTACAGAACGGGACGGAGAAGGTTGGGGAGACGCGGAAGAGAGGCTGGGGTTGCACAACCAGAGACGAAGACACACGAAAAACGGGAACAGCGATGGAAAGGGCTTTGGGGATGACTTGGTCTCATTTCATGCTTGCTACTGAAGATCTGCTTTGCTAGCTATGCTTGTGATGTTTAGTGCCCATAACTCGCCCGTTTTCGCATTCGACATTGAAGGAACGCAGTGCGAAAGATTGTATGCCGCACAAACATCGTTGAACTTGAATCCTGCAAAAGCCCAATCCCCTTGCATTCCAATAGTTGTTGAGACGCTCTGGACATGAAGAGCGAACTCACGACTGCGCTTACCCCTCAGGTCCTTCGTCCTCCCAGTAGGTGTGACAACCGGACGAGGGGTCTAGCCGCCGAAAACAGTGTCACAATGGACACAATAGACATAAGAAATTACATGGTATCTCGACGTTGAAGAAGAAGCTTTTGATGGCTGAAGAGCCAGGCAGAAAGCGCAGCGTAATACGCAGGCCCTGATCATTATTACAGTCCGGTGGACAACACAAAGGAGTCGCCCAGAGGCCCCAGCGAAGAGACCTTCTCCAGAACCGTGTTCGAACATCGGAAAAAATCTCTATAGTCGTTGACCTGACATAGGAAACTCGTGGGTGGGTAAAAGGAGTGGCGGTTGCGCGAGTCGCGGTGCGACATCGCAGCAAGACAATTATGGTCATACAAGTCGTACATCGTGAATCGTAACGTAACGGACAGGGTTACAGAAACGCCCACAAACGTGAATAATGGCACATAATATGGACATGGGTGAAGTAAAGGCGGCCGTGAACGTTTGGCAGCTAATGACTCGGAATGTCGGAGGACCGCCTGAGGAAGGAGTTGGGGAACTTCATATCGCTGAAGAACTTGAGCAAGGCGCGCTTCCGCGAGGGACTCTTCTGGATCTGCGCAGCAATCTGCACCATGGGGCCGACGATGTCCTCGTCTCCAAGTTCAGGGAACTTGCCCTCGCTCTTCGGGTCGCTGAGCAATGGCATCTTGGTGAGCGGGGCAGGCTCCATGGGGGATGTTGCCTCTGGCTCAGCGCCCAAGGCTGCAGCACGTGAGGTGGCCAGATCCATGTTCGCTTTCCACTGAGCGTCAATCTCGGCCCACTTCTGCTCGGTGAGCTTGTAGAGTTTGGATGTGACACCAAAGTGTTCCCCGGTTCGTACCAGGTGTTTGGTGAAGTTGCATCGCGCTTGCTCCCAATCAGCGCACAGTTGTCTTAACGAGGCGGCGTCACAGACGTCTGGCATATAGGGCTCTGGTTGGATGGTGAAGTTTGCATGGCTGAGCTTATCGGCCCACTTGTCATTGGGGTCGGTGAGCATGATAGGAGGGATATCGGTGTCCGCTGCAGGGACAAGTTGTGCGCGTGGAGCCTTGAACGAGGAGACTGATGGCTTGGTGGACAGTGGTGGTGTCGGATAGGCGCGGACAGGTGGGGTACCAATGGGCGTGGCTCCAATGGAGTGGCCCGGGTCGGCGACTGTGGGCGACTGTAGCGGTGACTGTGTAGGAACATCATCGTCACGGACCTTGACCACGACGGGAGGCAACAGAGGAGTCGAAGCGAGGCGCTCGACAGCTTCCGGGACAGTGTCTCCTGGGGCAAAATCTGCATTGGCCATATCAGCAGGAGATGGCGTCGCGAACTGGTCCAGGCGTTCGTTGCTGCTCCTTGCAGTGGCTGGGGAGATATCGACTGGTTGCTGTACCAGATTCGTGTTGGACAAGGTCCTGGTGGAGGAGAGTTTCAGGGACGGATTGCGCGAGGGCACGAGGGACTGAGGAGCGCTCCGGGAGGATGAGCTCACGGTCGAGGATCTCTGGCGCTCACGGACCTTGCGGGTGAGGGACGGGAATCTTTTTCCAATCTTTTCAGTGAGGCTCTGTGTCGCTGATTCTCCTGATCGCCGTCGCTTGGCCATGTGCAAGTCTGAAGGATCGGTACTGAAGACATCGAGGACATCATAATCGAAGGCGGCGCCAAAGACGGGTACGTCGGGAGTCGCTTGATCCAGATCCAGCACGCTATTCACGCCTTTCATGACATTAGGATGCCTGTGGTCTTTCGAAGGTTGTGCGGAAACTTACAGGAATGGCAGTCGAGCATATCGACATCTTCTCGTTCAACGGGCTCTTCGGTCAATTTCGGCAGCTTGCCCGAGGCGTTGAGAAGGTCAAACGAATCGTGATTGGGCGGCGTCGAAGACAGGGATGATGAGGAGCTCGGGTACCTGAAATGGCCACGGACCGAATGGGCAGGCGTGGGCGGAGTGGAGCAGCCCGAGGCCGAGTAGACGGAAGAATCGGTGCAGGAGTACATGGAGGCAGAAGGGTCGACGAGGTCGAGGGATGATTTTGAGTTTTTGCGGGCGGCGACGAGCCTGGGAAGCTGGAGGGGTTTCAAGTCGCGCATGTTGTTGGGTGATTGCCCAAAGCGGAGGCGAGCGTGGATTTTGGCGATGGAAGCTGGGGCCCCATCACCAGCTTAAATGGAGTGCAGCGCCAATGGAGCGCGGATGCAGAGGCAGAGATGGTAGGTAGCAGAGCCAATTGTTGGACAATCCGGTAGCTATCGAACAGAAGTTGGGGGTCGCGGGGTTTTGGAGGGTGCCACGACAGAGGCGTCCACGTAGGCCAGAGAAGAGGGCAGTGTGTGTTTATTTGGTCGCGACCACGACTGACGATGCAAAGGCAGCGGCGGTGCCAATCGGGCCGGCGCACGTGAGGCGTGGACTGGCGAGTTTCGAAATGGCTGGGGGAACCTGGGCGAGACAACGCAGCGATGCAGACGACGATGGAGGATGATTGAGGAGAATGGCGCGTGGGAGGAGTGCCAGTCTGGCGTGGGCACGAAGGGGGCTGCAGTCGAGAGGTGCAGGAAAAAAAAGAGAGGGTGCGAGTGGATGGCACAAGGTGGGAGAGAACCTTGGAAGAAGAGATGGAGGAACCGGGCGCTGATATGTGACATTTCCAAGGTTGAGGGCAGGGCAGGCAAGCACAGGGCAGGCCAGACGCAAAAAGAGGGAAGCAGCTCCACACCTCCACACACAAAAATCACAAATGCTGGGGCACTGCTGGAAGGCACGACGGAGAAGTTGACAAGAAGGAAAGAGGCCCCTCCCTTGTTCGCAGTCAGGGCCTTCCCAGCATCGTCACACATGATTATTCACATTTCAGTATTATCCACACACACCTTTTTGCGCCGCCATCATCCCGAGGTCCATGTTATGGCCCACAAGCCAAGCAGAGGAAAACTGCTTGCTGCTGCTGTCCCTGGTGTCCCAACTTCGGTGCTCTCTCGCTTTCGCTCTTCGTAGCTTCGTAGGGCTCACATCCTCAGCGCCGGTTCCGCGCCGCCGCCGTCACCACCTGCAGGCGCGGGCGCGGCGCGGCGAACCGTCGCCGCTGCCCAAATCTTCATCTTGATCCCACTACTCTCGTCGGCCGACCAGAGACACCTGTCCACTTTAATGATGATAATAAAAGCCTCTACCTGTGTACAACAGGACGAAGGACTTTTTCTCCACTCACACAGTGTTATTACACAGTACTGTGCACTCTGTAGAAAGATGCGTCACTGCAAACTCTTCTGCTCCGCTTTTTGCGAGGATGCTGTACGACCCGCTGGCTGTTTCGGCCGGCAGCTTCCCATCCCCGCAAAATTCACACAGTGGACAGCCATCAGCAAACCCGTCTGCATCTGCTGCGCTGACACGACATGGCCTCTTTTCTGTTCTCTTCTTCCTCTCCTGCCAGCGGCGCAACCAGAGGTCCAGAGCTGTCAGCAGTAGTGTCCAGACCAGCATCATCTCAACAATAGCAACCCCAACATTTCTTCAAAGCTTGACACCCACCATCCAGCACCCAGCACACAGGCAGCAAAGTCGGTCGCTCAGGTACCCGCTCCAATCGGCCCAATCATGATTTGTCGCGTGTGCAGCCGTTGAGCCGCCGCTGATTGGCATGCGGCCCCCCTGTCCCCCGGCCCACTCCGTCTTCCGGGTCCTTCTGCAGGCACAGAAACTCTGATGCTTCCTCCAGCAAGCCTGTCCCTGCGCCCTGTCACAGAACCAGTCAGCACCAATGCCAGCGCATCACTGCGAAAAGAGACCCCTCACTCCTCCTATCTTCATTATTATTGCTATCCGTGATGGCTTCAACTTGCAAGACCGAGCAGCATATTCACAATCGCTATTTCTCATCCGTTGCGACTCTCCGATTATTCGAACCATCGCAGTGGTCCCACAGACCCCATCCGGCCCATCCCAGCACCCCGTCACCATTGAAAATCCTCACCGGCAGCCTCCCTAAAAGGGAAGGCAAGCCGTCCAAATTTTTGCTCGCTGGGACAAGGGATTCCCAGCAAGCCTTTTTGAGTCTTTTTGCTCTTCGACGATGACGAATGTGGCTCTCCACAGTGTCTTTGATCGAATTTTCGGCATCTCTCTCTGAGTTCATCCCCTTGTTGATCGTCGGCGAGAGACATCACTGTTGAACGTTTGTGTTGCAAATAATGATGCCAGAGATGACGACCGGTCCACGTCGGTTGCGCTAAACCAACAATATTCCCGCGGCTCAGGGCTGCATGGCAATCCCATCTGACCGGAGTTGTTCAACTTCCGCCTCTTCTTTTTACGAAAGTACACTGCCGAGGACTTTTACATTTTTCTTCTTTGAGAGATCCAGACGCCGGTCCAGGACCCAGGCACAGGTAGGTACCTTATTTACCCAGCATCTCGACCCAGCAGTAACTCAGCCCTATCACGTAGGGTACCTTGCAGTAGCAGATGCAATATACTCTCCTTAGCAACCGGTATCGGTACTTTCAACCTCGGGTACTCCGTACCCTCATGGATTCCCAGTCTGCCCTTCCGCTCTGAATCAGTCTTCTGCTTACCTCTGGCGGTGAGCGCATTCTCCCAAATTCCGACAATGTCAACTGCAGCCATCCAGCACCCAGAGTCTGACAGCATCAAGCATCCTCACCGCATCAAACTCATAATCATCAATCAACGTATCCGCGCTTTCTTCGTGGTACATGCAAGTACTTCGGCTGCGGACATGTGGCGGTCGAAAGACGCCTCTACGTGTCTCTTTTTTCTTGCACCTGCGCGCTGGCGAAGTCGTTAAATGAACTGTCCAATCAACGTTGAGCTGCCTAAAAAGCCTTTTAGCCGTGCCAGAGGGGACGAATGGCAGCCTTTTTTTGCAACCGATTTCACGCCAGCGATGAATTGTTAAAAGCCTTTGTTTGGCGAATCAAACGGTGGGGAATCCGGGCACTGTTTCCAGCCAATCACATCGTTGATTCTTTTGCCGACATCTGAGCCCTCCAGCTTCACCAGTCGACCACAGAACGGAGTACTCCAACCCAAGTTGCACCACTCACTCCATCTCTGGCTGACAGTACCGTAATGCAATCGGAATCACTCCGCAGCGGAACTTTCTATCATTTTTCGGGGGTCTTTCCTCCGTGCACACTTGATATCAGAACGAGATGCCTTTGGTTCTGCGGCTGTTGTGTAGAAATCAAAACATGTTAACACGTCGCCAGGGTTACAATAAAAACTATTACAGTATATGCTTATATCTACTCTACGCCTGTATAACACTTGGCTTGATTTCCTAACCCTTCCCCTACCTCTAAATCTTGTGGCCTAAATGCACCGAACTAAACTGTCCCTCCCTCTCTTCTTACTATCTTGAAATATACCTTGAACTACCGTGTACTACACGTAACCAAGATAAGACTAAGGATACTACTGTCGCTCCGACAATACCTCCTCCCTACCTATGTAACTAGACGTACGCAGCATAACCCACCAACCAACAACCATCAACCATCAACCATCAACCAAGTAACCCGCTTGCGCGGCCAAAGCGCCGCCAGTCATACATGGGATCACTACACCAGACGCCTGGATTCGTGAAGAGTTTTCTGCATGATCGAGACCCGTTCACCTTGATTCTCTAGCTTCGCAGCCTTAAAACAAAGCTGCTAGTTTGATTCATCCCGATTCCGCGCTCTCGCAACTAACTTAGATTACTGACACTGCATGTTACAAAGACCTTTGAAAGACAGGGACACGTCTCCTGCTGTACATGTCTGCCTTATCTGTCTTATCTTGCAATTGATAGCTAGATAGGAGGCTGTATAACACCCAACTCTGTACCCGACCAGCCCATCGAACCGGGGCATAAGAAACACATCCGCCTTGGGTTAGGGCTGCGTATGCTCGCTGTGCTAAGTGCTACCTGTCGGTGATGAGGAGATGGGAACGAAGTAACTGCGTGCCCGCAGCAGTACGTCGGACTTTGACGTTTGTGTCTGCGCAATTCTGCACTCGTATGGTAGCCCGCCGCCTTGAGCTCATCAAACCCAGTATTTCCCCCACACCTTCTTCAACTCGTCACTGCCTTCAAACTGTGCACGGGAAAAAACCGTTAGCAAGCGGTCCTCACAAATCGCACCATTTCGCTTTTATTCACCGGCAGAGAAGGCCAAAAACACAATACCCAAGTGCACGATTTCAGTGTAAACGAGGAAGAAGAAGGGGAAAAAAGGAGGAAGGGAGGAAGAAATGCAAACGTACCTCAAACCCCACCTTAACGACATCCTGGAACCCCTCTTCCACCTTGGGTTCCTGGAACCGGGACGCGAAGCCCGTGAAGGCGAGCCTGGGCAGGAGTGTGCGGGATTCGGGATTCGTCTGGTGGTGCAGTTGTCAGCATTGCTCGCAGATGGGGCGTCTTGTCTTCCCAGGGCTGCTGCGAGTCGTTACTTCGCATGCTGCTCTGCAACGAAGTGGATCGGAGAGTGTGAAGAGCCTCCCGAACGGCCCTGAAACCGTAGAGAACGATAGGTGAGGAAGGCCTTGGAGAAACCCAGCTGAGCTGGCGCTTCTCCAACATCCATCGGAAGCACGACGACAATGACGCGCATCCCGCCCAACCGAACCCGTGGTTGGGAAACATGGAAGGATAAGGAGAAGACTGCAAAGCATACGTACATCCGGACCCGCATTCAGCGCCCTCACGGTATCGTTATGCTGGCACAGCTCGGGGTTGGCGGTAAATAACACGCAGCGAATCGGGACATTGAACGACTTTGCGAGCGCGATCCAGTGCGCTCGTGTTTCGGCGTCGGCGTTTGTGTTGTCTACAGATTGTGATGTTAGCATGTGATATGTCCATTCAGAAGGGGTTGAGTAGTGGTGCATATCGCTTGCGCGTCCTGCGCCCATACGGCACCCTGCATGTGAAGTTTCTCTACACCCACCGAAGGCGAATGCAGAGATAAGGAAATGTTTTGGAAGACATACCGACGACCACAGACTTGCCCTCTTGCAAGAACACTCTAGCGATTTTGAGGCACTTCTCGCGCTGTTTCACATCGTTACTCAAGAAGCGGGGAAAGAGGGAAGCAGCTAGACACATGCGTGTGTTGCATCCCTAGGGCATGAGTAGTACTTACGGTCTTAAGGGTATCCTGGTTTACGCGCTCATAGCCTAGAGATTGGAGATGCCGCCAGTAGAAGGAGGATTTTCCCGCGCCGGGGCTCCCGCAGAGAAGGATGATGTCTAGGGGGTTGGTTTTGGTTATGGGGGACCCTTTTCTTGCTGAATCTATTGGGGTAAAAGAGACATGCGTTAGTTGTCCGCCCTCTGGCTGCTGTGCAGAAGTGAAAGCGGGAATACGCGATGGCTGTACGCCGACATACCTGCATCACCTGCATTCTCCAAGAACGCAGCAGGCTCAAACCCCCTCACAAAAGGTCTCGCTTCTTCCTGCAAAAAGTACTCCTCGGGCGTATGAAACGCAATCCCCAGGTTAGCGGCGAAATCTCTACTCCAACATTAGCCCTTCTATCATCTCAACAACAACCCCATCGGTCGCGCATGTGCACGCCCTCAGAAGGAGCAGCAATAGTAGCAGTCCTACCCACCTATCCACACAAGAATGATCCTTCACTCTACCCCCCACCGCCTGCCTTCCCCCCGCATCTCCCACGAAGAACGAGTTCTCCAGATCCACGGCGTCGGGCGCTTCGAGGTCGTGGTCTTCCAGCATCTCGTGCCACATTCCCGTCCGCGGCTTGCGGTACTGGTCCCGGCTGGTTGCCGCGTAGATGGATATAGAGGGGAGGTCGAGCTGAGAAAGGACGGCGACGACTTTGAGTTTAAAGTCTAGGAGGCGTTTCTGGTCATTTTTGGCCGGTTTGGAGGACTTGGTGTTGGCGAGGGTGATGCCGCCTTGGTTGGAGAGGATGGTGACGAGGTAGCTGTTGAAATTATTAGCAATTGATTCACTTCTCTTCAGAGAGATATAACGGCGGTGGGAAAAGGGGTTGACGGCACGTGACGTGCGACAGGTGGATGAAGTTGTGCATAGAAACAGTCCACCAACTTACCCTTTCTCATGTAGGCCCCTCAACACCGTAGGCACACTTGGATGCCACCACTTCCAGTCCGTTGCATCCCGACTGAAGACCTTTCCAGATGCTGACGTAACCAGCGTAGAGTCCTACAGCATAGACACAACCGTCAGTCCAACGTGTCTCTCACCCTTCACCCTTCAAGGGCGCTCCACAAGCCGCGTAGAGCACAACACCACTTACAAAGTCAAACGCAGCAATCTTCCTCCTCTTCGCACCACCTGCAGCCACACCCACCGCACCCGTTCCACCTCTTGAGGTAAACCTTCCAATCAACAAACTATCATTCACAACCCGCCAGGCCATGGTCTCGGGCCCCTTTTCCTTTTGAGACAGTGGGGTGAAGAAACTCGCTACCGCTTTGCCTGCATCATCTTAACACACATCCCCCCCATGTAAACCTTCACATGTTCGGAGCTTATGCTTACTCGTAGTACCGGACTGCACCTGCGGCCTCCGCTTCGTGGGCGGCGGAGACACGTCTCTGTCGTGCGAGCTGGGGCGCTTGCCGAGTGTCGGGCGGGTGGACATTGTACACTTCCTCCTATGGGGACAATTGCATCGGTTTGTATGGGGGGATTTGTCGTGGTGACTTCGGCGTCGTGATGGAAGTTTAAATATGTGGTCGCGGTGGTTGACGCCTAACGCGTGGTCGCGAGAGCACGTGCCTGGACCCACTTTCCCCTCGAGGCTGCCTGGGTGAATGTGCCTGCCTACATTCACGAATATGAGTTTGGAGATGACCCATACTCAAAAGATGCATCAGAGTGATGAGCCCCCAATGTCTCCCACTGGACGATGGGATAGTCACCTGATTTACTCTGGAAATGTTTAACATTTGTTCAACGAGCCCTTGACAAGAGTTGAAGCCATCTGACAATTGGCCTATATCCGCCTCCGCCTACAGGCCCCTTATACATTATTAATCATCAAATAATTCTATCCAATTGCTCCTGTGCCAGGACGTGCCGTACCAGAAGAAGAAGCAAGGTCAGCAAAACTCCCAGAACGACGCCACGTCATGATGCTTCTAAAAGAACCTGCTCGTAGTAGCATCCGAGTATAACTCCAGTATCAATGCGTCCGAAAACCATGCCATTACCGGGCAACGCGCTGGGTATCGGCAGGCTTCAACCTGTAGTCCAGTTCCAGACGATCTGGAGCCTCAAAATTGACACAGCCCTTCATCATCTCCCTGAACTCGTTCATCTCCTGACAGCACTGCCTGGCCAAAGGCTCAATGTTGATGTCCTCGACGCGCAACTTGGCTTCGACCAGGTAAGCGCCGCTCGGATCGACGAGCTTCAGGTCGTCGAGGCTAGGCAGCACGATCTTCGGAGCAGTTTGTGAGAGGCGGACGTCGGGCTCGTGGAGGATGCGGTAGAGAGTGAGTTCGATGTTGCCATGCATGAACCGGTGGCCTGAGACGTAGTACTCCGTTACGAACCTAGGCAGTGTGGGTTAGCATGTGAATGCGGAGCAGGTCCTGGGGAGCCGAACTTGTAGCCATTGTCGATCAAATAAGCGTGAGGGTCTCCAGCGACGAAATCGGTGCTGCTGGCCTTCCTCACGGTTAAGCCATCTCTGCCACCAGCAATTGGGACCTCCTCAAACACCCAAGACCACCTTGTTCCGTCGTCAGCGCTGAGGGTGTTGTTGTGGTTGCCATTGTGGTGATGCCGGCGCCGTGCAGGGTCAAGGTCGTCCTTGTCCAATTCCTGGTGTAGCCTGGTGCAATATAGATCCCTCGCGCGGGCCTGTTGCTGTTGTTTCTGCTGTGCAGTCTTGGTTACAGTCTTGAGGTCGACGGCTTGGCTGCCGCCCCGCTTCAGGTGAGAGAGGGCTTCTTCGGGCTCGCGATCCGGTCGGTAGACAATCTGACGTCTGAGGAGGGGAACGGGCTGGTGGGCAGCGACGCCTGCAAGGACCTTGAGGACCTGCTCATGGCGGGCTTGCCAGATCTGATCCTCGAGCAGCAATTCGTAGCAAGACATTAGCCTTCTCCAAAAGAGCCGCGGATGCGGAGGTAAGGCGGAAGTCTGCGTGAATTACACGTGCAATGCAAGAATGGCGGGGTCGGGCTAACTTGTTAAGGAACTACTAAATGGGAGCGCTGCGTGGGGGAGCGGGTTGATAAGGGACACAACGGGGCCAACTCGGGCTCTAATTGGCCAGCGCGCATTCTGCGACGATGAATTTACGCAGGCGTCGCGTTCTCTTGCGCGCAAGAGAACGGCTCCATGTCGCCATTCCTCATGCTCTCCAGCATTCATTTCCATTCTTCACCTCGCAAACCGCGCATTTCCTGTAGAGCACTCCGTAGGCAATGGGCCCTCCAGCCGCTTTGCGAGGGACATCTCTGAACATGCTGTTCATTTGACAGGAGGAGTGGGCCGACGGTCGGGAACGCTGGGAGTTGCCATGTGTCGTTGGAACTGATAAGCAAGCCGGGCGGTTTCGGACAAACCCAAGCGCGGGCTCGCACAACGGGCTAGCCGGGAGCTGCACATCTTGGAAGAAGGAAGGCACCGAACACTGAGCACAATATTTCTCGGCTCTCCGCCCGCCATTGCCCTCCCAACCTCTGCTCGACTGCCAACCTTCTTCGCTTCTCTCTTCCACTTTCATCTTCATCCTTCTCCTTTATTGTCCTTAGATATTCCCCAAAGGACCAGGCCTCCTGCGCTTAGCTCTGCGAGCATCGTGATCGACCACTCTTCCATCTGCAACGACCCGCCGACTCCGCTCCGCTTCCTGCATCACCACCCACACACACCGCCAACCATGAACGCAACTAGAGTTCTCCTCCAGCAGCGCCAGCCGATGATCCGCTTCCTAGGGAAGCGCACCACTCCTTCTCGTTAGTTTCTCCCTTCTGTCGCTTCCAGAAGTGCACTCATTCTAACATCCCTCCTCGCAGACATTGACCACACACCCCACGCCCACCCCGCCTCCCCCTCTGGCTCCCTTCCCGAATCCTTCGCCGCCTACCGCCAAAAGGCTCAGCAGCACGGTCCTCTCAACCAAAGAAGCTCCTTCTCCAGCTCCGGCCACATCGGCGGCCGGCCTGGCGCTTCGCTCGGTCCTGTCGAGCCACAGAGCGGCGTCTACTTTGATCGCAGCGAGTTGCCTGCACGGTTCCAGCGTCTGGCTTGGACCCAGGCCGAGATTGAGGCTGTGGAGAGCGGGGGTGCCAGTTTGTTTGCTTAAATGAGGGTACGATGAGGGAGTTGAGGAAACGAGGTGGGACAATATAACATGAGATGAGACGGAAGACATTGCTGGAATGAATGAATGCTCGGACCCGGAAAAGCTTGACACTACAACAACGACATGGATATCACAGTGCATTCATACCTGCACACGACGACATCACCCTTTCAACGGAGCGGACGATGGGTGACGGGTAGATCCCTATGATAAAGGTACATCGAGACGACAACACGCTTGTTCGATCTCGACGGAGGACTGGCGTTCCCACAACATCACTACTACATTTTTATTCTCTACCGGACAGGCAGGCGGGAGGGCGGATTGGACTGAGCATTTGTGCGCATCGGCGCGGCCATGGGCGGCATTGCGATTCTTTCTGCGGACCAAGATGTAACCTAGTATACCCTGCATCGACAAGTCAAGGACTGGTTTCTGCTTTTATTCTGATTTTTATTTTGGGGCATCATTGCAAGTTGGCGGCATGGAGTTCAAAACTGTTTCGACTCTTCTCACTCATCTCTTTTGGTGAGACAGATATATAGCAGAATACAAAACAATTCAAAATATCAAAGAAGAAGCATCGGCGAGCACAAGTGATTTTACCCCCAACTGTGAACTGTTGAGCAAACTATCTCCGCAATTCCCCGTCTCCGGACCTTGGAAAATATCGCACGCTCGGGCATGCGAAAGATGCCCGTCCGTCCAGGATACGGAGGACTGGGAAAGGCGAAGGTGCGGGATAGACAACCTAACTGCTGCTATTCGAAAAAGCAGACGCGAGTCGTCTGAAGTTGCATGTACCATTTCCAATTCCCACGACGCCATAACACCAAATTACTCGTGAGCCGAACAACACAATCTGCTCAGAATGGTCCCTCTGGCCCCTCCATAGCATATACCACCTCCAATCCCCCTCGCAATCCCACAACCATCTCTCCGCCTCACTCTCACATTCTACTCCTCTTCCTCCTCACCCTTGTGCTGGATCTCCAGGGTTCCCGGGTTGTGGGCTACGTGCTTCCCTCGCTGGTCTGTGAAGAGGACCTGTGGATTTTATTGTGTTAGCTGTGAGACCCCTATCAAATATAGACATATATGACAGCGTAATAAGAAACGCACCTTGGGCGGATGCTTCACCCCCTCTGCCTGCGCCTCTTCCTCCGTCCTTACAATCTTTTCTACCTAGTCTTTCCCGTTAGCACGGTCGCTCATATCACTCATATCACTCTATATCCCTCGAAACGGTTAAGAAAAGAATAAAAAACGGGAAACGGGAAAAGGGGAAATAGAAAAAAGGAGACGTACATCGCCCTCGTGCCTCCCGCCCCGGATCTTGGTGTACACGTGATCCCCGACCTCGATGGGCTCGCCTTGCTTGGAGAGGACTTTGTCCGAGGATTGGGTGGGCATGTTGTTGGATTGGTCTTCCTTTTTGCTTCTTTTTCTTTTCTGAGGGAGGTGTAGGTGGGTTGTAGATGGAGATGGAGATGGATGAGTGGGTAGTTGTAACTGGCTCGCTGGGAAGGGAGGTAGAGTGGATTGAGTGGATTTGGTATCAGACGTGATGTCCGCTAGAATATCCAGCTTGTTCTGTAATCCTTTCTCGCTGTCGGTGAGGAACGGGTTGTTGAATCATTATGACGTCCCTCCCCTCCTCCTCCCTACCGAAAACGGTAATCGCACATTTTGCTTCCCCTTCCACTCCCCGCCTGCACTCCCCTCAATCATCCTACAAATTCACTAGTCCATCCTAACTCCCTGATACCATGCTCTCATACCGATAAGAGAACCCTTCCCTCCCAGGATCAATACCGCTCCGCATGTCTCGCATGCGGCGTAGCATACCTATCCATTAAGCGCCGGCTACCCCAGCACCACGTGCACTCTTCCCGCCGGACGCAGCAAAGAGGCACAGCCCTTGACCATTTCGCCATTTCACGCATCGCTGATCCCCGCACGCCGGAGTATCGGTACTCGCTTGAAATTCTGTTTGCGAGACATGTGGCGAGGGTGAAACGTGCCGTGTTGGGGGTTGGTGAGCTTGATTGAACGACGTCTCTTTCTCTCTCGTCTCATCTCGAGGTGTTCACGATGGGATATCGATGATTATAAGTTGATAAGGCTGGCGAGGAATGAAAAAGCGAAGTTGTAGTTTGTATAGGCTAGATATGTGCGGCGGGGCTAATATCCAAGCTTCTGAGTATCCAATTTCTAAGTTTCTCCAATCCAGACTCAGAATCTCCAAGTCCAAAGTCCCCAATATCCAGAATCCAGAATCCAAAAAATCCCAACCCAAATCTCCAAGAACCAAGACGCGTTCCTGAAATATGTACAAAGCGAAGCGAAACCAGAAAAGGGTTCTCGATAAGGGGTATGTGTAAACGAGCGATGCGAAGCGAAGACTTTCGAGAAAAAGAAGCGATAGAAGCGAAGCGCCGGATTTGTCCTAGGAGTCCCCTCTCGACCAGATTGGTGAAGGTGGGGGATAACTCCTGGATATGGCTGTTTCCAATCGGCCCCAGGCGATATATGAAGGAATAAGGTCGTGACAACTTCGTGCAAAGCGCTGACCCTGCCTGCGCTAGCGGAGTGAAAGTTCGGGTATCGAGAAATTCCAGAGAGCGGAAGAACGCGTCTAAGAGAAGGTCCAGGTAACCTTTTCGCGTCCAGGGGCAGCGTTACCCGTGAGGTAGTTCCAGGCAGCAGGAGTGAGGTCGACATCATTTGCCGCGCAGACCGGGCATCGATCTTTGACGGGGACGGTGATAGATTTTCCGTTGTACGAAACAGTGACGCTCTTGCTGCAGATGGGGTTACCATTGATGTTATCGGCGCTACCCCACACGTCGTTACCCCAGATGGCGGCGGAGAGGGCGGCGCTGCCAACGTCGTCGGAAAGAGTGTAGCCGCAGGCACCGGCGCCGTTCTGGGTGTTATAGATGGTCATGTCACCGGTCTTCTGGTCACCACCAGAGGGTGGGGTGTAGGAAGGAGGGGGAGCAGGGGACGGGGAAGGCTCCGGTTTAGGCTCCGGCTTGGGCTCTGGCTTGGGCTCTGGCTTCGGCTCTTCCTTGGGAGGAGGAGGAGGAGGAGGAGGCGCAGACGTGTAGACAGGAGCTGGCTCTTCCTTGGTTGAGGTGGGAGTCACACTGGGCTGTTTCTGCTCAGGCTTCTTCTGTGGAGGGTTCTGGGGAGTAGCGCTGCTAGTAGTCGTGGGCACTGGCTTGGAAGCAGGCTGCTCGTAGAAGAGGCCAGGGGTAGTGGTGGGCTCAGCGACGGGGACCTGGCCATCCCATACCGTGACGTAGATGACCTGGGTTTCAATGACAGTCTCGGTCTTGGTTGCCAGAGCGCGTCTGTCGAGGGGAACAGCCAGGGCGACGGAGCCCAAAAGGAGGGAGGCGAGGAAGCTCGATGTCTTCATGGTTGCTGTTGTATTTCTGATTGCTGTGCTGTTGTAGCTGTGTAATGGGATTCAAATAATCCACAGAGAGTTGATTGGATTTGGCTAGCAATCCAAAAAAGTCGATCAGGTCGATTGACTGGAGGCTGACTTTGCGGTCGGAGTGGTGCTGGAGGGAGCAGCTTTGTGGATATAGCGGGCAAAGAACGACGGAGGTGCTAGACCTCTTTGCAAAGAATGAATGAATGTGGGTTAGAGAAGGAAGGACGACGGAGACCTCAAGCCTGTAGAGAGTGGACAGGGCGAGAGGGCAGTGAGCAGAGGGTTTAAAAGGAGTGGAGGATGGATGGGGAGCGAAGCGTGGGTGGGACGAAAGGTCCAGAAAAACGGGGAGGGCGAAATAGCGTTGCTGGATGCCGGGGCTGTGGCGTTACCCCTGGCTAGCCCGAAATGCCCTGGCCGACGAGTCAGCCACGCACACCTGGCCGCGCCCCAGCACGTTTCTCCATTCATCTCCAATCTTTCGACCCTTCCAAGCTTCGCACACGACAGACTCTGCCCAACCCAGCCAGGATCCGAGTGGAGAAATCCCAATGGCCGTCCTGGACCACGTTTCGCCATCGTCCTCTCTGTGTCGCCTTCGAAACCCACAGCGATGAAAGTTTCCCCTCAACATGGCCGTCCTGCACCTGGGCATCGTTGCTCTTTCCCTCCTTGCTCTTTTCCATCCCTCCCACTCTGGCTGCCAAAAACAGGACCATCTCCTGCGAATGCCGTCAGCCCGGGAGCTGTGATTGCCTCGTCATCTCGGACTAAATTTACGGGTTACTTCCTGTGGGCTGACGGTCTCATCTCGCCCGCCGACATGCCCGCCACGTTACTGGTGTGCCTGTTGTGGGTCCCCATTAGGAACAGGACTAGCGTGACTTGGCGCTGTCAGGGCCGACCAGAGCTGAACAAAGACAGCTGGACGCAGATGAAAGGCAACCAAGCAATCCACCACAGCCACCACAACGTCCGTCTCGCCCTGTCGCCGTCGTGGCAACCTCTGGTGTGTTCCGATGGCGACTTCGTAGCATTTCATTGACACTCATCGATTGGAGCCTTCGTTTTTGTCCCCTGCTGTTCAACACAGCATGAAACCTGGCGGTCGAGCGCAACCTTCGTCAACTGGCCTCTGCCGACGCTCTCCCACGGTGACATTGGATTTCTCTCGCGCATCTCCCTGCATGCTCCCACTCTTGCATCTTGCCTGGTTCCTCGACATGCTTAGCAACCATCTCTTGCCTCGAAGCCCAACAAAAACCGCACTCTGTGCCATGTGGGACCTGCCCGACTGCTGCCGGAAGTGACTGGCCGGGCCGGCCACCACATGGTGCAACGTGCAGTCCGAACTTGTCGGGACCCACTCTTTATCGATAGCAAATGGCGATAGATATCCATCCTCTCCACATCCGTTGCATGGCCTGCGTCACTCGTGGACCAAGGCTCTAGCCTTGAGAGCAAGAGGACTTTGCAAAGAGTTTTCTCTGGGGGCCCCGGGTGGCATGCCGTGGAGGGTCCTTCATTCACTCTCAGTGGCCAATTCCAGTCTTCTCTGCCCCGCTTCAACTCCCAACATCTTCCTCTGGCGCAACAAGAGAACTCAACCGTGCAGGTCGCAGACGTCAGTGCAGTGTTGTCCTCCAGCGCCAACTGGGAAAATGCGTCGACCAACAAAAGCGAGCGTAAGAATGCAGTATCTACTGTGGGCTACGGTCTGGACAATAGCGATCCAGAAGCACTGGACTCACTGCATTTCAGCGTTCCACCATCTTGAGGGGTTCGAGTTCGAAAGGCTCCAAGGACTCGTACGTTCAGTGAGACGATTGCGAAAGTGACTTCGATTGCGATTATCGGAGCGGGTTCTATGACCTCGACCAACCCATTACAGTATTTTAAGGGATGCCCTGTCCATCCTGACCCTCTTCTCAACAACGGTGCTCTCATTTCTCCCCGTATTGTCGGAGCTAGATGCCAGCGTTCCCTGCAGCGAACGGCTTCTCAGTCATATAGCCTCTTCTTGACCAATCGTTCGACTCCCGCTCCGGCCGTTGCAAATGCCACATGCCCAACGTCGAGCTCACTCTTCACATCTCCTATCATGACACGGACGTTCCCGTAGACTCTTGCTGCATCCAGACCATCCAGATTGGAGGCCGTTCTCACCTCTGAGTAAGGATTGTCGCGAAGGTAGGTCGATGTGTATCCAAGGATATCCGGGGCCGTGGTCAGACCAGCTGCTAGCACAAGTGAGCCAATTGCTGCGAGCAGAATGATGGATGACGTGACTATAGTGATTGCAGCGAACGGTTTGCTGCAGACGTAATGCTCGCCGTCGAATCGGGCTCCGGAGAGTTTCGTCGAGTTGAAATACAAAGGGTCGCTGATGCAATTCGTGGTACACATAGAGAAGTCGTCATCCAAGGTAAAATTGGGAATTCGGTATTTGGCCCCCAGGGTTGCATCCCAAAAGGAGTTGATGACCAATTGAAGACGTTTGCTGAAAACAGGAGCAGGCAGATTACCGACATCGACGAAGGTCCCGGAATACACTCCGTGGTCCAAAGCCTTGAAGGGATCCGCTATCCACATCTCTGTCATAGTACTCGTTCTGAGATCCCCCGTGCGAAGCTGTGGCATCCCAACATCGGTACCCGGTAGCAGCTTCATCATTTGAGCGATCATGTGCAGAGGAAATGGCTTCTTCTTCCTTTCGAATTTCCGCAGGGCTTCAACGCGGCAGCTCCGGTCCCTGCAACCGATCCGTGATTCCGCGAAGTTGGATCGCATGGAACACTCGATTCGAGAGATATTGGCCTTTCCTCCATGATTCTGTTCGAGGATGTGGTCTCTTACTGATCTGTAGGTAAATCTCATCCCTTCCATGGGATGCGCGAATTCGCCGTCGGGCATGTCCAGCATGAACGACAGGATTGACGTATACTTGCCGTAACTCTGAAATGCCTCGGTGGAGTTCCAGTCGGCGAATTCATGCACTGCTTGGTCACACTCGACGCCCCAATAGTGGGATGTCATGTTGAAGGTCACATTGCCTGCCGTGGGAACTCCGACGATGGGTATACCAAAGAGAGAAGTATACTCAATGGGCGAGGTAGGATCGAAATGCTGCCACTCTCCGTCTGTCGTACCGGAAGTCGATGATATCAGAGGAACCCTCACTGCACCCCAGGGGTCCATGGACGAATTCATGTAACTCTTCGACATATGTAAGGCAGTCATATACACTGGCGCGAAAATGGGCCAGGTTGTCATCGCAACGTTGGATCCAATGAGATAGCTCATGGCATACCCCTCGATGGGAAAATATTGAGCGGTGCCATTGATGGGTACGACGCGCGGTTCTTTCGTCAACAGCCGTAGCGAGGCCTGGCCGCCGAGAGGGGATATTGACCAGAGGACGATGAGCGAGAGTCCGAGCAGGTCGATGCTCCGCAGTCCCACTTGTCGCTCGATGGCACTGTAAACCGATTGACTGCCAATCAGCCGCTCCAATGTCTAGCCGTGGTCAGCAAACGGTTCTCTGGCAATGTTGTCATGCTAACCTTGAGCCTCACTCCGCGCTCTGCTCTGTATACGCCAAACCGACGAAGAAGCTTTCCCATTATTGCTGCGTACATGATCGAAAATACAGTTGGCGAGAAGAGCACTGCTTGTTTCACTTTTTCTCCCCATGGTGATTTCGGATGATGGTGTAACGATAGGCAAAGTGCTGAGAGGACTGGTGGCACCATCAGCATCTTCGTGCAAATAATCACGTCTCTTTGAATGAGATGACTTTGAACCCATTCACGGTAGGCCTTTTCCGACATGAAAAGACAGCGAATCAATGACTGATGAAGGCCATGGAACACTATTACCGTCATATACCACCTCGAATGGACTCCCACTTACCAATAAATGAAACGGGTATCAAGGCCAAACCGATATCCAATAATACAACACCCCAATACCCCCACCCTCTAATCGCCAACCGCTTGGGTCCATTGTCGCTCCCTTGAATCGTCTCTTCCGATCCGAACGTATTTATCGCTACCGCCTGCGGTGTGGGAGGGTGCGGTACATCCGCATTGTCTTGTCCGTCTGCACGAAGATCGCGGTTGAAGAAAGTGATGCCCGGCATCGAGTACTCTTGTTGCGATAGCTCAACTGGAACGACAATATGACAAAACTAGGCGGAAAAGGAATAGGAACGGAGAAGGGAAAGGAAAAAGAAGAAGACCGAAATTCTCGTTGAGGTCCACTGCCTCCAACACCAACATATCACCGTCCCGAACCCTCATATTTGTACCTTTCCACCATGAGGCACAGTCGCGATCAACATGGGGCTCCTCATGCACATGTACATCGCGTACCTGGCATCGAAGCGCGGACATGGTGTTTAGCCGCATCGCGTCGCCTCGAGCCGGCGCTGATTGGATGAACACGGCGTTTCGACCAATGAGCAGAAGGCGTGCGGCGCCTGCGCAGAGCATTGAAACATTTCTGTGGTTTTTGGGGAAATCGGGAAAATTGTTGTTGGAGGGGCGCTTAATGCTTGTGAACTGGTGGTGGTTCGGTGAACTGGTGGACGTGGGATGTGGCACGGTTGGGGTGGGCATGGGGGCGGTTTTGAGGGAAAGAGGAGGGAGAGCGCGAGAGCGTCCGCGATGGATGGCATGTATGAGCTATGGGGGGGATCATGGGGCCCAAGGTACGTGGAGAGGACTATTGCTTGCTAACGTGGTGTAGCCTCAGTGTCTGCTTTACAAACCCCCTCCCGCTCACTTACCTGCGCTTCCTACACAAGCTTGAAAGGTTTTTGAAAATCGACAATAAAGGCTCCGCTGGAATGGCTTCACCAAGATCCACATGCATTTTTCTAGCCCCCAACGCCCCCAACGCCCCCAACGGACGCTCTCCGCTCCTCGGTTCAAGGTGTCGAAATCAGAGTCAATGTATGTGGGCTAGCATGCTGCAAGATTACCCGCTTCTCCTTTTTCCAACTTCAATTCCCGTGGCTCTTTACTTCTATTTGTGCTAGAAACAGTAGTCTTTGTAAAGAGCAGTTGCAGCGGTCAGAAGGATAAGCTGTAGTCTGCGGAAATGGTAAAGACACGCATTACATCTCCTTGAAGATATGAATTCCGTATACATCGTCCGCAACCGCAAGGAAGGTCCTTTTGATTAGGACTCGGAAACATCCGTGGTATTTCCTATACTTTCCTCCTATAACCGGTTTCTTCTCCCTAGGTCCTAACTACCTGGCCTCTTCGTTTCAAGAGTAAAACTTTCGCATCTTTTCTAAGCAAGGGAATGTATCTGTCCTCTTGTCTTTATGCTGTAATCACTTGACGCGATAGACGGGCACTGAACGTAATTCCGAGTATAAGGCTTGCATGTCTCGATTCCATAGCAGGAGCATGACGTGAACAAAGGGTGAAAGGAGATGATGAGCGGCACAAAAAAGACTCGACTCCTATCTATTCGACATAATTGACTAGTCTGCAACCCCAGCATACGCAGTATATCCCACAAAGCAGAAATGAAAAAAAAACCCGTTCTTCTAAGAAACCCATCTGAAGTATATGATCAAGCGACGGAAACAGAGGCTACTTATCTCCTCCCCTCACCGTACCGCACCATCCCTCCTATCTCAGTTCAAACACCATCTCCTCCCCACGTTTCCTCCCCTCATCCCCATCCAACCCCTCAACATACGCCTCTCCGACAAACACATATCCCTCCCTCTCCTCTCCCTGCTCCCCGATATTCCTAACAACACAAACACCCCCTTCCCCTCCCTCCCTCCCACCAACCCTAACAACCAAATCCCCCTTCCTCACCGCCGCAGCACCCAACCCAAACCCCCGACGACCCCTAATGCAGAACACAGTCCTATACGCGCCAACCCTCCACGCCGCCTCCCTCGCGGGATCCGCACTCCCCACGCACCTCGCAATCTCCACCTCCGTCACCATCGCAAAACCACTTTCGACCGAACTAGCCGCACACACAGCCCTCCTCTCCACGTCCGTCACAATCGCCGACTCAGGCAGTCTGATATCAAGAAGTCCAATCAGAGCCGCAAAATCAGCGAGTTGTTGCTCGACTTGCTCCAGTGTGCAGGCGGACAGCGGTGTTCCGGTGGGTGATTGATTCGCCGTTAGCGTTCTCATGAGGGCTGTTAGCGTTAAACTGGTCGATGGGCAAGCCTGCACATCAGCGGTATCAATATCAGTATCAGGAGCGTCGGAGACGGAAATGGCAATACACCATTCCACCATCGCCTTGACGACGGGGAAATACGCGTGCAACTCGCCAAACGGCGCGGCCGGGAAGACGTCAGAAATCGTACCCAGTACCACTCCCTTCAAAGCCAGGATTTCCGGTTTGGGGAAGAAGTAAGGCTGCGTATCGAGGTCTTGTTCTTCGTCGGTGACAGGGTCGTACGTCCCGAACGTTAGCAGTGGCCAGACGACGGCTTTGGAGTTCCAGTCCGGGACCCACGAGGGCAGCGCGCGTGGGTTTTCGTCGCTGAAGTCCGGGTCCGAGTGCGATGTATACGAAAGGACGTTTAGGTTTCCCTCTCGCAGGATGAGGTGTCGCGCCACGTGTGTGTAGATCTCTTCGACGGGTCTGTCGTACGCCGGTGGGATAAACGTCTCGTACAAACTTCCCCCTTCCCCATTCTCTCCTTCTCCATCCCCATCCCCATTATCCAAAAACCCCAAAAGCCCAAACACCTTATCCTTAGCAAAACTAACATCAAACGACCTCGCCAAATCTAGGAGCTTCAAAAACGAATACTTCCTCCTCTTCACCCCCCTTCCCCCATCCCTAACCCCATCCCTCCCCCGACGATGCACCTCCCCCAACATCCGCATAATCCACGCATTCTGCAACGCCCGGCTCTCGAGCAAAATATACAAACACCGATCCCCCCAAATCATCTCGACCGCCTCGCCAACAACACCCCACTCCACCTCGGCCGCGCCCCAAATCACCCTCGCTTCGGCCGCCAGCACAATCTCCTGAAGCACCCACATCCGAAGCCACCACCGATTCGCAAACAGCGCCGCGACGAAGTACCACTCGTTGGACTCGATGGGCGGCGCGCTATGCGTGCATCGCACGCGATACACCTGCTTCTTCTTCCTCCCCCCTCCCCGCTGCGTATAAAACGCCGCCGCCGCTGCATCATCGCAGGTGACTAGCGCCCTACGCGCATTGACGAACGTACACAACGTCGCGAACGCCGGATGCGCTTCATCCCTGTCGTCCTCGCCCAGCCAGACGAGGACGCGCGCCGCGCGGCGGTAGACGACGTTCATGCGGCGCACCTGGTGAGTCTTCTCCACCGCGTCGTCCTGCGCGATGCACAGGTTGTCGACCCAGAGGAGGCGGGCTTTGTCTGGATGGCGGAGCCGTTCCAGGGCGGAGTGCAGGTTCGCGGGTACGAGTTTCGTGTGGCCGTTGCAGGTGATGGGCGCGAGGCCCGGGTGCAGGTGCCAGACGTAGCTGAGGGCTTCGTAGGGGGGTGTTGAGGGGGAGAGGTTAGTCGGGTGGAGGGTGCATTTTAGAGGTTTGCCGGGTTTGCCTGGGTGGAGGGCGAGGAGGCGGATGTAAGATATGTGTGCGAGGGGTTCGTAAAGGGGTTGCTGGTGTCGGAGGGAGCGGAGGAGGAGTGGGTTCGTACATGTCCATGTTTTCGATGTGGATTTTATACGCTTCCGGTGTGCGAGGCGTTGGTAGAGTTTGTCATGATTCTGACTGTGGAGCATGGAGTGGGAGTGTCAGAGAGGTGTAAATCTAGGGAATGCTTCGTGGAGTAGGCGTGCAAATGCAGCATCGTTCCTATGAAGGCATCAGTCATAGAAGCCACACTGTAAAGTACTTAGGTACAGAACATCAACTCCTCAACAGGCACACATCGTCTTCAAGCCCAATGTGCCGTCCCTCATGACCACGGACGGGAAAAGCCCAAGGCTCCGCCATGTCATTCGTATCATCGCACTGCCACGGGGTACTCGAGAATGGCAAAGGTTTGTTTGCTTTGCATGAGGGGTAAGGTGACACATCGTCGTACACAAGTGAGGCAAAACCAAGGATGATGCAAATCCATGGATCAATAATGGCTATTCCGATGGCAGCGTGACTCGGTTTCCGCATAGTAGATCCTCAGCCGCAGCCTTGTGTGAAGAGAGTACAGTCCCTCAGGCAGCTGCTCGCTCAGGGTCGAGGGGAGTGCAAGTGGAAGGCGAAGGGATCGGTGAGTAACATTGTGATGAATCCAAGGCGATTTCTAGATCATTCCTGTTCCAATTGTCATGGTAAGCGCTAGCTTTGACGTTGGCGTTGACGTTGAAGAAGGTGCGACTTATAAATCATAATCATGTGGAATTTGCCACACTAGCGCAGACCATATACCTGAGCAGAACTCCGTAGAGACAGTATTCGACCCTTCTCATTATTGTGCGCTCTAATCATAACAACGGTAAGGATCACATGTGCATGCTACACGCCGTGAAAACAAAAGCGGAACGCAGAAAACCGAACCTACCCGCCCATGTCTCATAACACCTTCGTGGATATATAACCAAAAGTCCCAGATACGGATGAATGCCAAATGCAATGATCAGGAAAAGAAAGACCCAAACACGAGGAAAGAATATCATCTATGCAAAAACGCAATAACGGAATGAGAGACCACTCCATCACTCCGACGAACCTCCACCATCAGGCGTCGCCGCCGACTCCGCGCTGGGTGTCCTACTTAGATCCTCGCCATCCGCGCCTAATCTGTCCATCTCCTCTGCGATCTCTTCATACCACTTAGCATGGGCGCTCCTGTCAGTCACACTGATCCGACCAAGCAGATCGACGATATCGCTGACATGGTTGACAAACTCCGGAAGTCCGGTCGTCGCAAGGCCCTCTGTGGCGGTACTCGCCGCCCGAACGCGCTCACCAGAACTGCTTGCCGAGACGCGGTTGAAGATATTGGTCTTGAGTCGCTGGAAGAGAACCTTGGTAACAGGGTCCGAGACTTTGCCCGCCTCAGCCTGGGTCAGCAGGCGAGTGATGGTCGACTGCAGCTGAGAGCGCGTGGAAGGTGGCATAGGGTGGGATGATTCCAATATTGAGAGGACCTTTGAAGGGGTTGCCGGATCCTTCAGATAGCCATCTTTAAGCGCGTCCCACATTCTATTGGCCTCTACCTTCCACTGCGAGCGGACGTCCCGTTTCAGCAGATTCTTCGCCGTGAGCAGTATGCCTCCAATTGTGGTAATGCGGAGGGCGTCGTTACGAATACGCGAAATTCGTTCTCGGTCAAGCTCGAGCGTCTCAGGCAACTCGGAGTCTCTCAATGGTGGGGTCGCAATTGCAAGGTCCACAAGGCCGCGAGCATATATCTTCTGAGGGGTGGGGCGATTGACCGGGTTGGATTCATTCCAAGGGTCGCGGCGGTCAGCCTCGGTGTGCATGTTTACAGCAGCGCTACGCCACCATCGCCGAGTCCGCTTCAGCGTGACTTCGCCGGCGACCAACCTCTTAGCGAACTCCCGTTGCTCGTAGCCTGGGCCCTCCTTGATCAATGTCGGTGCCGCTTTCGTAAGGAGGTAGTTGGAGTAATCCAGAGAGAGAAGATCGATGACATGCTGGAGTTTGAAGAGCTTTTCGATCATCTCAGGCAGAGTCCCCTCGGTCTCAAGCTCGTCTGCTAGTGCCTTCACTTCGGCGTCGCGGAAGGGAGCGCACAGCTTCGGCAGTATATTTGCCATGAAGCTGAAGAACTTCTGATATGAAAACACGCCCTGGCTGCATTGCCTGCTGATCAAGTCGGGATCCAGAGTCTCAGAGATCAATGTGTGCATCGAATTCCCAGGCTTCAACAGGCGAAGCAGTTTGGCTCGGATGTTATCGGCCATGGCGACCGTCCACATGGCGCTCTCGCCGTTCTCAAAACCCCGTCGCATGGCATTACAGAGCTCCCTGTTCAAGGCGTCTCGCAAGTCCGCGCTAGGCGATGGATCGATGCGATATTCCTTGTCGATGCATAGCTCATGCACCAAAATACGATTATCAGGAACCACGGTGAAGACTTTCGACAGCGAGTTCGCTTGATAGCTCTGGGCCGAGGGCAAGCCGGTGGGAGGAGTAAGTTGAGAAGCAGCCTCACTCTGCAGAGCCGCATCTCCCTCAGAAATAGGCGTACCGGCCGCAGAGGACTCAATGGCTACTCTAGGGCGTGCTGTCTCTCCAGCAGGCTTCTTCTTCGGCCTCGCCCTGCGGCTCTCGCGTATCGCCTTTCTGATTAGTGTCAAGGCCCGCTCCGGGCCTGCCAACTTCTTGATTTTGCTCAGAAGTATAGCCTGGTTGTCCCGGATACCGTTCCTATACTCGTTCGCAACTTCGTCCACCGTGTCATCCTTGATATTCTGCCAGATGGCATCGAGGCTCACAAAAGAGGCTATCATCGTCTCAACAAGCGCTGTTGAGTCCTGCGTTTTCCAGTCTTTGAAGGCTGACAGGTACGACGCGAATGACATGGAGACCGTCTCGAGCCAGGTAGGCGAGGGCAGGTAAGAATTGCGGGGAGTAAGCTTAGACAGTGCAGATTCGAAAGAGATGATCAGATCTTTGGCTTTGGTAATGAGGTCCTGCTCCTGATCGCCATCGCGGGTGAAGATGTGCGCAGGGTGTCCCAGGATGAGAAATGCTGAGAGGAAAGTCCGGATAGCTGTTCCACGAGACGGGAGGTCCTCTGGAAGCAGGTAGAATAGGCCCATAACCTTCTCCGTTGACCGAAGAGAGTTTTCCTCTTGAAGCAGTCTCGAGATATCCTCGAAACTCGTATCCTGAATCTTGTCAATGGACAAGCCTAAATCTGTCCACGCTTCTACAATTTTCCTTCGTGCCCTTGCCCTCCATGCTGCCTGTATCCTACTAGCGGCAGTCTCTTCGGACAAGGCGGAAGAAGGCAGGGCCTTCTTGGTGTCACTCGAGGGCGAACTGGCAGTACGCGGCCTGCGCGTATTGCGCTTGTATTCCGCCCGCCTCCTCTCAGCCTCTGCGAGCTTCTCTTCCATTTCCAATCTGTAACGGCGCTCTTCCGCGGCTTTCCGCTCTTTCATGTCCTCGGCCACTTTTTTTGCTCTCCTGACTTCCTCGGCGCAAGCAGCTGCAACTTGCGCTAGGTGTCTTTCGCGCGCCTGTTTGGCCGCCAGTGCTCTCTCTTCGCTGTTCGAGGTGCGTGAGGCCGCCTTTGCTTCGGCAGCTCGCAAACGAACCTGTTCCGCATGGGCTGCACGCTCTGCTAGACGTGCTTTTCGGCTCTCAAGAATGGACGCGCGTCTCAAGTGTTGGGCGACATGGTGGCTGTGGCAGCTGGTGCGGAAGGATCGGGTAGACTGGTGAGAGTGGGTGGAGGATAGCGAATTGCGGCGCGAGGAAGCGGCAGAGGACTTTCGACGGGTGGTGGAAGGGCGATGAAAGCGGGCAGCAATCCTGGGAGGTGGTTCCCATGTCTGAGGGCCGTTTGCGGCGTCGTCTGAAAGAATCATGTCAGACTCCTCTGGTATGTCGTCGTGGGTTGCGAGCTGGTGGTTGGGCATGGAGTCGGAGCTGGCAGGAGAGTCCTCCATTGTGCAGGAGGTGGGCGGGTTTGAGGTGTGCGGGATCGAGGCGTGCAGAAGCAACAGTGCGTACCGCGGCGATTCAAGTAAGATGTCGAGGGTGAAGTACTAATGTCTGGGATCCTTGGAAGGGTTACGTATGAAACAAGTTCCCTGAATCGGATGCTTGCAGAGACAGCCGGCCGCTTGCGGCAAGCGCGAAATGAATCGAAATAAGGGCGGCGAAGGCCGCAGAAGGATAGATGCTGGAGCGAAGTGGGCGACGCCCTGGGTGGACGTGAGAAGCGAAGATGGGTGAAAGGAAAGGGAGAGGTCGCAGGGTCGTAGAGTGAATGGTGGCTGGGAGGAGGGGTGCGACTGCCCGCGTGAAGATGCCAGTTTCGCATCGGAGAACGCAATCGACGTCAATGGCATGCTCACGTAAGGCGCGCCACAGCTGCGACTATCTCCCCGATATATCCATTTGTTGTCATACTGTGATCGCCATCTGTCAATTGCGCATGAATGAGCACCTGCGCGCCAGTACAATGCTGGCGAGAAGCGGAAAGAAACGCCGGACGCAGACCTGAGTGGTGGAGCTGTGTGAGGTGGGCCGCAGGGGATCTGATCGTCTGTGTGAGGCTGCTCAGTGCTCGTGCTGCCAAACCCTCGGAGGCATCCTTCATTCACGACCACCCTCCCCATTCTGCGCTCCAATCAGCAAAGCCGTCTTGCACCCGCCTTCCGGGGCAGCTGGGAAACGACGCCGCTCCGCAGACGACCGCAGGTAAATTTGCCTAATCTCGACATGGGAAACCTGCCAAGGGGGAGGCTGGAGAGCAGGACGGTCCACGGGTGTCGAGGGCGATGGCGCTCAGTTGAATCCGTCGACGCCATTCTATATATCACCTGTCCTTCACTCGCGCATCCCCTCTGCCAACATTTCCCTTCTTGAACTTGCGCCGTCCATTGCCTTGATCGCGCCCGCCAGTTTCACAACTGCTATCACGTCTCCGTGATACATTGCGACTAATAAGCACCAGCTGCGACGCAGCTCCGTCCGACCTTGATCCAACCTGACTCCCAACTCCGCTCGAGTCAATCCCACCACCCCCATCGTTTTCCGCACTGATAGTCCTTCTTGCATCTTTAAACCCTCGCGCTACAGCTTCGCGACCACATTTCTAATCACCAGCACATCACCATGCCCGTCGAACTGCGCAAGCGCAAGACGCCTCCCCCAGCGCCCGTCCGCCCAGCCAAGAAGAAGGCCGCGCCCAAGACCTCCAAAGCCGCAAAGGACGCGAAGCCCGAGGAGACGGTCGTCGACAAGGCGAAGAACGCCGTGACCGAGACAGTCGAAGCCGTCAAGGAAGCCGTCACGGGCAATGGCGAAAGCACCAGCGCGACCCCCAAAGTCGGCGACACCATCACCCTGACCAACTTCGGCGGCGAAGTCGAGACGCACACGGGCACGAAGACGACCCTGGCGAAGCTCGTCGAGCAAAGCAAGAGCGGCGTCGTGCTCTTCACGTACCCCAAGGCCTCGACTCCAGGCTGTGAGTCGCTCCCATCTCCCTCATTGCACGACACTAACGCCGTCTTCTCAGGCACCAAGCAAGTCTGCTTCTTCCGCGACTCCTACACTCCGCTCACCGCAACCGGCTTCGACATCTACGGCCTCAGCAACGACTCCCCCAAATCAAACACCACCTTCGCAACAAAGCAAAACCTGCCCTACCCTCTCCTCTGCGACCCCTCGCGCACCCTCATCTCCGCCATCGGCCTCAAGGGCGCCAAAGGCACCACTCGCGGCATCTTCATCGTCGATAAGGAGGGCAAGGTCTTGGCCGCGGAGCCCGGCAGCCCGGAGGGCACCGTCGAAGTTGCGAGGAAGATCCTCGTGAAGGAGATGGAAGGGGAGGAGGGTGAAGGGGAGAAGAAGGAGGAGCAGGCGACGACGGCGGAGGAGAAGAAGGAGGTTGCCGAGACGGCGGCTGAGGTAGCTGATACGGCGGAGAAGTTGGACGAGGGCAAAGCGTAGGTTTTCGAGGTTAGGGGCTCTGGGTCAATTCCAGTGTCGACTGGATAAGCGCGATGCCCTATCTCCCATTTCCGGTCGATTTTTATTTTACCTTCTGCGGTCTCTTTTCGAGGGTATCCGAATTAAGGGTCCCCGTCTTCTTGTTCTTGCTTGCTGGGTGTCTCGGTGCGTCGCTTCTTCGACGCAAAGTGCGTTTCCTTCGTGTTTGGATAGGGTAAAACGTGTGGGTAGTATACACAGGTAGTAATATTATGTACGTGCAATGAAAACAAAGTGTCAATCGAAAACCTTCTAGTACATATGCCTGCCGCTCGAGTTATTGTCCCCTTGGAACCAGCTAGAAGCATACAGCCGTAGCGAGAGCTTATGTTTGACCTGCGACAAAGAATGTAGTTACCTCAGAGCCTCGCTGGGGGCATGTGCGACAGGAACAAAACCTTTCGAGCCAGAAGGAAAAAGGAAAAGCAAAAGGAAAAATAAAACTCCCCCGGGTGGGCTCGAACCACCAACCTCCTGATTTTTGAAATCCGAAATAGGTCGAATAACAGTCAGACGCGCTAGCCAATTGCGCCACGGAGGATTGAATTTTATTTTCTTAATTTCTTAGATTTTGTGATTATAAAGGTAATAAAATAAGACTAACAAAAAAGAAACATAAAGGATGAGGATGACTGACGGGTTGTGGCGTGGGGTTGTGCACTGGGCGGTGTCGGAACTGTCAGCAATCCTGGCCGGGGCTAGCGGTTTGACTAGAGGAACTGGAGGTATGGAGATTCTCGATGCAAATTTCAAACAACAATATCTGGGTATCTTGCTAACTACTGTGTACACGAATGGCCCAAAAGAATACAATATCCGCTTGGTAGCGCTCTCATGATCACTCGCTCAAGTGAAAACACCGTTCTGGAAATCAATGACTTGCGCCTTCTCCAAGACTCCTTTGAGGGAGTCCTTGAACTCTTGGTGCACGGGATCGTGGTCAACGTAGTAGTCCCTGTCCTCGTCGGAGTAGAATTGCATGATGAAGGCGTGCGTGAAGCCATTCTGTTAGGTCTCAGTTTTCATGCGTGAGAAGATTGCTGGTATGCCGCTTTACCTGTAGGTTTTCCTTCGAATTATCTCTTCCGCCTGTGACGGATACAATGTACGGCGCCTTAGTGGCCGGATGTCGACAGGCTTTCTTCAACCCAAGAAATTTGGCAGTGACCTTTCTCTATCAGCAGATTATTTCACCAAGCCTGGCTCACATGCATCCTACCTCCTTGATGGCAGTGTGGCTAGCACTCGGTTTGAACTGGAAGAGCACGATGTGTGTTGTGAGCGGCTTCTGTTCCTGGCGAGGTGGTGATAGCGACATGGGGATCCAATAAGACGGGTTCAATCTTGAGTTCACGGGATTTGATGAGAAAGAAACAATGGAGATGAGTATGATAACGCCGAGTAAGGCGGATACCGCCCGCTTCGGGTGGAGCATCGGAGACGAATGGAATAGCGGTTGACGAATTGTACAACGGAAAGCCCCCGTTTAAATGAGTGTCCACAGCCGCGAATGTGACTGGTAGCTACGTGTAGGACAGCAGCCTCATCTGGCATACGATGGAAGACAGTTCTTCACACGTGTAGATTCAGAAGTAAACACCCATGCCTCAATTAAGAAGATTAAGAAGGCGCTAACCAGATGCGGACCGTAGCCAAGCATGGCAAGCAGCCTTTGGAGCCGCGGTTCCGCTTCCTCAGTTGGAGCTTGGGCCAGCCGTCTGCGAAGGTTTCCAGCAAACAAAAATGACGTAGGCAGTGGATGGGCTCCAGTTTCATCATGAGAGATTTGGCAGTGTCTCCCCTTGGAAATTGAGGGGCTCCTTTCCCCCTTAGAGATTGGTTCAACGTTCCGGGCAGGATTTCGTCGCGGTACCCGGAGCTTGGCAGGCCGTCGCCATGACGTCACTCTAACGGTCATGTGTGAAGAGAGTACAAAAGCCTCTGCATTCCTAGTCTCTGCCACGACCACGACACCATCGAGTTTTCAATCAACGAATCCCATCCTACAATTGCCAAAACTCATCACCACTTACTTCAGCAATTCATCACAATGGCTTCTCTGCACTGTAAGTCCTCCCACAGCAAATCTGCGCTTCGAGACAAAGAGATTGCATCATACGAGCTCTGTGCTCTTTGGGGGAGGATCCACCATCAATTTGAACAACACTAACAAAAATTTCATTCAGACCTTCCTCCCGTTAAGCCCTCTGCCATTGCGCTGGGCACCTTCTTCAACCACGCCGTCTCCCTTGCCGTTCTCGGCCCCGTTTTCGGTGACGCCTACCGCCGCGCCCAGCAGGCCAACTCTAAGGAGGAGTATTTCCACAGCAAAGAGGCTGCCACCGCTGCTGCATCATGGGGTAGCTCTCTGCTCGGCTCTGCCATCCAATCCTACGGTGTTGGCGCTTTGATTAATGCTACCGGAACCCTCACCTACAAGGGCGCTGCTTATCTGGGATCCCTCATCTTCTTTGCCTCCGCTGCTCCCTCAGTATGTCACGCTGAATGAAGAGCGTCACCTTAGCAATTAGCTAACCATATTCCAGATCGTCTCCCAAGTCGTCACCGAGAAGCGCCCCTTGGACACCATTGCCATCGGAGCCCTTGCCCGCGTCCTCGAAACCGTCGGTCTCTCCCTCTTCCTGACCTACTGGGGCACCCGCACCAACCCCTTCGACTAAACGTCCAGTATCATGACTTCTCTGTTAGCGGTGTCTGGGGGATATTCCAGTATCCTCCTTCCATTTTGAGGGATGGATTGAGTTGCGGGTCCCGTGTGCGAATCTGAACGAGATGATATGAATATGAGCGCGGTCTAATCAAATGGATCATGGAGTTGAGGTCATGACACCTTGGTTTGTAACAGTATACTCTACGAAAGCAAGAAAGCATTCAAATTTCAGTTGTGCATCGTTTGTGTGATGTCTCTCTCATTGTGTCAGTAACCGATTCCCTCGCATCTCCGATGAAACTCCCCCTTCCTCATACTCCCTTAGCCCTGCAGCGTTTGATAACACCAGGGATTTTCGCTCCACTACATATTACAGCTTCATCCTTGCATGTGAAACCTGCATCGTTCATGTGGCGCCTGTGAATATTCTCGGAGATACGTAATGGTTATCGGTTCTTTGCCTCTGTGTACATAGCAATTGTCCGCAGATGGACGGGCGTCCTAGCACTATTTGTATCTAACCTGGAGCCACATTGAGCACTGATGGATGGTATTGGAGTAATCCTATAAGAGGGAAAAGTGCTCGACGAAGGGAACTTGTTCGTGGAGGACGCGTTGATCAACTGCTTCAAAGGTAAGTAAGTAGTGCTATGCACTCTTTCGTTGCATCTTCACGTCCCGACGCTGTGGTACACCATTTTCGCATAACATACAAAGCAGAGGGACTGTCGACTCGTTTACCAATGCAACGAAGGGGGGAACGTGACGTCCACCGTTTTATGGAGTTTCGTTCGCTGTGTTAAAGGTAATGAATTGGGCTAGAACCTTGAAGTCGCAAAATGAGGGATTAGCCGTTCTATTAATCAAAATTCTTACAAGAGGTATAGTAGAAAGGTCAAAAGTATTGTAGATACTCGTTCTATACAGAGAAAATATATCCAACAACTGTGAGATCTCCAGTCCCGTTCTGGTATATTGAAAACAACGGGCAGAGTCTATGTACAGGGCGAGTCGTTATTGCGTAGCGAGGTTATGATACATTGTGTTTTACATGGGACGGATACAGCAAAACCTGCTGTCTTACTTCTTCTGCGAATTTGGAGAGGCCCGGGTCTCAGGTCCCGACGGATTGACCATGCCAGCGGGGATCTTGCATTCTCTAGTCTTCAGTTGTCCAAAAGGCCTGGTGTTCAAGGCTTGGGCTTGCGTTTGCCAATCTCCCAGCCACGTTTCCTCAGCATCTTTACTACCTTGGGCAGAATGGCGGCGGTGGCTGGAACCCGGATGAAGATGAAGGACTTGTGTATCGCGTAGGCTAGTGCGAGCTCGGTCCAGATAGCTATATCATGGTCAGCAGTTATAAATGCAGTCATCAGCCGGGCCTCGTACATGCTGTAGCACCGCGATTGGCTGCCTCAGCCTCTTCTATGTCTCCAACCCAGCCGATTTCCTCTTCCCGAGCGGTTTCTTCCGCTGCCACACCCCCCTTCAATCCTCCCTCCTTCTCTGTTGCGAAACCCAGCATGCTCTTGAACCATTGTACTACCACATGCTCATAATGTCCTATGCGCTCCGTGCCCAATGACCGCACCGCGAGGAAGCAGAGAGGGAAGTCCAGCACCGACAGCGCCATGTACACGGCCAACGCCGTCCAGCCATACTCCTTAGATAGTTTCTTCATCCTTTGGGAGAAGGATAGCGGGGCCTCCGGGGTTTCTGCACCCTTTGCGGCATTTGTGACCTGAGATTCTGTTGCCTTGTCGGTCTTGTTTCGAAGGAAGCGTAAGCGGCGTGTGACGGTGGATCGCTGGGAGCGGAAGTGGAGGAGGGCATTTCGTAGAGGTGCTGAGCGGAGTCCTTGCACTTGTGTGGGAGGTATAGATGATGTGAAGAACGTCCGAGAGGGTACTGAGGTCGTGAAGAAGGTCCGGAAGCTCGAGGGGGTAAAGAATCTTCGCATGGTAGCTGTCGGCATTCTGGAAGTAGAGCCCTTGGGCAGCGCCTGCTGCATCATCTGGGTGCCGCGCATGGCTACGGCAAGGCTGACGGTAGGAGAGTACGGCTGATGGCCTAGTTGTTTCGATACAGAGCTCTACGTCCTCTGTCCGTTATCACGTTGCACACGATGAGCTCACAGCGGTGACGATTTTCCTGGACAGGGGGCTCGGACCGAAGTGGTTCCGAAGATCAGCCACACTTTGCTTCCAGAACACCAGCGAACGTGCCGAGGCTGGATGGAGACCGTCTCGTCCAACATTCTTCACTCCCCCCTTGATCTTCAACATTTTCGTCTTCACCTTCAGGCCCCTTCAAGGATCTCTGAAGCGAGCATCGGACGCGGCGCCTACCGAGGAGCCTCATCTGCCATGAGTCGCCAACCTGAAGCGAAGACGCCGGGCTCCTTGAAAACCGGGTCTCACACGTGCTCGAGTCGGAGCCATCCTTGCGATGGAGCATCGGCCATGGTTGGCCAAGAGATCATCAGACGTTCTGGAAGACTTCTCCTTCCAGTTATAGCAGCAAGCCATCGTGTGTGGGATTAAAAGACGAGACGGCACAGACCGTTGCTGGAAGGGTCTTTAGAAGGTCCTTAGCTTAGCCCCGGAGGGCCATTTTAGACTCGCGTACTGTGATATTCTGGCAGCAGTTGTCGCACGATGCCCGTTCCTTGCGACCAGCCATTGGCTGCTCGCGGGACTACTGGTTGGTACTGGTTAGGGTGAAAGCTTCCAGGATCGCACGTTGGACATGATGCAAGCTGCAGCCCTCTCTTCTGCAGACTTGTCACTTGCGTGCGTGGGGAGCATCTCCTGGCTTGCACGGGCGCGTTACGCCAACGGTGCGAGTAATGGCATGGAACATGCTCTTGGATTCCCGGATGATGGAGTCTGGTCAACCTTTCTGTTCTACAGCGCTTTATTAAATTAGCCTAAGTCTGCGCCAATAGCCATGGATGCCCAGGTGGTTTTCTAGGATCCTGCTACAAGTGTGCTTGCTCTTCTCTCTGGCACATCCGCGTGGCACGTTGAACATGTTCGACGGCATTGTCTTTCGTCACACTCTCGGAACCCTCAAGTCCCTAATCAGGTACTGCGTAGGACGATCCCCATTGTTGGTTTTTGCGGGTCACGGGCTTGTCGGCGTGTTACAGGCGGTGCGCATACATATTATTACAGACAAAGTTTGCCGTGACCTAGTTGCTGATAAATCCCTGAGAGCACATTTTAATCTACCGCCAGGCATTATAGTTGTTTTGTTCGGCCGCGTTAGGCTGCTAGTCCCACGATCGGTGTGCCTTTGAGCAATTGCGCCAATAATCTGACACTGCTCGAGCTGGTCCAGCTTCCCAGCAATCCCGGCAAAGCTCATCATATCGACCAGCAGGGCGGTCTGCAGGACTTTTTGGGTTCGGCTGATGACTCCTGGAGTTTGCACCGTTGCCCTTGTGAGCGCGGTCGGCATCTCTCCCCCTCGCTACTTAGTGACCAGGGGCTTTCGAGCGGATCGTCTGCACCAGGTGTCGCACCCGTCATCGCTTCAAACGTTAACGGCGCCCAAAACGGGTGCCTGCGAGTCGCGGAGCCAACTGTTTGAGAGTTCAATCCAAAACTCCCTGTCGACTACGGTTGCATGACTTGTACGCTCAGGATCTGCCTGTCATTCCACGTGGGTTCCTCCCCCTCCATCTCCCATCCGCCATGACATATTTATATACCTCCCCACACAGGGGACGGACGTCCCTTCCCCCCACTGGCTTCCTTGATGTGCATACTTTCCTACCTGCTCTTTTAGCTCTCGTTCAATCCTCTTGCCACCCTGTTCGTTCGTTATCTCAATATCCTCCCATCCGACCCCATCACTCTACCACCAAATTTTCCAGTCCTTCGCTGTTGCTGCACGCGCATACGCAATCTACTCTTTATCCGCCTTCCAGATTCGACCAGCATGGGGGGTCACGCAGAGTATATAGACGGCTTCGGTCGCCTAACTCTCTCACAGGCTGTCTACATAGCTCAGAATAGCGAAGGCGGTGTCGACCAACGACTTGCAAATCACCTTGAACGAAAATTGTCCGAAGTGTGGCGAAAACTGCAAGCACAGCCCAACTCATACGTCTTCCCAGACGACGAATTCGCGCTCTTCAACTACTACAAATCACGGTTCGAGGACTCGGACGTCGTCAGAAACGCAACAAAACGGTACTGGGACAACCGCGGAAGAAGTTGACAGTGTGCTCTCTTCTCTCTCTGTACCGGGTCCTGAGCCTGTCAGCAGTACGCACTTGCCGCGACCTTACATTTCCCCTCATACTGACATGAACCTCGCCCAGTTCTGACATTGAAGTTGTCGGTTCTCGGGGTACGGTTGTACGATTAGGGTCCTTAACTGTCACATACCCTTCCTTGCCGGCGTTATCCAGTCATTCGCGTCCCATCCGGCGTTTACGGGCGTAAATCAAAAGCTAGGAGTGCAACGTTGTATGATCACGGAAAGCAACGAGACGGTAATTGGTAATTGAAGATACATCATAGACGGGATGGGTACGGCCGAGAATCAAGTTTGGCGACACCTGCCCAAGGTTGACGGGGGACTGCGTTCCATTATAATCTTCCTAATGCTAATGACGATTCCTCAAACGACTTTGGCGGTTCTTACGTCTCGAGAACACACCTTTCCACTTCTCAACCATGCGTTCGACAGTCGTGCTCCGAATGCCACTGCGCCATTGCTTGAGTGCGTCCAGGTTTCGCCTCCCGTTCTGAGCCCCGAAAGTCCGACTTGTCAACAGACTCTCATGGTACACACATTTGGTTGGTCATATGGGAAACCTTTCCTGGGTACGTTCAGAGTTCCCTTCCTGGCATACCATGTCCTTTCCCTTCAAGATGTAACATCACTGGCCTTCGAACAACAGAGTAGAAGCCGCGTACGACGCTAAGTTTGAGGTCTGAGAGCCACAACTAATGCGCAAGTAGGCGATTATACACCACCTGCCTGCAAATTTAATCGTGTTACGTTCAACTTCACTGTCACCTCGGCCGGACGCCAATACGACCGACTCGGATTGATGTTCTTCAACGACACCGAGATTTTCCGTACATCGACGGCTGAGCCTACACAGAACGGCATTATATGGACGTATATCAAGGACATGAGCAACTATCTCGCTTTGTTCAAAGAACCACAGAGGATAATCTTCGACCTTGGCAACTTGGTCGATGACACCTACACAGGCTCTTGGCATACCACATTGACTGCTACTTTCTTCGAAACTGAGGATGATATCGATGCTGCCGATATGATTATCCCTGTCTCCGCTAGGAAGTCTGCCGCGGACAGTCCAAGCGGGTTCGTTGTGCCTGAATCGAAGGCAGTGAATACCTTGAGATTTCCCAGGAATATCAACAAAGCTATCTTCACCATATCAGCATGCGGCCAGGCTACCGAAGAATTCTGGTGGAGCAACGTCCTTTCGTCGGATACCAAGGTCTTTGGCAACGAAACATCATTGTATGGCTATTCTCCCTTTCGAGAATTGCAACTCCTCATCGACGGTTCGTTGGCTGGTGTTGCTTGGCCGTTCCCCGTTATCTTTACCGGAGGTATAGTGCCTGGCTTCTGGCGGCCCGTCGTCGGAATAGATGCATTTGATTTGCGAGATGACGAAATTGATATCACGCCGTTCGTCCCCCTTCTTGCCGATGGCAACGAACATAGTTTCGAAATCCGTGTTGCGGGAATCGACGATGACGGCAAGGGTAATGGAAACCTGACTACTGCTATCGGCTCAAATTGGGTGGTCACTGGCAAGGTATTCGTCTGGCTTGACCGAGCTGGCACCATCACAACGGGAACGTTACCAACAATCTCTGCACCTGAACCGTACCTGGATCTCTATTCATCCGCCCAAAAGTCGCGTACCGGTACAGTGGACGCATTACTTTACGCGGTTAAGGTCGGTCGGAACCTTTCCATCAGTTCCACGATTGAGACTTCGTCGGGAACAGAACTCGCTACTTGGCAACAAAATTTCGTCTACAGCAATGAGGGCGAGTTTACAAACGGCGGCAACGATCAGGAGACTCGGCAGTATACATCCGGCTTCGACGCATCCTCGAACGGTTACTCGAAGACTTTCGACTATCCGCTCTACGTGTTTTCCACCTACAATGTCCAAGCCGGCGGAAACTTCACTATCCATGGCAAATTGGCGCGAGGGAAGAATGTGAAGAGGATTGGTCAATTGGCCTTTCCGTCTGAGCTGAAGACATTCAGTCAGACTCCGCCATATGAGTCCTCGTTCATCGGCACGTCTACCAGTGATTTACAGAACGGCACAGCCAGCTACCTTGGGGCGCCCGCGCTCAAACGATCATTTGGCTCCGGATCGACGGAACAAAGGTATTTTCTATACGGCGTGAGTGACTCGGCCACTGTGGTTCAGGATGCAACCCCTGGTCTTGCCGCACAAGGTATCACTGAGCTATATAGGCGCCACGTCTTAGCGGCGAATGATTCGATCCTTCTAGATGAGGAAACGTTGGCCGGAGCGGGGCTCAAGATGCAGCATAGCCAATCCCTCAGTGGAGATGACAAGCAGGTGTTTGCAGAGGTGGGGATCAGGAAACTACTAGGACGTGGGCCGTTCTGAGTTGGCATGGGTTGCAGCGGGTGAAGGATCGCATGTGCGGGCGAAGCAGCTTCACAGCAGCAGATCCACGTCCTTGCCCTTTCGGGTCTCGATTGGTCTTTCCTTTTCCCAACTTTCCTATTCGCCTACCGTACGGTTCAACAATTCTTGGAAACAATCGTCTTTGCCTTTAACTTTCCTGGAACTGGCCGGTCTCGCAATCATCATCTTACACTTCAGCTTTTCCGGTGCCACAGAGCTTATATGCCGGCAGTTATCGCAGGAGCGCAAGGGCACTATCCACCTCTCGTATTTACTGCTTGCTTTACCTACGCCAGAACGTCTGGATGCTCCGCTGCCTGTGTAATCCTTATTTCACCTTCCCTGCGTCTCACTCAATTTTAACTTTCGACAGTTTCTCGAGAACTGCGCCACCTAAGTGCAGATATCCCGTTGATACGAACTCTCTGACGGTTGAACCAAACGGTCCAGGCCGAACTTTCTCTGCCTAGGACTGCACTACTGCACTACTGCCTGAATACCAGGCTTCCTGGCCCGCTGCAGCGGGTCCATCCGTGTTTTCAAACGATTAATGATGGTGTTCTGATCACAGCATATGAGTGCAACACAAGTGACCGCGGAAGACGGTTCGTGAGCGCAAGGCGCAGAAATTCGGAACCCCTCAGCCTTGCTCAATCATCAGGCAACGTCGGACCTTTGCTGACGGTCATGTTCCACGACATGAAGGTGACAGCCAGTCGGAAGATCAGACTACAGGCAAAAGCATCCTTCGTCGGAATATTCTATGCACCCCACCTGGTGAAATCTTTCCTGGAGACGCCCTGTCCACCACCCTGGTGGACCTTCCCCGATCGGGCGCCTGCTGCATCAGTAGCACTGTACGGAGAACCTTGTGTCCCTCCCGTGACCTCTAATCCTTGTATACCGCCGGGAAGCAATGAAGGCCATGGATCGAAACCCTGGGAATGTGGGATGGATACATACCCGGGTGCTTTGCCCGAGCACACGACAACCGCGCTGAGCGCTGCTGCATGAAAGAGCTGTCTTTATATTTCCACAGACACTAAAGGCTGCTCACGAAAGACTTGGAATGAGTCACCACATATAGTTTCCGCGTTCCTTGCTGGATATAACAATGGAAGACATGGACAACGTGCAATACCCAGGACGTACTGTACCACCCAAGCTTGATTGAAGCGTGGGGGTACACCTACAACACATCCACACTTCTGAATTAACATGTTGCGGATAAAACATCCTAGCAGCCGGTGAACGCATAATACATCCATGCCTCACTTCTATAGCATGGGAATCCCCACGTCTCCCATCCGTGCCAGTTTTGTGAACCTACACATTCGGCGACATGTCGTTGCTCCCAACTCTCAGTTACACACAAAGTTTGACTTCTGCAGGTGTTTGTCCGTCCACGCATTGATACGACCATCTACCTAGGCTCTGGCGCAATCCCGCTACCCTCAGACCATACCCCTCTTAACACTTTGTTATTGGCGCCCTTCCTCACGTCGAACATACCGATTCCCTACTTTGGTTAGGTAGTGTTCCCCGTAGGAACTGTCAGACCGTGCACACTCGGACTACGGGAAGCCATGACTCGCAGGGACTGCAGCCCAAGCACAAATCTATCAGATCGTGCGATCACACGCATGAAGTCCTGATAACGAACAAGTCTGGCTTTCAGACGTTATTTGATACGATGAGGTCGACTTGATGATGAGGACTTGACGATGGGGAGGCATGGTGTAACACCATGCCTCGTCACGCCACCCCTCCTAAGAGTACCATTTCCTGTTTTCACAAATCCTCCAACAACACTGCGCCGCACTCACCATTCCAGATTCTTGAAACGGAGGCGGTAATGCGGTAATGCGTGTACGTACTTAACACAGGAGGCATGTATGCTGCATTTTGCGAACAGCGCTCTTGCAGTCCTCGGGTTGATACAGCACACCGTTCATCCTGCTTCTGCGGATGTTACGTAAAACTCTTCAAATCAGTGCGGAGCGGAAATGGCAGCCGCAAGCCTGATTTGCACGCGAAACCATGGTGGTCCATGTGTGGTGAGAGGGGGGGATGCGGTAAGTTACGGGCCGTGCCTTAAGATGCCGTCTTATGGGCGACATGAGTCGTGGGCTTGTCTGGGGAGCGGGAGGGAGGGTTTTGAGGAGAGGGAGTGTGAGGCTCCGGGAAGAGAGGGGAGAGAGAGAGGATATTGGCGCTGCGGTTGAGGGAGATGGATAGAGTGTCGATGGGAAACGGGTGGGTAGTGGTTTTGATGGTGAAGGGGGAATGAGGGAGAGAGGTTCGAGTGCTGGGTTCTGGGGACTCTTGGTCGTTGGAGAGCGTGATATGGAAAGCATATCTATCTGTATCTTCTGTTGAAGCGATAGTATTGGATATCTTGTCGCCAACTATCAAAAGCTGTGGGAAGAATGTGAATTGTTGCGGCAGAGCTTTCATGTGACTACTGTGTAAAGACAAGTTGAGCAATGGGAACCAAAAGTAGAGCATGGAAGTAGCGGGTCGTAACTCTGGGCGTTGGGCGATTGAGGGTCAGATTGCTTAAGTAGGGGTACCTGCTTAGCAACAGCAGCGCCTTCTCCAGTCAATATCTATGTAGGAGGGCCAAGAGGGCGACTGACCAGAAGGTTGGGATTGCATGAAGATCTTGCAATGTGGGAATTAGTCTCTTGAACTTGTTTTTGGTGAGCTCTTGCCAGAAGATTTGCTTCCTAATGCAGTTATATGAGTGATAGTAGACTGTATTTTTAGTTAAAACTTTACTATATACATAGGATATTGTGCAAGATCTGAAGGAATGTGTTGGCTGTAATCGAACGAGCACGAATCAGTGTGGGCGTATGAAAAGCGGATCGTCCCAGCTTCTGGAGACTTCACTGGATCAGGTTCGATATAAGACAACAAGTACAGATCCTGCGAATCGATCAAAGTTCAGCCTAGGGTCAAATGACGGTCATATCATCAATCAAGCTTGAGTGTTGGCAGATCTATTGCTGTGGATCGTTACCCATTGACTTGGCCGTTTCTGGATAGGAAAGATTCGGGCGCGAGCACTGCGTGTTTTGAAGGAAAGGTAAAGTGCGTCGAATCGAAGTACATCTACCTGATAGTGTTCTAAAGTCAAGCGACATGTCCAACCAGTCGCGGCATCACTTGTAACTGCACCAACTGATGGTCTATGTCAGTCTTGTTGGCCATGTATGTTGCGTGGCGCCGCGGTACGCTGACTCCGTGTATACACTGCGCATGCTCTTCCCAACGGTTTCCACTGCTCTACCCTCTATGCCCTCTCAAGTATACTCACTCCACGACCTCCTGTTTCCCAGTGCCTCGACTATTTTGGCCGGACAAGTTTGCCTCCTGCCTTGATCACCTTGGTCGGACTCCCACACCATGTCTTTCAGGCGCGGGCCCTGCTGTTCGAGATCGAGCAGAAAGTCCTGCCCCGACGCTGGAGGCGTAAGGCAACTTGCGTCGAAGCATCCCAGCGACCAGCCTCCAGTACGCCCATGCTGTTCCAAAACCTCCCTCACTCCTCCCTTTCACTCCCTTAACCTTCCCATCTCGAGCTCCTCCGAATCCCTCCCTTCCTCCCCATCTGCACTCATCAAACCCCTCACCTCCTCCCCCGCTGCTTCTTCATCGCCCAGTTCCTCCTTCCGCACTCCTCTATTCCCATCCTCCTTATGCATGGCCACATAAATCGCACTTCCCAGAATCAAACTACTCCCCACAATACTCAACAACCCAGGCGTCGTACCCCAAACCAATTTATCGAAAAACAGCGCAAACAGCATCTGCGTGTATACCATATTCGTTGCCCGTGAGCTCTTCTCCTGCTGCAATCCCGCCGCCAGCAGAAATTGCATCACGAATCCACATATACCGAGGAAAAGCAGGTACGCCCAGTCCCTCCAGCCACGCGGGATTAGGAAACCGACACCCGGCAGTGCAAACATCATCACGACGGAGACGATGGTGCACCAGGTGGCGAAGTAGTTTACGCTGATGAGCGGGTGGGCACGTTTGCCTATCCATCGAATCGTTGTGTAGGCTCCTGCGGCACCGAAGACACCTAGCATGGCTACGCCGACGGCGGCTGCGCGCTGAGCAGGAGTCACGGCAGAGTAGTCTGCTGCAGAGGCCGGGGCTGGGGCTGTTGCGTTATCGCCGATCGTAGGGTTGCTGGAGATTATACCGCCGTCTGGGTCTCCGGTAGACGGCGGGCTGGAGCCACTTGAGAGCGAGGAGAAGAGAGAGACAGGGCGCGCAATGAGGACGACGCCAAAGAGGGAGACGTAAGCTGCGATTTGCTGCATCCTGGTAAATGGCTCGTTGATGAGAAAGGAGCAGGCCCAACAGGCGAGGGAGGGCGCAAGGAATGTTATAACAGTCGCGTCGGCCAGTGGGAGATATTGAAGGGAGTCTGGCATCGGTTAGCCTAGGTGTTGAGAGTTATAGGAGAGATCAAATGGAGAAGCATAATGTTGCGGTATATGTGAAATGTAACGATAACAACATGCTGAAACTCTGATACTCACAATACATCCCAAAGACCCCAAAGAAGCCCGTCAAACCCCTCGCAACAAGCAGTGGCCTAACCTCCTTCATGCCAAAGGGGAAATGCGGCGTCTTCGCATACCACATGTATATCGACGCGCAAACGACTGTGATACTCATTCGCGCAAAAAGTATCTGGAACGGATCATAACCCTTTCCTGCGGGGCTCTGTGAGTATCCAGACCAGTACAGCAGTATAAGATTCTTCAAATACCTTCATTCCCTTCTATCTCAAGTAGCCGCGTTGTGACATTCATAAGCGTTCCAAAAATCTGCGACACCATCACCAACGCCAATCCCTTATTCATATCCCAGGATCTTTGTATCTTGCCCTTCCAAGAGCGCGGCCTGGTCGCCGGCAGCGGCGACGCCGCATGTCCGCTTGGGCTCCTCTCCACCACTCCCTCATCCACATCATCTGTATCAGGTATCCCAAGTCGAATATTATTCAGATCGTCTATGGATATGAGCGAAGGGGTCGGCGAGGTCGCACGTCCGCCATTATTGCGATAATCGAGTGAAGCAACATTCAGAGTGTCGGCTCCGGACTTTACGGGAATAAAGACGTCGACGTGGGGGGCATCGGTAATGTCAGTAGGTTTATCATGAGTGGGACTCGTTGTGCCTTGTCGCAGCACCGGCGGGCTCATAATAGCGGTTCATTTACTGCAATAATCGAGCGAGAGAAACTGAGATACTCTCTGGAATCAGAGAATGGCGGGGAGGAAAACATGGGGGCAATGCTGAGAGCCATGGATGATTCATTCGTGCATGGGCACGCGAGTGATGTGACGACAACGGCATGGATGGACGAAGCTATGCGGAAAGAGGGAGTAGGGTAGCTGTTGTAGGTAAAGGCCGTGGAGGATGCCGGCCTAACTCTCTGCAAGATATCCAATCCTACGAAAAGGACCCCGCCTTGGAGGCTTCGCACCGGTAAGGCGCCGCGAGCGATCCGAGAACCGGGGATGGAAGTCTTTCTTGCTTGCGATTCTTACTGATGGTGACTCCGTGACTGATGGCACCTGCTATGTTGATGAGAATGGCAGTTGCTCTTACTGCTACTGTGACAGTACACAGGGCATACGTCGGTGGCGCTATCCAGGTGTCCGGGGTTTATACCATTTTCGCACGTCCCGTCTTTCCAGAGACAGCGACTCCATCCGTCGAATGAGGCCGTCTCATTGGGACTGAGTGAATTATACGCAGTTCTCAGCAGTCATAGGCAGATTTATGTTCCCACCCTAGCACGTCCCAGTGAAGAGATGTTCATATCCCGGCTGACATACGCGGACATCATGACAACAACATATCAGCAGAGATAGTGCCGTGATCTAGTTTTTCATTCCATCACAATATTCTTCCACCGATTTAAATTTCAAACTGTTCATGTTGCCGCACTTTCACGGATCAGTGCGGATGAAACGGGGCGGCCGTTCACTGACTTGGAATCTTGCAGGTCACCGTACAAGTCTGGTAGAGAACGGGAGTGTTAACTTCAAAATCCTTTCTCCAGCCATTTCTGCTCTCATACTCGAAATTTAATACGTCGCGTTGAATTGACATGCCAGTGTCGCTTGAAGTCGTCTGCGCCAGCACTGGCTCACCACTCTTTCAAAATAATTGTACCAATGCGCACATCATAGTAGGGAATGGTCTATGTAGTCCCTACACACAATCCAGCCTTTTGAATGGCGAATGGTTGTGATGTTCGTTGCACAGCTCACGGTGTATCCAGCTGGTCCGGGTAGCACCGACATCTGAACACTTTGATCACGATTTTTAACAGGAATACCTCCAGGATCAAATCCTCAGCCTGTTTCAAACCCACTTCAAGGATTGTGGTCCATGCACTTGTGAGTTATGTTCAGTTTCTCTGTTAGTGTCGCGTCGCATGGCTGGTTGACATACTGATTGGGAAAATGAGGCAGTATGAAAGCAATCCGGGTATCTCACCTCGAGTAAGTGCAAGTTTCATGTTTCCCACACACGTAATATCTCTAGATACCTCGTAACTAATGGATGAATCTCCACTGCACACTCGATAAGAGAACTTCTGTTTCTCGTGATCATATGGTAGCGCAAGCGGAATGCAATAGCCTATCCTAGCGCTTTGCTCTTAGGCAAACGCAGCCATTGTTAGACATTATAAGCAAGGCTAACTCCAACCTGGAACAACCACATCAGTCAGATGCTTTACCCATTGTAGGAAACCAAAGGAGTGTCGGACTGCGTACTCCAAGCACAGCATCTGCGGACAGCACTAAGCTATGGTTGGCGCGCGGATTGCGTTCTTCGAAGAAGAGCACCTAGACACTGAACTGAACCCAAACACAAAAAGAAAAGAATATTATGGACACAGTAGGACTCGAACCAGGGCCCTCCACATGTCAAAAAGGTCGAGCAGCCGAATCAGTGCAATACTGCGTGACTCAGCCTCAGCCTTTGGAAGCTGCTAGACCTTTTCGCTATCCTGTTGTATTCAGGGCGATAATTATGGTAATAATTATGGATTATATACAAAACAACTGATCTTAGGGAGCTAGCGAAATGTTTAGAGAAGTTGTTGTTAGCAGGCAGCAGCAGGTTAGCCTTGTAGGTAGCAAACGGAATTTGCAGAACCTACGACTCACGAAAAACAAACGGAGCGAGGACTCTCTGGAGAGTCGAATATATCCACAATCTCACTACTACAGGGAAACGACCCGTCGTCCACCCACTACAGTAAATCAACAACTGAACACACAACCCCAAACCCCTCCCTAATCTTCCCAAACCGCCCAAAATCTACTCTCCTCTCGATGCAGCTCCCTCCTCCAAATCAGCCCCGGCGCCGCCATAACCGCCGCCCCATGCCTCGCTCTCAACTCCTCCAACGCACCGTTAAGCTGCCTCAGCGCTGCTAGCACCCCATTCAACTCCCTATACTCCGTACTCTCAACGGAAAAGGCGCCTTGCACGTTCAGTATCAAAGGAACTAGCCGTGACACATTAGGTGGTAAGCTGTAGTGCCATGAAGCCTCAGCCCAAGCGGTAACAGCACCTCTGTCAGCGAGGAAGCGGGAGAGAGAGGGAAGCCATGAGAGAGGGGGCTGAGTGGCCGTATCATGCTGGGTAAGAGCGCGGGCGAGGTGGATGGGCCAGCAGAGTGTTGCGTATCGCAGAAATGGTGTGGATTCATCGAACCTTTGAGGTACGGCGGCTGTCTGCTCCTCTTCGGGAGATTCCATCGCCACGTCCTCCGTGCTTGGTGTGGCTGAAGTGCTCTTGTAGCCGCTGTCGCCTGAAGAGCCGGTACGAACGGAGGTGTCGCTGCGTGGCATGTGGCTGGGCCCTTGTGGACGGGTAAGTGGAGGGGGAGGTTGTAATGGACGTTTCTGGGTTGCGTTTGTGAGATATAAAAGACATCGTGAGGCGAGGTGTCCATGCACCCGAGCTTCGCTGGACAAATTGAATTCTGATGATGGGCAATCGGCTGATTGTAGGTATTGTCTGACGGATGGGTGGGCGAAGTACACGCCGTATTTACTGACATCGACAAGTCCGCCCGTGGCTGCTGGCAGTTGTTCTAGGATAGCTCCAGTGGGATATTGTGCAGTAGGGTCTCCAACAGGGGAGGTGATAGCTAGAGCAGAGCGCAGCTGGGGAGTGGATAACGGATTGACCGGAGACGTTAACCAACAAAATGCGTCAGCTGCCAGTGTTCTCTCGTCATAGATCTTGCGCTCGAGCGTTGTGAGAATTAAGTGATACAAAGATTTTAGATCGGCGACCTGGTGGATCTGATTCAAGAGTAACAGTCGGTCTGATGGGAGAAGATGAGGCGACTGGAGATATTTGACAAAGAGACTAGCCTCAAGGAACGACCCATTCCAACTTTGCGCTATTCTCGCAATGGCGGAAGGATCCACGGTTGATCCAAGGTACCCTATTTCGGCGATGTGTTGGAGATTCGCAGTCAGATAACCATCGAGGTCGGATCGGTTCTGGTTTGGTGTTAATGTTACTACATGAGGAGAGTTCGAAGCCCAATTTTGATACTGTAGAGGTATATTGATTCCGGGTCGACTGAAGATGATGATACGAGCGTCGCTTTTATGACACAGGTCGGACAATGTTACCAGGAGTAGCTCTTGATCACTACACTCGTCTACACCGTCAAGTACGAGGAATGTAGGGTGCTGTCGAAGAAGCAGAGAAAGAACAGCGGAGAGATCATCAAAGGATGCTAGGCCTCTGCCAGACGTTTTGCGTCTCAGCGATGACAAGGCGTCCACTGTTGAGCGGTCGTGGCGGTGATGATGTGCTAATTGAACCGCGATCGCACGAAATGCATCGGCAGGGTCCGTACAGCGAGGATGATCGCCGATGAACTGGAAGAAAGCAACAGTAGGTGGATCGTCAATAACATTGAGATGCTCACACCCCGTACTCAGATCCTGTATGATCCGAATTGACAGACATGTCTTGCCGAAACCGATTGGTGCTATAGATCGTTAGAGTTCTTTCATCTGCATAGCACCTGAACTAGAACCGACCGCCAACAGCATAAACAGGTCTTACAAGGAAATATGAACCAAGCGGCGTGCAATGTGAGATGACAGCAGTTAACGGTGGAAGATGGAGTAGAGTACCAATTCTGATCTCAAGGAAAATACCACCGATTGAACGCACCTTGTACAAATAGAACTCTTCCGTGCCAATCAACCCTCAAACTGTCCAGATCGTTCGCATTTCGTTCACCAAATGGAGCAGTCTTCCATGCAGAATACTCTGGTGTTTCCAAGAACCAGTTACAGGAGCCGTCAAGTACCTGTGTGAAGCGATGGCGGTATATATCCTGGTAGATGGAGTCGCTCGAGAGCCACGACTTCACCTTATCGATTCTTCTCACTACAACAAGTCAATATCAGTCGTCACTGGGGAAAGCGCAGGCTGACCTCTGCGTGCCATATCTTCGGCCTGAGCTTCTCTTATCGCTCCCTCCTGAGGCTGGAGTAGGTCGAAATACTCTTTTCGACACTGTAACAGCGATCCCTGGTCGGATAGACCCGTCACTATCCATTCTCTATGTTTCTCAAGTCGCCGGAGTAGTGTCACAAAACGTGAATCTAGAGGCCTCCAATCTGCAGGTGTATGATGTCGCAATCGGGCCCCTGCAAAATGTCAGCACCAATATTCAGTCCAGGACAACACAATGCCTCATTTCCTCGCCTGACGGCGTCGTTTCAGGCGGGATCCGCGCCGGCCGTGTGTGGAACCGCCATGCATGTCCAGAAGCGGGAAAAGACGTGGTGGCGTCGCGAAACGGGCAGCCTATTGCGTTGGACCTGGGAGAATCCTGTACGTAAGGAACCATACCTTTGGAAGCCCTTGAGAACATGCAGTACAGGTCCAGGAAGAATTGGACAATGTCTGCATATACGCACGACAATAGGAGCAACCCTTCGCGTTGTGCGGCAAGAGAGAGAGAGCTGTAGGCGTCTTTCCTCTCCTGGTATCGTGGGAGACTTTGAGTTAAGGTTTCGAGCAGGTCACACGCGGCTTCAAGGAACAGGACATAGTCACTGCCAACCTGGAACTTTGGTCAAAACACACACATCACGAAGTGCGCCAACCGGGCTCTTTCATTTCTCACCTTGAACACTAGCCGAACCAAGCCCCAGAACCAACCCAGGCAGTCCGGCCTCAGCTGAGTGAAGCCACCGACAACTTCAAAATAAGGTGCAAAGGAGCGTGAGAAAAGGGTTACTTTTCTTGCGCATGCCGAGAGTGCACGAGACTTTTGCTGGGAGGAATCGCAGATGGAGTGCAGGTCCTGGACCAAGGATTCCACCGTGGTGTGGTGGCGGAAGGCCTTTCGATCTTCTTTTGAAATTGTGTCCTGAATCGTTTCTATAGCTTCGTCGAAAAGAGGTTGCGGACTGGCTGTCAGATGTTGATCAGGATTGATGAGAAACGGCATGAACATACGTTGCATCAGTCATTGCTACCTCAGGTACGGATGACAGCATATTCTCGGTCGGTTGAGGCATGAACTCGAAGAACACATCGCTCTATCCATACACGATGCCATTGCCCTTCCATCCCGATGAGGTTGGCATTTGAGGTGTATCGAGATTGTAGAAGAGACAATCAGGAAGTCCTCTTGCTGTCCGCTGTGCGAATTCCGGACTGAAGGCTGATCTGCAGCCATCGTCGTGGGTGGCAGAGTGGATTGCGTGGGGCGGCTGAAGCATGGACAAACAAGAAGACAAGAGGCTCGATGAAGGTGGAGATAAGCGGGATGTACCTGCAGAAGCAAGTCGTAATGGTGTAAAACCAGTTACCAATCATAAATGCGCTCGAAAAAGGGAACATACCAGGCCGCCAAGTGGCCCCCCACGTGCCCGCAGCTGCTGAGATCGCATGGGTGAATTGAATGGCTATCTCCATTGGTGGCAGGCATGCCGCAGCTGTCTTTGCCGTCGGCATTTCAGTCACAACAACTACTCATCGCGATCATCTGGAAAACGAACAAGTTTGGAAGGAAATCAAACATCTTTGGGTATCTGCGCTTCTCACTCCTCTTCGGACAGAAGTCTCGCTCCAGCAGTCCACAAGCCACGCGCTCTAACGGAGAATGCGTAGAATACAGGTCGTTCAGTACATCTGACTTCCCCTGCTGTTATTACAACATCTATAGCTGAGCTGCTTTCAATCCAAGAATAGCACGCACGTCTGTGACATACTGCAAGCCCTCAAGCAGAGGTATCAGATGGAGCAATTCACGGTCAGTAGGGTCACTCAGCCAGCCTACGATAGGTATCGCATTGTCTGTGAGCAAATTAGCCACTGTCCCAGCAAAGGACACGGTTGAACCCACCCTCGTGGAACACATAGCAGAACGGAGTATTGTCAATGATCATGACCTTACTCAAGTCCGGTTCCACCTTCGCAATGTCTTTAATGTACAGCTCGCCGCGTTTTATGCAATCGTTCCTGTAGTAACGGCCTGCAAAATACTTGCGTTCGGTCTCTAGCCAGTCAATGACTGGGTCCGCGTACTCCTGAATCGACGCCGTGAATATTATTAAGTTGTACCATCTGCTGACCTGGAGCGATGTTAATGCCAACCTCACGCTAGGAAATATCAGCATTACCTTCTTCAAGAATTCGTCACAGTGCGGGCGCTTGTGAACGTAGTATAAGACGGGGACTGGGGGCCCAATAGTACGGCCGTCAGGCCCTATACTAGGTGCCTTTACTTCCACCATACGGCCTGTTGTATAACGCCCGCCGTGTGCTGTGCTGTGGATCAGAGTCTCGTCCAAATCTAAAACAAGGGTCTTTGGATGTGGGCCGAGGACGGAAACGCCGGACGCGGAGTATGAAGGTTGGCGACGCGGGACCAGAGGTCGCGGGGGCATAGGGGCCCTCGGGAACTTCGTCAACTGCTTAGTCTGCGCCGTTACGGATGAATTGGCAGACTTGATCGCAGCCGCATCTTCTGCAGAGATCTGGCTGATTGACGAAGTTCTCGATGCCCTTTTAGTTTTGCGCTGCCGCACCGCATCCTGGGGTTGTAACCGGATGGTTATTGACCGCTTGGATGGTGCATTCTCTTCCGAAAGGGATGCATTCGACTTGGATCTCGAATTCCGCGAAGGAGAATCGAATTCGTTGTCTCTGCTGGGCGGTCTTTCGCTGTCCTCTGACTCGGATGTAATCGCTGATGCTGAAGCATCTGAGAGTGAACGAGCGGAACTTCTCCTGATTCTGGCATGTGAATCTCCTGTCCGTTTAAGCTTCTTCCTTTCCTTCTCGTTCAAATCGGACGACGCAGCAGGCACAGGTTCTAACCTGCTTTTCCTCTTTCTGCGGAGCCGTCGGCTCATCTTGTAAACGGGAGTAAGGAGAGAGAAGTGACCGTCCTCTTCATAAAAACATCCGATGAGGTACACCCCGGGCGCCGTGATGGCGGCAAAAATTACTTTGACGGTCCCAATGAACGCATCTGATATTCTTTTCGGTATCAACCAAGCCTTTGAGATCCGAGCCTCCTCAAAAGGACCATCTCTGGACTGGCTAAGGAGCGGGGTCTTCTCGTCCAAGTCTCCGCCAGACCTAACCGCATCGGCTCCATGGTCAGAGGGTGCCTCCGGGCTGCCAATGGCCATATTGTTGCCCTTTTCGTCCAGTGTCACTACCGCGTGTCCACCCGCATCATTCGGTTCGTGCGTAGAATGAAGTCGGGGTCGGGGATTGAGCAGGTTGCTTTCTGACGCGGCGCGTGATCGGGGAGGGCTGGGCGGGGGAGTGCTCCCAAGGTGTGCGATGATATTCAGGGAGTTCATACTCCAGCACAAGCCATGGACGCGGAGCCACACTATCTGCACCAAGAGCGGTTGGAAGAGTGTGTACACGATGGGCGGTGGGTTGAGGTTTACTTAGGGTCAGGGTAAGCAAGCAGAGTGACGACAATGGTCCCGATTGGAAAGCTCGGACCAACTCGCGGAAGAGAACCCATCCGAGTCGGAGTCATATCTAGATCTACTCCACATTCACACTCACCACATAAAGTTTACTTCTTCGATAGTAACACCCCGAACAGACGAGGAGGCTCTCAAGCAAGCGACCTAGCTGGAATTCACTTGATGGCGCGAGATATGGCTCAAGCCGCCGTGACAATAGTCACACCCGGACTTTCCACCTTTCTCAAATCTCTTAAGACCACTCCAGTCGAACCGTCGATTGAGAACTTCATATCGTAAGCTTCCCGTAGCATGTTCATGATCTTAGCTGACAGTTTCAGCCTGCTCAAGCGCCGGCAAATTCGAAACTCACGACCATGTGCAATCGCGACCACCGCTCTGCTACACCGGGTAGTGGGCGAGTTCAAAGGACGAGATGCCGGGAAGCTCATCGAGCGGATACGTGAGGTCGGACGCCGGTTAGTCTCAGCGCAGCCCCACGAAGTCGTCGTTGGAAACATCGTGCGCCGCGTATTAGGGCTGGTGAGAGAGGTGGTCGACGATAGCAAAGACTCGGAGACAAATGCGAACAGTGAGATAGCGCAGATCTCGCAGCAGGAACAGTCACCGTCCCAGTCCGCGCACCGCCCCAACCTCTCCTCAACAATCTCCTCCTTCAGCCCTCTTAAGCATGCTGCTGCAGAGCCCGGACAATTACATGCAAGTAGACAATCAGAAGCTACGTCGGAGTCCAGGGAGCTCCTAAAGCGGCCCATGCTGTCGCATTCTTATACCTCGATCGCTGCCGGCGTACCCATGAGCCACTCACTCTTTGGACTCTTCTCATATCAGGATACCCCGTCGGCGTCAAACACCCCTACGGGGCATCACTCACCGACCGGTAAAGGCGGCGCTCTAACCTCCCACAATCTGGAGAAATTGGCCGATTTCAGCAAACCCAACGCCCGCGTGGATCTAAAGGCTGAGGTGATGGACGGTATTCGCGAGTTGCAGGACGAGCTGGAACAGTCTGATGAACAAATTGCAAGTAATGCACTCGATCACATCCACTCAAACGAAATCATCCTCACGCATACGGCCTCTACCAGTGTCCAGAGGTTTCTTCTGAACGCAGCTAGAAAACGGAAGTTTACCGTTGTGCATGCAGAGACCCATCCACATGACCACACTGCCACCCATGGAATAGTGCTCACTGGACGGAAGCGGTATAACGAGGAACACGATGACGATGATGAAGGCTCATCTTGGAAACCGCTCATTGCTGCTGGGATCGAAGTCTACGTCATTCCGGATTCGCATGTATTCGCCATCATGTCAAGAGTCAACAAGGTCATCTTGGCGACACATACCGTCCTGGCGAACGGAGGTCTTATTGCCGCTGCCGGCGCCGCCATGATCGCTCGCGCAGCAAAAGAGCACCAGACTCCTGTTGTCGTGATCAGTGGCATGTACAAGTTGAGCCCACTGTATCCATCCGATACGGACGAGCTGATTGAGTATGGTGATGCGGGAAGCGTGGTGCCGTTTGAGGACGGCGAGTTTGTTGATAGAGTGGATGTCGAGAATCCTCTCTATGACTACGTCCCTGCCGATTTGGTGAGCCTATACATCACTAATCTGTAAGTCATTCTTATGCAATGTTGACTCTACATATGCTAATGCTGTTCAGCGGCGGCCATGCACCATCCTACTTGTACCGAATAGTCGCCGACCATTACCGCCAGGAAGACATTACTCTTTGAGGCAATGGAAACCGGAATACGATTGGTCATGATTGTATGAGATATGTAGTATGAGCTTACTCAGGCTGTAAGCTATCGCGGTGGAACCTCTATCAGGACGACGATCCATGACAAATGGATGCTCTGATTCCATGCTCGATGCATCATTATAAAAGTGTTGAGCGGTAGTAAAGCTCGTCTCCAATTGACGGAAACCAGTCACGTGAGAACGCGCATTGGGATTGTGCTCCTGATTGGTCAATTGCTCTACTCTCCTCCAACTCCAAACGCACTTCACCTCCCACCTCCACCTCACATTCGCAATGATGGCCACCTTCCACAGTCCTTGAACCTTGAACCTACGGCCCGAGCCGTCTCAGGCTGAATCTTCTCTCTACAACACAATTTCGTGCTCGACAGCAGCTCGTGCCGAAGGCGTCCACAATGGCCGCGCCGGCCGCCTCTTCCCTCTACACGACCACCTTCCTCCTCGCCATCCTCATAACCCTCCTCATCGCGGCCTCCCTCCGCCTCCTCGCCATCCTCCCCAATGGACCCTTCAAACCTAAACCCTTCCGGCGCAGACCGATTGCAACCCGTGTCCTCATCGTACTTGGCTCCGGCGGCCACACCCACGAGATGTTCTACCTCCTTCGGGATCTGGACACGCGCAAATACACACACAGAACCTACGTCGTTAGCTCCGGGGACGCATTCAGCGCCGGACGGGCCGTGGAATTCGAACGGGAGCTCGAAGCCCGGGAACTCGAGCGGGAGAAGAACGCCACAGCGCAGGACCCGTCCTCTACGAATACCGCCTCAAGGAAGTTAGAAGAAGAAGCGAAACCCGCCTGCACAGGCCCCTCTCACTACAATCTTGTCACCCTGCCGCGCGCCCGCCGCGTCCACCAAACCCTCCTCACCTCCCCGATCACCTCCCTCTACACCCTCCTCTGCAGCTTCCCCCCGCTCCTCTCCTCCCCGCCCCTCCTACCAGGCCAACCCCCACAGAACCCCTACGAAGCCGCCGCCGCCGACCTGCCAGATCTCATCATTACCAACGGTCCCGCAACCGGCGTCATCGTCGTGCTCGCGTCGCTGATACTGCGGTTCTTCGATATCCGGGGTGCCCAGAGCAGGGGCAAGTGCAGGACAATTTATGCGGAGAGTTTTGCGAGGGTGACGAGGTTGAGTTTGAGTGGGAAGATCCTGGTTTGGTGTGTGGATCGGTTTTTGGTGCAGTGGGAGGAGCTGGAGGGGGCGGGGAGGGGAAGGGCGGAGTTTTGGGGGGTGCTGGTTTGAGACGGTGTTTTCGATGCAAGGTGAGGGAAACATATCCTCGATAGCGGGTTTCACGACTGGATGTGCTTAATCAAAGTGCAGCATGTTCTTCAAGCATAGCGGTACGGCGTTCGGATGTATTGGTGCAAACATTTTCAGAGATACCCAACATTAGGGCATGGGCTATTTTCAAATACATGAACAATCGCACAAATATGGCGAATCTAATATGGACAATATGGTACAACAAGCTTGCAATGCAACCCCCCTCTCTATTCCCATCGGCATGTCCCAAGATATCCATACCATCCTACGCAGCTAACCGTTGAACCTTCTTACTTTCCCCGTTAACCTTCTTCGACGCTATGTGCTTCCCTAGGGCTGCAAGAAGCTGGGCGTGTGGTGGCGCGGGCGACTTGGGATCGTACTTGATTTTCTTTGCCTGCATGAGCTCATACCGTATTTGCATAGGCGTCTTCATTCTCGCCAGGGCGTCGATGCGCGCCTGTCGCTCCCGTTCCTTTGCCTCCTTGGCTGCCTGGTTGGCTGCGCGCCGCTCCAGTTGGTGCTCCCTGAGATATCTGTACGAAAGGTTCAACTCCTCTATGACGGTGGGAGGAATGGGCAGGGAAGTAAGGACAGGGACGAATGTCTTCTCGTCCACGTAATTGCGAGTAGTGTCGTCATCAAAATCCGGAGGTTCGTATTCATTGGGCTCCCCTCGAACCATTTTCTTGGGGTCATACGTTTCTTCTTGTTCAGGGGTGCTGGTGCTGGAGGGTTCCGAGACAGCCCCGTCCTTCTTTCCCTTCCCAAACCAGGTCAACGGATTTGCCTTCTCCAACAAGGACTTGACGCCCGTCTTTTCCGGTTCTGCGGCCTCGGGAAGATCGTCTTCATCTTGTTGAGGCTCCTTCTCCCACGGCCATGGAATGGGCTCACGAGTTCCAGCGATATAACGATGCCAGATGGCTTTTCCGGTGTGGGGATCGACTTGATGTTCTTTGGGAATCTCGAGCACGGTTTCCCTTGTGAAAGGGTCCACTCCTGAGGTGTGTTTCTCCATGATGATATCTTCAACAATAACATCCCTCGTCTCCTTGATTGTACGGCCTCCCACGGTACGTTCAAAGACTTTAGGGATGACAAGGCGTACAGCCGAATAATCGAGTGGGAAGGCAGATTCCATCTTCGGTTCAGGTTGTTGCTGATCTGAAACGATGACCATATCTTTTGAGTCCAAGTATCCCTTCTCCAGGTCAATGATTCATTCGCACGGGCTTTCTATGGGACTCACCATGTTGAGATCATCCACGATAAGTGAGTGTTCATCTTTACGAATGTCCGTGACGGTGCCGATCTTGCCGGCGTCGGGGCCTTGCATGACGACCACGCGATCTCCTTTTGCTATTGGCCATTGATTGAGACGTACGGCATCAGGGATTTTGGGCGTATTGGACTTGCGGGGAGAGCTTTCATCAATACCAACCCAATGTTTTGGTATATTGAGGTTGCTGCGCAGCTGTTCTGGCGGCACAGCGCCGTATTCCGCTGCCTTTGTGCCTCCCGCCCTGTTGGGCCGCAGGTGCGCACGTTTCCAATCTTCTGCGGCATTGTCGATGGATTGTTGTATGGCGGTCTTGCGGCCCCTCTCCAATTCTTCCAGGCGTTGTTGATGATCTTTGACAAGTAGACGTTTCTCTTTTTCTTCTAGCCATCGCTTTCTTTGCGCTTCGCGAAAGCGCATGGCAGCCTTCACCCTACGAATCTCCTTCAACCTCCGCGCATGTTTGGCCGCATTCATTTCGTCTTTAGGGCAATTGCCAGGTGTAGGACTCGGTAAGCTATAGTTCTGGCGGACAATAAGGGCCGGTTCCGCTAGTAACGATTTCGACGGGCTCCTCGTCGGAGCATCGGATTATAGGAGGTATTTAGGGAGAATGTAGCGAGAGAAACGAGTTCAACTTTAGAGACCAGACACGCGCGACAGTCAGGGAAGAACCCGTGCTTGGGCCTTTGCCGAGTGGGTGTCGTTGATGGCCGGAAGTGGCTCGCCCGCTGAGACGTCCTGGACTGTTGTCCTCCGCCAAAACTTTCTCCGCAGTGTGAAGCTCCACACCGCTCTGCCAAGGAAAACGGCAGAAACGCGGACATCCGAGATGCAACTCACCACCAGCGAACCCGCAACCTAGTATAGCTGCGCCTGCCCGCAGCGTGATTATGCCACGTTTGCTTCGTCGCCGGTTGCGGTGCTTTTACTGCAACAATGTTGCTCGAAATGAGCAACCGGGCATTCCCCGCGCGTGGACGTGCCCGCGGTGTGAAGCCGTGAATTACCTCGATCAGGTACACCAAGGCACCTGAACCACCTCCGCGCTCAACCCCGCGTTGACACTTTATAGAACGGCCAAATCACCGACCCTCCTGCTGATGCAACCACAACCCCACAACCAGTGCGAGTTCAATACGTCCCTGAACGACCCCCTCCGCTCGTCATGACGGCGTCAACCCAATCCCCCTTCTGCGATCAGTGCCAGGTTAACCAGACGATCGTGAACAAGGCCATGGCTGAATATATTCCCGATGAGGATGATCCAGAGTACGAGCAACATGTTGCAACCGCAACCGCCTATCGCGAAGAGCTGGAAACCCGTTATCCTCCAGTGTGCGAGAACTGCATCGGACGGGTCCGCGACCAGGTTCGAGCGGCCGGCTACGCTGCGAGAACAGACCACCTCCGGCGCATACTGGAAAACTCCAAGAAGCGGAAGCTTGTCTATTATACCCCAAGACAGGTCTGGACTCTACGGACGATCTCACTGGCGAAGTGGGCGTACATTTCCGCTACTTGTGTGGGACTGCTGTGGCATGCCTGTGGCCTACTTGCCGTGCCGGAACCTTTATCTCTTACACAGGACCAAAGCGACTTGGGCGTATGTCTTGGAGACTTTAGGAATCGTCTGCTGGTCAGTCGATCATGTTTTGAAGCGGCATTGTCCACGTCACTTCTGCAGTGGGCAGTGGTGGCCGACTTTCTCACGCTGTGGTGGAACCCGAAGCTGGAGCAGAAAACAATGCGTCCAGGTGGTCGGGTGGGCGGCCTGATGGCATTATGGCTGCTGCGTCTTCTGGTCTTTGGGCTGCGGTCAGCAAGCCTTGTGTATGGGCGCTACATTCCGGAAGACGATGACGCAGTCCAACAATTCCGGATCGCTCATGGCACAATGTTGGGCGCGATATTGCTCACCCTTGCTGCCACATGGACCCTCGTCAAGATCGAATATCGATCCACAGATTCCTTCATGCGCCCCTTAGAACCCTACCTTCCCAGCGTTCCCTCTCGGCCCACCTCCCAACCAGATGGCGATTATAAGCCCGTCCGGCCCAAAGCCGACATCTTCGACTCCATGGCCGAATCATTTACATCCTCCTTTGACGGCGGATGGCAGCCTGATGCACACTCTGAAGCACCACCCTCCCCTACTCTCACCGCAACCTCCTCCTCCATCGACACCGAAGTCAACACCCCCTTCGCTCCCAAAACTCTGTCCCGCGCCGTCGTCGACGAAAACGACATGGATTGGACGCCTACACAACGCCGGTTCGGCAAACAACCCATCGGGGTGGAGCCACATGTTTGGCAGAAACAATCCGCGCCCTCCCCTGCACCGCCGCCGAAGAAACAGTACTCCCTCATCAAGCAGCAAGACCCCAATCCCTTTCGCCACAAGGTGCCCGCCTTCCCCAAGGGCCCTCTCCAGGAGAAGCGGAATCCGTGGAAACCGGGCATCTGGTCGCCAGCGTCTCAGGAAACCAAGAACGCTTTCAGAGACGATATGATGAAGAAGGGTGCTGGTGGGGATGTCGAGGGGAGCGGGAATGTGAATGGATTGGCGGAGGAGGAGAGAAGGGAGAGGGAGAGATTGAGGGAGAGCGCGGTTCCTAGTGGGGTGAGGAAGGGAGAGGAACTATTCAAGCAGCCGAAGTTCAAGTATGATTATTATGGGTATATTGGGGAGAAGAGTACGGGGTTGGAAGATAGGTTTAATGGTTTATTTCGGATGTAGAAGGGGAGGATGAGAGCAACAGCAATGGTTGTGGGAGAAGTGGGTAAAGTGGATGTCCAGCAGGACGTCATCTTGGAAATGTGTTTTGGGATGCATGGCACGATTATTGCATATTTAGCATGGAGTTGGGCGATGGTATACCCTGTTTTGGTCGGACTCCTGGCTGCTTCTGGATTTCCTGTCTCCAACGAATACTCCCGTCTGAAGCAAACGGACAGTATGATGATGAGCAACGCCTCCTCGGGACTAGTGAACTTCTGGATGGTAACAGTGCGCATAGTCGTCATCCGCTTAGGAAATCTGATGTACACAACGATCATCAGAAACCAGAAGCCATGTGTGGGCGGCCGAGCAGGTCAGATTCTCTATCTAACCTTTACAAGCCAATCATGAAATTTTGCCATGCCGGAAGAGTAAACGCATATAAGCTCCCAAAGACCCGACTCCATGTGGCCGTTCATGATACCATCATCTATTCCCTCAGGCACTAATGACCGAGCTCGGCTCTGGCTGGTCCATGTTGATTGTTGATCCGTTCGCCTCGCCCTACACTTATGACCTGGGCTTCTCCTTCTTCTCCTTCCACAGCGCAGACAGACCGACACCGGAAACCTTGACGACCTTGAAACGAACACCGGGAATATCACCCTTGGCCTTGCCCTTGCGACCGAAACCGGCGAGGAGGACTTCGTCGTTCTCGTCCACGAAGTTCAAGCAACCGTCGTTGGGGACTGTGCAGTGCATTAGCCTTCCACTCCCATCCGAAAACTCTCCCCAGATCATGCTTATACAATCCGCAGGAATTGTCCGTCTGACGTACCGAAAGCAGTGACCTTCTTTCCGTTCTTGATCAACTGGACCCTGACGCACTTCCGAATGGCGGAGTTGGGCTGCTTGGCCTCAACACCGACCTTCTCGAGGACGATGCCCTTTGCGTGCGAGGAGCCACCGAAGGGCGAGGACTTGTAGGCGGTTCCGAGGAGGCGCTTCTTGTAGTGAAGGTCGGCCCACTTTCCCTCACGGCGATGGTTGCGCAGCTTGCGCGCGGCGTTGAGACCTCTCGGCTTTCCCTTTCCCATGTTGGCTGTTGGAGAGGGGATGTCAGCTGCGGTCTATTTCCTCAGGGGACGGGAATTGATGCGTACCGGCTTTATGGGATGTGCTGTGTGGTGGTTAGTGGACGGCGGGTTGGGTTGTGGTCGAGCCGATGAAGTTGTAAATTGGAGAATGTGTGCGGCGCCAAGCGCCACGCTAGACGAAATCTATCGATGCTGCCCGCCACATGCCAAGATTGGGAAGGACCAATTTGCGACCCCCAACGAGCATTCAGCATCCAGCAAAGTCAACAGCAATGTAGAAGTGCATCCGTCAAGGATGCTATTACTACGAAGATGTCGAGCGACAAGCTGAAGAAGATCCCGACGAATCGACTGCCCGCGCCAGCTTTATTCGTCGGCCCTCCCTCTCACAATGCATCAAATACTTCGCTCCTAGCACCTCCTTCCGATGCAGGCAAGCAATCTCGCACACCTTTAGCACGACAGCGTTCCCTTCTCTCCCAGGATCCCAAACGTCCTCTTCCTCCAGCATCAGCTCGCTCAGACTACGATGGCGACCGTCTCACAGTCACCTCTTCTAACCTCTCGGCGCCCTTCCACAGCCAGCAGAAGCGTACCACCGAAGCCGCAGAAGCCGAAGCCGCCGGAAGGGCGGAAGCAATATGGGCCCAGATGCAGAATACGCTAGAAGAAGTCGAGCTGTCTGACATCAAAGGTCCGGGGATGACGGTCTTTGGATCGGAGCATTCACGCGCTCTGGATGATCTGCGGCGTGCGCAAATCGACCTGGCGAAAGCGTGGGCGAGGTCCGAAGCCGAGGAATCCGGAGAGGTGGCTGAGGAGCGCAAGTCGGCCCAGGGTACAGATGCCACCAATATGCTTGCTTCTGAGCGTGCGGATACGGTGCGCTCGGGCTCGGCGGCGGCTGGCAGCGGAGTGGGCACGTTTGAGCGAAGCAGGTTGGAGGAAGAGACGGAGAAGGACATTGAGCTTAGTAGGAAAAGGAGGGAGGCTAATGATCGGTATTTCGAGAAGGTGAATAAGGGAGTGCTTGAGGTGGTAATGAAGCTCGAAGAGGTTGCAAAGGCCATGAAGAATGTGGAGCAGGAGAGCAAAGAGATCTGGCACGATGGGGAGAGCGTGGATGACGTCGAAACCGCGAGCAGCTTGTCCAGTGTGACTTGAGAGTCCTATTCCTAGCTGTTGGAAACAGTGCCTGACTTGAAGTTGTCTTCAGTTTTCTGTGTATGGCAACACAGAGCACAGCTCCTTCATGTGCCCAGAGCTACAGTCTGTCAGAATCACCTCGCGTGGTTGAGCCGGCGCGAGAGGAATACAATGGCCGCGAGGACCTCCTCCGAGTCGCCTGAGAGTGTACCACCGCATCCGATACCGCCGTCCAGTGTATGCGGCTCGGGCGTTCCTATGCCCCATCTGAGAGAGTGTATGAGGGAATTGGGATACCAGATGGGCCAGCCTTGTACGCCACTAGCAGAAGGCGCGTATATCAAGGCCTCGAAAGCAGTATCTCCACGTATGTACGGTGCGCCGCGTTCCCGTTGGTAGCGCTAGTCGAGAGTTGTATCCAAGTGGACATCAATCAGCCACTTCCTTAGGGGACACGCAAAGCGACAAGAGAAGCAGGTCTTTCGAAATATCAATATTTGAATCGAACTAGGTACATACCAGAGGTGTATCTCCGTATAGAATCATGCTGGCTTAAACGCTGAGTCACCCAATGAGGCATAGTGGGCGCGCACGGGAAAACCGTAACGTGCTTCTGATTCCACGCTTTTCCTCACCCACATCCTCACCACCTCGTGTCTGTGTCCCCACAACGCGAAATTCTCCGCTCCGGAGCCGCAGGAGTAACCGATGGTACTTTGGCAATCTATTCAAAGCTCGCGGTTTCTTGCCGCCCGATGGTTCTGAGGTCCACCGTTTGTTTTACCATCTGAAACACGCACTAGCCGGGCATCAACATGTTTCGCGCTCGCCCACCCAATCGTTATGCGACAACCACACTTCGTTCCGACTCATTTCTCTCCTATGCACGTCCAACCAGGACGCCCTCATGGGTCAAATGCTCGTTTCAACGTTTTCGGTAGTGTAGATGTGGTGCAATTTTGGCCACTCAATGTCACCTTGGTGAAAGTGATGAACGCGACGTGCTTTGCTTCCTATTGTGGGTGATCCACAATAGGAGCGACGCGGAGAGATTTTCTTAACTGTCCGCTTCTTCGCTCTTCTTCCCCCTTCACCGCGTCTTTCTCTTCGTATTGTGATTATTGAGATTGTGGAGCGAGTGTCCTCTTCTTAAGTTCTCCTCTTCAACTTCTGCTCCCCTACATCCACTCTCTCCACCAACTCTTTTGACCTTTGCTGGTCGCGATTTGTCCAGGCTGCTGGCCAGCTCAACAATATATCCTTCGTCTTCATACATTTAGCAGTCCCAACTTGCCACTTCCACAATGGCTCTACTTTCCGCTGAACAGCTTGCCGGCCCAGGCTACATAATCCTCAATATCATCCGAGCCATGAACATCATCGCCCTTTCTTCTGTGGTTGCAAGCAGCGTCGTCATGCTTGTCAAGACCTTCGTCGTGTCTAAGGTATGACCGTCTACCACTCTGCACCTTGGAGTAGCTAACACTTCTCAGTTCTTTTTCTTCGATGCCACCAGCCATGTCATCACTGGGCTCGTAGGCCGTATGCATACCCACATTCCCCGACATCCAAGCCAGAAGCTGACAGGAACAGTATTTCTCATCGTCTCCGAATGCTCTCTCTTTCGCAGCTACTTCGCCCGGAACTGGCCTTTACTCAGCCCTTCCCATGGCTTCGTTTCTCTAGGCTGCGCCATGATGGTCCTAGGACTGAACATGTTGGGAAACATGAATAAGGAAGCCACCAGTCAAGAATCTCTCGGCCTTCCCTTCTGGCGTCTCCTCGTCGCATCCGGCATCCTAGCCATTGTCATCGGCTTCTTCAACGTGGTTGCGGTAAGTGGTTTCCCAATCCCTTTCGCAAGACCCAAATAAACGCGGGGGCTAACCTTTGCAGAGCTACATCTTCCGCAACAAAGCTCGCCAAATCACTGCTCGCCGCGTCCGCTCCCACGGCGCCATCTCCCTCTCCCCCTCGCCCGACGACTACCCAACCTACACGAAGGACTTCAAAGACCTCACAACCGTCACTACCCACCATACCGGCTCCTCTGTCTCGCGTTCCACCTCCCGCACGCACATCAACACCCCACCCCCCATTCGCACCGGAACGCCTCCAGTCGACATGGGCATGTCCTCTCCCCAGCCTGCTCACAAGTCCCCCACGTCCGGCTTCTCATTCCCCTTCAGCCCCGCACGCACCCTGCGCGCAGCCCGCGAATCCCTACTTCCAAGCTACCACTCCTCCCCGCTCAAAGTGCCCATGCCTGCTCGCTCGCGCGCCTCGTCCATCTACTCGCGATCGACCTCGGGCGAGAGTCGGCGGTGGTGGCACGCGAGGAGGCGCGAGAGCGAGGTCCCTGAGGTGCCCATGCAGATCTCCGCGCCGATGAATACGAATGCAAAGTATGGGTATCTGATGAAGCCTGAGTTGAAGGTTCACCCGAGTCTGAGGGGCCGCGAGGACAAGGAGACGAGTGTTTAGAGGGTGAGTGAATGCCAGAAAGTGGGCTGGGGTTAAGACGGAGTAGTCGGTGAGATGGTGGATGGTGGATGGTGCGATTTCTTTTGTTATGATACCACTTTCCTTTGCTTATTTTTCTTGTGTGTGTCTGCATATGGTTTATTGCATCACGGTATTCTTTCGCCGCTATGGATTACTCATGGGCGGCGCTCCGACTGGACAGAAGGCGATGAGATGGACCAGCGATACGTCCGTCATACTGCTTGCGATTGACGAGGACATGTTTACGAGTGTATATCATGCGTACAAATGGCACAGCAATGTATACGTATTATCTTATCAATTGCCCACGACTGCTACCAGTTGACGGGATAAGTGTTTCCCTGATTCTAGACACAGTGCCGGCTGATGGGCAACCAACAACTCCCTGAACATGCATGTAACAGTGTTTCCTTCAGTACATTCGTAGCTGAGATCCATGCATTATACCTCCAACCCGCGAGCAGGCGGGGAGAAGAGCGGGTAGTGCAAGTACATACTAGCTGCAACAGTTCGAGGCGTTGCTGCACCCGGTTCAGCACTGATCACAGACACTCACCCTGCACCATCCCTTGACTTCGTCCAACTTTGGCGCTTTTTCTTTTTCGATCGGGGTGTATACATGGGATCCTGGGAGGGGGATGGAGGTGAGTAAATATGAGGTTGGATGGCTTCAGGTGAGTAACCCTTCGGGTAGGTGACTTTGATGCTTTTGAAGAAGCGGACCCTTTTCATGTCGGAGCATATGGTGCAAAGAGGTATATGAAACCGTAGGCCTGCCGGGAAGCATAACACTCCAGTTTTTCTGAGCGAAGTTATCACTCAGACACCAAGCACAATTTCCCGGCAAGGCCAGATGTTAGCATCACGGAGTCAATATCTCGTATCCACTCCATTTCAACGTCGACATGATATACATCTCACGCCAACTGCTCCCTTCACGCACCTCTACAACTTCAGTTGCGGTTTCGTCGGATTCGTCCCATCCAACCTCTGAAACAGTGGAGCCTTCCTACCCCCTCTAAACAAATCCAACATCTCCCTCCCCATCCACACCTCCCTACTCCTCGCCAACCCCCTCTCAAGATCCACAAACCGATCGGCCTGAACAAAGATCCCCGCCCCATTCGCCTTCATCTCCTGATCGAACAGCCAGCACACTGCCAACGCGATGCTTTCGGGCTTGTTGATGGGGACGCCTCGAGCGGCCATGTCCCGGGCGTAGGCTTCGGGGGCTTTGTCCATCATGCTGCGGTTGTTGCCGCTGATGATGGGTGTAATGGTTATGGCGGGGGCGACGACGGAGATGGCGATGTGGAGTTTGGCGCATTCCTGTTTGAGGGCGCGCATGAGGCCTACGACGCCTGGGGAAGGAGTCAGTCGCTTGTTACGTGCCCTTAGCTCTCGAATTGCAACAGGCAATTTCCCAAAAGAAAGATACGCCAGATAAATCAAGACATAACACATACCATGCTTCGCGGCACTGTACAACGGCGCCCCCGCGCTCGCCAAATACCCGGCCAAACTCGCCGTCAGGACAATCTGCCCGCCCTCCTTATTCTTCCTGAGATAGTGAATCGCCAACTTTGTCGTATCGGCCGCAGCATCCATATCGATATTCAACACCCGCCTATCCGGCTCCTTCAACTTGCCCTCGGAATCTAACTCATCCCCGAAAAACTGGTCTTGGTACTCGGCTATTCCCGCGTTGACGAAAACGCAGTCGATGCGGCCGAAGCGGGAGTAGGCGGCTTCGAAGCCGGAGCGTTGGGCGTTCCAGGAGGTGATGTTGCATTTGTGGATGAGGAGGTTTGAGGGAGGGTGATTGAAGGTGGAGGGTGGGTCGTTGAGGTCGATGAGAACGAGGTTGTGGGCTGGATTCAGGGAGCACAGGAGAGTGGCGGTTGCGAGGCCGATGCCTGAGGCACCGCCTGTGATGACGATGGTTTTGGGGTTGGATTTGAGGTTGTGGAAGGTGGAGGCGTCGGGTTGGAAGAGGGACATTTTGGAGGAGGAGGAAGAAAGAGCGCAGACGAGATATTCGAAAGAAGAGAAGGGGGATGATTGGGGCTTTTGAATTTCCTATGTATGAATAAGAATGACGAGACAGGAGATCTAGAAGTGAGAATCCATGCGTGAAGTCTACGAAATATCTGAGATTCGCAACTCTACTCCCATGAGGCTACTGGTATAACACAATCCCCGAGTTATTGGCGTGCGGGGTCGGCTTCGGCGATGGATAAGCAGAGCTACGGAATCAGCAGAGAAAGGGGACGTCTCATTGCTGACTCGACTCCATGATGCTTGGCTTTCCGCAACCGAAGTTGAATGCCATGGAGAAGCTCGGGAGAGCGGTCTGCGGGTCAGGTAAATAAGGCCGGGTTTTTGATAGCAGTAGCCTTCATGACATCCACGAGTAACACAGTTTCGTGTTGAGGCTGAAGGTGCGATGTTGGAGCTGGAGCCCTGGAGCTGGAAGTGTAGTCCACCTTCACGTGGCGCGCTAGCCCAACCAGGAATTGGCGACACGGTTTAACATTCAACATGTAAGATACACAGTATACAAACCCAGGCACACACGCTTGCTCCGTCCAACCCAGCACATCCGGCGGAGCAACTGAACAATCAACATGTGGAGACCCACGCTCCTCCTGGCCGCCGCGCTGGCCCTCCCGTCCCATGCGCTGCACTTCTTCATGGACGGCGCAACACAGAAGTGCTTCTTCGAGGAGCTCCCCAAAGACACACTCGTAGTCGGTTCGTCGGTTTTTCTGGCATACATACCAATTGCTCTCGCGAATTGCTCCGAAAGTTGAGGCGCATAGCTGACCCCATTCTCTCACAGGCCACTACGACGCCCTCGAATGGGACGACCACACGCAAACCTACCAAAGCAAACCCGACGTCGGCGTCTTCATCACCGTCGAGGAAACCTTCGATAACTACCACCGCGTCGTCGCCCAACGGGGCGCCAACAAGGGCAAATTCACCTTCACGGCGGCCGATTCAGGCGAACATCGCCTCTGCTTCACCCCTCAGAATGTCCACTCGACCGGGGGATGGTTGAGCAGCAGCGGCGTCCATGGATACGTGAGGTTCCATTTGGATCTGGCGATTGGAGAGACGAGCAAAATTGAGAGCACGGATAAGGGCAAGATCGATGAGATGGTGCAGAAGGTGCGGGACCTGAATAGCAGGTTGCAGGATATCAGGAGGGAGCAGGTTTTCCAGAGAGTACGTTGCCCGCTGTGGAGACGAAGGGGGTCCGCAATGTTGTAGGTTGGATGTATACTGACGGTGTCGTAGGAACGTGAGGCCGAATTCCGCGACCAGTCCGAGTCCACGAATGCCCGCGTCGTGCGGTGGTCACTTATACAACTAGGCGTTCTGGGAATTACATGCGCGTGGCAGCTATCGCACCTGCGCTCGTTCTTCATCAAGCAAAAGCTCACATAAGGGGGACCTTTGGGAGAGAGGAATGGGATTGTCTGGGGTGGCTTCGGTGGATATGAGTGCATTGTACTGCTTGGATCGCGGGCTCCGGCGTTGCATGGGAACTTAGCGCTTGATATAGAAATGAACACGGTATCATGCTAGCTGTTAGCGCGTCTAATATTGTTGCAATGAAGAGCTGCTGCGCCGCTCTCCATAACTGCGTGCATGCGGTATAATAATCTCAGGCATGGACGTCTGTGAGGCCCGGAAATTCCATACAAAAGCTGTCATGTCGATCTTCTTAGAGGCCTTGGTCAACGTAGATTTACAAGGAGATGTCCACTGCATCGAGCCGGAGGTAAATCAAGTCACAGCTTGCCACGGCGGCGTGGAGTCGCATTCAGAAGCAAAAGAACGCGATGGAAAGAGGACATCGGGCTGGAGTACCACCACACACACGGAGTGGGCTTCCGACTCGTAGCTCTCTTTCCTGTGAGCTCCCTGATGAGGTCATAACGGGCGCCTTTGCTCGCACTTTAACCAACTCTACGAACTTTTCCTGACAATGGGCCGTTGATACCGAGAAGCCGAACGCAACATCCTCACTACTATGTACGCGAGCTCAGCGCACGAACTCCGCGTCGTTGGCAAATATTGCCACCGTCACTCTCACCTGCACACCGACCTCGTTGCTCTCACACTTTTCACGTTGAATCATTTCTTCCTCAAGACTCCGGCAAGCCAGAGACCCAATGAAAAAAAAAGGTCGCGTCAGCCGGAGGTAGTGCAATACCGGCGACACTGTGTCCTTGACTATGAGCAAGCCCAGGGAGCCGAGGACCGGTTACAAAAATTAGAATAATCTTGAAAATGTTCCCGTAGGAACGTTCCAGAGATTAAACTGAAAAGAACAGATACTACACTGCAAAGGAAGTCAGTAAAAAGCCTTGCAGAAAAAACTCGTTGGTCTTACCTTGATCTAAGCCAAAAGGCAAAGAGAGCTAAGGAGGGAAGAAGGGGCGGGGGAGAAGGCAGTTTATATAGAATCCCAGAGCCTGGCTGACTAATCATACCGAGGTCGGACCGAGGTAGTGCCATATACAGCTATTGGCTCCTTTTCAGCTCAGAAGCCGGAGTGAAAGACTGCCCTTCACCGCTACTGCGGGGGGCCAAACAAATTTTTCAGTGCCGTTACAAGGCGCTCAGACGCTCGGCTACCCACAGACTCAGTGCGCGGCACCCCCTTGTGTATATCCTTGCGCTGGTAGTGGTGGTGGGTAAAGACATGCGCAGTGAATGTTGACAACACCAGCGACGTTGAATTAAGCTGTGAGCTACCGTTGCTGAAAATAGAGTATACCCAGCCTACGCTAGCTACTTCTGCCGCATTTCTGGAATACGGGGAGGTGGGGTGGTGATGGCTGCCCGGGTCGCTCTTTCCTTCGTTGCGAGTACTTGCTGCACATGTGCAGGAGTAGTACCGCCAGAGCATGTCCTTGGTGCTGCTTCTCGGTTGCCCTCTCGCAAGAAGTAGAAGGCCGCAAAAAGGGTGATGGGAGGGTATGTACTGGTTGTATTTCTGCGACAGTTGCTATTCTCAGTGTTGATCAATGTTGCGCACCGCGCAGCAATCACAGTACAGGCTTCTTTCCGGCCTGCTCGCAAGGAGTAGGAATCAGGTAGGCATGTAATGGGAGGTGCAGTACTGCATGCATCTTTACCCCAAGTAACACTTTCCAATGCGGTTGAAGTCTTGACCAATGCATACACGAGCGGAGTGCGCCATCACTGCACGCTTCTCCTCTAGCATACTAGCAGAAACTAGACGTCAGGAAATCAATTGAAGCAGCATCTGGTATTGATGTACCTCTATCACAGTTGGGTTCCTCAAGGTGTGGGAATATGAGAACCAGTGCATAACCCCAACGCAGCGCGCCATCAGTGCACGCTTCCCCTCTGTCCGCTAGCAGAAGATCGCGATCAGGAAGGCGAATAAGGAAAGGGGTGTTATTGCATGTATCTCTGCGCCGAGTCAGGAACAGAATGGGCAAAGGATGTAATACTGCACCCATCTTATTATACTTCATTCAAATATCATACTAATCTTCCTAAATGAGAGACTCCAAACGTATACCCACTCGACAACTCACTGAAGTGCTGAACTTGAATCACAATCGATAAAGGGAATCTCTTCTGCAAAGTTTCCATCTATCACAGATAATGACAGCCAATCAGCAGAGCCGAGCGATGACACCCCTGCCCACGATTGCGGCTGAGCGCTCACCGGATGATGCTGCGGATCGCAGCCTTGCATCTAAATATCCACTTCCCCACGATCAATCCTCCCGTTGAGTAATCGTAGGACTTGATCATGGTGGACGCCACGGGACGCTCAAAGAGATATAGGTCGAGCGGCCACGGAGGCTTCCTCCAGGACTCATAGCCGTCGACGAGAGGGGTCAACCACAAAAATGGCCGAGATAGGCCTCATCGCGTCCGTGATCCAGGTAGCCGGGGCGGGCCTCAAACTCTCGCAAACGCTCTACCAGTACGCCGAATCCGTCAGCTCCGCCGACCGTCGCGTCAAGGACATTGCCAAAGAAGTCCAACTGACCTCCTTCGTCATCAACGAGCTGGCCAGCATCTTCAAGAACGACGAGTCGTCGAGCTTGCTGTCCGAGAATGCCATCAAGACGGCCGACGAGACGGTTCGGGAGTGCTCGTCTGTGTTCACGGAGCTGGATGCTGCGCTCAAGAAGACGAAGAAGAGCGCGTTGGGGAAGTTCAAGTTTCCGTTTCGCGAGACCAAGATTGAGCTGTTGAGGAATCAGATTGATAAGTTGAAGAGTACGTTGCAGTTGTTGCTGCAGGTACTTACACTTGCGCATCAGAAGGCTTCGCAGTATGTGTATATGACCAAAACTCTGCGGCTTCCTACTGATAAACGGACAGAAAGCTGGACAGGGAGGCGGAAGCCGCACACCGCGCGCAAATTAAGGCGCTGCTGGAGAACAAGAAGGCCTCGACCAAGAGATACGAGGAGTCGCTGAGAAATCTCAAGTTCAGCGACGATGAAGAAAGCGACAAGGAGAATGAAGAGCCAGGATCTGCCACCGATTCCATGACCATTGCTTCTGTCAAGTCCGGCATCACAGTCGACGCTCTCGCTACATGCGTACAACACGTCCGTGGCTTGCTTCAGGACATTGAGTCACTGCAAAAGGTGCTGTCAGACGACGCGGAAGGCAAAGATCCGTCAGAACATCACCAAAGCCTCATAGGATCTTACTTCCGCGCCCGCGGCCATCTCGATTCCATTCTCCTGGGAAATCCAAACGATAACGGATCATCGATGACGAGCTCCGTCAACAGAAGCGAAGTGGACATTGGCATCACCAAATCGCTCTCTGGGATCACCCTGCAAGGTGTGGAATCACACGCCTCTACTGAAGTCGTGGTACAGAGCGCCAGGGAAAGTACCAGCAGTCTTCGTCCTATGTTGACAGAAGCCGAGTTCCAAAAAGCCATTCTGGAGGCTCAAGAGAAGGCGAGGAGGGAAGAGCGGGAGAGGTTGCAGCTGGAAGCGAGAAAACGTGCGGAAGAATCAATGCTGCAAGAGCAAGCAAAAGCCAAGCAGGCTGAATTGCTCGCGATGAAGGAGACGGTCGAGAGGAAAAAGAAGGCGATGGATTTGGCGCGAAAGGCTCTCGAAGATGAGATGGAAAAGGCGAGACGGAGAGCGGAAAGGGATTTGGAAATAACAAAGCAGGCTGCACAGGAAGCCGAAGCTAGGCGAGCGAAGGAGGCTGGGGAGACAGCAGACACGGCTAAGCAGCCGCTCAAACTCACTGATGCAATAGGCAGGAAATCCAGTCTGCCGTTCCATCTGTGTAAAACCTGGCAGGTAAGAGATACCCTCTATTTCGCCCATCCAAAACTTATTATCCGCATACATATACATTGGTGTCGCATTCCTTACCACTCGGTAATATGCTCTTACGGCATAAGCTCACCTCCCACAGGACTTCCACAAGCTCATAACCCAAGCTTTCCTCCCAATCGACACCATGAAGACCCTTGTCTCCGAAGGTCGATACTCCATCTACGGCCCGCAAGGCGAACTCATCATGCCCGATTGCTGGGAATCAGTCATCCAACCCGGTTGGACGATTACCATGACAGTGTGGGAATCTACGCCGACTGCGCATGCGCTCGCACACCTAACCCGACCGATGCGTCGACCTCCTGGTAAACCTGCCGCTGCCCCTGCTGAATCGCCGATACTTCGCGAGGTCCCTGTCGCGGAGAAAGAAGACGTTTCGATGGCTGGTCCCTTGTGGAGCGTCGACGACGTGTCAGACAATTCTGTCCTAAGCGCTAGCAACCCCTTCAACCCGTTCGCCCCAACTGGAGAAGCGAGCGATGAAGAGGCAGACAGAAACAATGGAAAGCCCGAACCTTTAAAAACAGACTTCATCGACGATTTCCCCAGCCAGATGGCCTCTTGGGGTCTCGACGATACAACGCCCGTCTCATCGATCCTTCGACAGTACAAGAAAGACCACGGTATTCGCGTCTCGGACCGCAGATACATAGCGTGGATCTATTTTGAAGTTCCCCGTGCTAAAGGAGATGGTGTGGATGGAAAAGAACGTCTCTTGGCTGACTGTTATGCACCGTTGAGATTATATCGCAACTTGGAGAAGAAGGGATATAATCCGAGATTTGCCATTACGAACGGTCCGCTTTCAAGGTTGGAGTATTATCCAAAGTTGCTGCAAGTAAGAACTGCGACGAGTGCTGAGCAAGTCGTTGAGAAGCCAGAAAATCCCATCTCACCCGAATATCTCACATTTGATCCCAAGCATTTCCGAAAATTCGAATCCGAATCCCGGCGGAGACCCTCTTCTCCAACATACCACTCCAATGTCACCAATCAACAGCCGCCAGCACCATATAGTCCAGGATGGTATGCAGTAAACCAACCGCAGTGGTCTTTCCCTGCTCCCGCACACAACTCCAATGTCACCAATCCACCACACAACCCTTCGTACAATCTTTCAAATTACGACCTTTCACCTCACCCGGGCGATCTCTTCATTCATGGGGACCAGCTAAGCCAGCATCGACCTCCGAGCCGAAACCATACCTACAATCCATACGCATCACGCCCATCCACGTCCATGGAGTATGCGCGCCGCCCTCCTCCTCCTAGCCTGACCCTTGGCTCACCGCCCCGACAAAGATCCACAAATGTGATCCGTCCCTCACTTCCACCGCAATATCCACCGACGCCGTCGAAGTTCTCAGGCTACCTGAATCCAGAAGCCGTACTGTTTTATCATCCTACACCCTCACGTCGCCTCCAATCACCCAGCTCGACTTCACCTCCATCACAACAGACAGTTCCATTTCAAGATATCGAACTCGAGGCACGCCGTCGAGATGCCAGCTACGTCTCACCTCTTTCCTCTAACCAGCACCGCCACCACCGCCACTCGCTCCGCCTTCCGCCAAATCGACCGGATGACCGACCCACGTCCCCATTTCGAACACGCGTCGTCACGCCCAACACCAACACCGCCACCGCGGTCCCCACACCGCAAGACGTCCATCCCGTTCAAGGCATCGATCCTAATACCTTCAACGCAGCTCCCCGTCTAGATGTACCACCACCGCCACTAGTCCAAGAAGAGGCAGTCCCAGGACAAAAACCTAGTCTATTTACCCCCCTCGACGAAGACAGCCGGTCAAAGTTCCTGGATGACTGGGATGAATTCCAGAGGGGCATGAGGGAGAAGGCGGTGATTAAGGAGGCAGCGTCACAGGCGCTGGATAGTGGCCAAAAAGTTACACGTTCTGAACGGCCCTTTGGATCTATTCAAGGCGAGAGTGTGAGGGGGGTTGGTGACGGGGGTGATTTGGTTCCCTATAGGCCGAGGTTAGGTGTACGTATTGAGGAGGGGGGGTCGCATTCGGGCGAGCCTTTGGGTGCGGAGTCTGGAGGCAGGATTGAGCCGGGACCGCAAGATTTTGTGGGTGGCCAGGACGAGGAAGATGAAGAACAAGGGCCGAGGAACAGAAGGAAGAGGAGGACGGCGGGCAGCGACAAGACGCCAGGAGGCGAAAATGATGGAGAAGTGTTGGACAACGAGGACTTGGTTCTCGTGGGCGACGAGGAACCGTCAATACCAATAAGCAAAACGAGCAGCAAGAAGAATAAGAAGAGGAAGGCAAAGGGGAGATTAAGGAAGGGCCCCGATGACGAAGACGCGATCCCAGTGTGGAGGGAGGAGCTGCACTCGTTTCTAGACAAGGAAGAATCGAAACCTCTTGCACTGGTCGAACCCTCCATCAGCAAAGATGCGCGAGACACACCAGCGGAACACGATCCCGCGGATCTAGCTCTACCACCGTCACCATCCGAGGCTGAGAAGGACTACGACAGTGGCCTCGGCGATTATGCGAGCGTATCCCCCGTCCCTCGCGACACGCACCACGCCGGCGTCGATGAAGGCGATTTCAAATTGGAAATGGAGCGAGACTCGCCGCTCCTTCTTGGGAAATTCGAACGCGAACGCGAACGCGAACGCAGCCCTTTTGTCGGTCTCGCACCTGAGACGAGAACAACACGTGGCTCCTCTTCGGACGTATTGGATCCGGTGTCGTGGAGGAAGGAGGTGCAAAAGGAGGTGCAAAAGGAGGTGCAAAAGGAGGTGCAAAAGGAGGATGAGGAGAGAGAGGAGGAGACGGAGAATATCTACAACATCGCCGTACTTCCCAAGCTGAGGGAAAGGGAAATGCAAACGAGGCCCGAGGAGGGGGAGGAAGCGATCGAGGACGCGCTGCGCGTGCTCAGGGGCAAGCGGGGGAAGAAGGAGGAGGAGGAGGAGGAGCAGGAGGGGAAAGTGAGAAATGAGGAAGGGGGGAGCGGGAGCGCGAGGCTGAGATCGAGATTTGATGCCGATGCGGACCTTGCGGACGATGCTGATAAGGGTCGGGCTGGAAAACAATACGAGGTAGGGGGCCGGGGAGGCGAGGGAAGTGGTGATGTCGTCGATGATGAGGTGGATGCGTTGTTGAAGGAGTGGACGAGGATTGAGGTGTGAGAGGTAGAGACGGTTATGTACGCTGGCGTAGGGATATGTATGTAGAATGGATCTGGATTGGAGTTCAAGAGACGGTGGGGTGTATGTAGATTAGCTAGCATCCGCAGGTTGGTTGCTGAACAGGATTTACATAGACTAGCTAGCATTCGCAGGTTGGTTGCTGAAGAAGAACAGCAGGAATACATTGGCCCATTAGCCCATCTATATACTTCTAGTCTGCCACACCTCCATTGCTGGAGGTGAGATCCATCTCCAGATGTACCCGCTACATCGTTTTTTGGGGAAAGAAAGACACACGCAGCAGTCACTACTCAAAAAGACCAACAGACATCACAGCAAGAGCATCCATACGCGTATGTGATTTCGATGATATCATTTCATGCAATACAGAAAAACCCAACAGCAAGGTATATCCATCCGCACCCAGAACTCCAATGCCATGTATCCGTCCGTAATACCCGCTGAAAAAAAGGGCGAAGAAGAAACCGTGTGGGGATCAGATCAAACTCCGGCTCCTTTGCCGTTGTCGTCACCTCACGCCGTGCATACCATGCGGAAAAGCTCCCCAAACCCTCTGATATCGAGCGCCAGATGCGAAACAACGTGGCATACTCAAAGAGACCAGAAAGGCATTCACCACCAATCACCCTGATCCCTCATGGCCGCCGCCACCTTGGTGAAGCCGGCGATGTTGGCACCGGCGACGAGCGACGGGAACTCACCCTCGGCGGGAGTCACGTACTCCTTGGCGGTAGCGAGGCAGTTCTCAAACGCATCCTTCATGATGCCCTTGAGCCTCTCGTCGACCTCCTCGGACGTCCACCTCAACCGCTGCGAGTTCTGCGCCATCTCGAGACCGGAGACGGCCACGCCGCCGGCATTGGCCGCCTTGCCGGGAGCATACCAGATGGCGTCTCCCTTGTTGGCGCGGCGGTGGTTCTCAAAGACCTCGATGGCTTCAATGGTGCAGCCCATGTTGGAGCCTTCGGCGATGAACTTGCAGCCTGCGTCGATGAGGACCTTGGCTTCCTCCTCGTCGACCTCGTTCTGCGTCGCCGAGGGGAGGGCGACGTCGACCTTGCCAACCTCCTTCCAGGGACGGGCGCCGGCGACGTATTTGAAGGGATGGTTCTCGAGGGCGGTGAGCGGCTTGCGCTGGACCTTGATCTCAGCAATGGCGGAAATGTGGTCGGGCTGGAATCCCTTCTCATCGGTGGCGATCAGGGAGCCTTTGCTATCAGACATGGAAACGACGGTGCCTCCCAGTTCAATGACCTTGAGCGCGGCATACTGGGCGACGTTGCCGGAGCCAGAGATGGCGACGCGCTTGCCGGCGAAGGACTCCTTGCCGCCCGTAGCATACTTGATCATATGGTCGACATAGTAGACAAGGCCGTAACCCGTGGCCTCTGGACGGATCAAGCTGCCTCCCCAGGAGCCGCCCTTGCCGGTGAGGACACCCTCCCATCTGCCCCTCTGTGCGCGGTAGGTACCAAAGAGCCAGCCGATTTCGCGGCCTGAGACGCCGATGTCGCCGGCGGGGACGTCGGTGTCGGCACCAATGTGCTTATTCAGCTCCCTCATGAAGGCGACGCAGAACTTGCGGATCTACACCAACGGGGTTAGTCTATAGCCTATTAGGTAATCAAAATTCTGAACGTCCGACTCACCTCATTGTCACTCTTTCCCTTGGGGTTGAAGTCAGCGCCACCTTTGCCACCGCCCATGTTGACTGCGAGATACGTCAGTAACAAGCCGCTAGCGGCGGATGCACGGGAAATACTCACGTCCAGTAAGAGCATTCTTGAAGATCTGCTCGAAGCCCAGGAACTTCAGGACGGACAGGTTGACGGTGGGGTGGAAGCGGAGACCGCCCTTGTAGGGACCCAGGGCCGAGTTGAACTGCACGCGGTATCCATTGTTGACCATGCACTCGCCCTTGTCGTTTTCCCAGGTGACGCGGAACTGGATGACACGCTCGGGGACGGAGACGACCTCGAGGGCCTTCCTGTATTCGGGGTTCTTCTGGAAGAGGGTCGAGTTCTCGAGGGTGGTGACGAGCTCTGGGGGATAATTAGCACTGTCCGCAGATGGAGGCCAAGAAGCCGAGTGCGATGTGTCGTGTGCCCGCCACCCAAGATGTATAGGCACGTGGGAATGTCAAGAGGGAGCTCGACAAGTAGACAATTGGAAGAAGTATGCGTTGTGACGTACCCCGCCTAGCTTGCTCAAACTCGGGTTCAGCCATAGTATCGTGAATAAGCTATGTGAGAGAGATGTCGAGTTTGCAAAGGCTTGTCTTGTTGAACAGCGCGAGTCCAGTCTAGTCGGATTGGCAGCTCGTTTGAGGGAGAGACGAAGTGAAGAACAGAGATGGCAGCAGCAGCAAGAAGAACCGTAGATATATACAGGTCCCCTTTGATCGCCCCTCCGAGCCCGCTGGTTCCTGGACCGCGCGCCGCACCGCGCGGTGAAAAGAAAAGCTACGGCAAGGGCTCTGGACACTATCCGTATCAATGACTATTGTTTACAAATTCGCTGATAAGGAAAACTGGGCCAATGGCAGCGTGAGAGCCGTGGCCGAGACGTGAGTTGAGGCAGCGGCGAGCAATTGCGGTGGTCGAAGAATCGTCAAATCCCGAACTCGGAGGGTCCCGGCAAGAGAAGCTGTTACGTGCTGGATTCCAGGGTCTGCTGGGAGGGTGTCCGGGACGAGATGGGCAACAGAGTGGGCGAAGTGGGCTGTGTCCCAAGACCTCTCCATCATCGCGGCTGGGCGAGGGGCAAAAGCGGCAGAACCACCATCCAGTGGCATCCACAGTAAAGTTGTCGAGTCGTCCAGTCCCTCGCCGTGCACGGCGCCAGCCACACCGCCCCTGGCACGTGAGCTGTGGCGCATATCTCTGTGGATTCCGAATTGATACCAAAGGGAACGCTGGGGTGCAGTGGGGCTTGCCGGAGCTCCCGAATCGCCGACAAATAGCGTAGTTATAGTAGGTGACCACATGCTAGCAACCCAATAATTGCGGAGCCAACAGCACAATCGTGTCAAACAACTCACACGAAGTGTTTCCATAGCGCAGCCCTGCCAAGGCTCTAGGGATTGTCAGCCACTCACAATGTACGTTTGGAACACTAATGAATCCCCCACGCGAGCGACATCTGCCCGGAAGCCCACGCTGCAACAAGGCTGCACACGACCACCACACCAACTGCGCGTGCGGAGGATTACGGGCAGTCTGTAGGATCCCAATCTAGAAACTTTGTCAGCGCAAAAGTCCGCAATCTTGAGCATTGCGCGAATATCATGAAGAGGCCTTGGGAGGGTGGGATGCCCACCTGTGACCAGATACTCGTCCAACCCATCCATTCTCTGCATGTCCTCGTCCGCAATCGCAAACCCGCTGATATCCGCATTCTCCACGATCCTCTCCTTCTTCGAGCTCTTCGGGAGCGGTACATAACCATGCTGCAGGCTCCACCGGACCAGCAGCTGGGCGGGCGTGCACTTGTATTTGTTCGAGAGTTGGACAATCGTCGGGTGCTTCATCCGGAGAGCCCTCACCAAGGGCGCGTACGCCTCCACCACGATGCCGTGCTCCTGGCAAAACGAAGTGATGTCCGTCCTGGTGTTGAAGGGATGCACCTCCACTTGGTTGACTGCGGGCGGAATGTTTGGATTAGAGGCAAGCAGCTCTTGCAGCTGGCCGACCGTCAGCTTGTGACAATAATCGCACCATGCCCATTGTTACTCAGTGGCAATGAATCATGACATGGCAAGACAGAACAGATAGATAGGACATGGAGGACCGGACGATCCACAACAAGTACGGAGCTGAGCCACAGTCTCGGAGAGATGTGGCGTTGCCTCCAAGGGGAGCCCTGGAGGGAACCTACATGTTTGACCCCGTAGTTACTGCCCAGCGTCAGCGTATGCAGACGAGCTTCCAAAACGGGGCACCTACCTCACTCCGCCAATCTTGACCTCGCCGTCCTTGATTGCGTCCTCGACTGCCCTCCAGCTCTCGAGTCGCGCCGTCTTGCCACCGTACGGCGAATGCAGAAGGAACAAGTCAATATAGCCCAATCCGCACTCCTTGACCGACCGGCTGATGGCCTTGCGAGCTGTATCGTAGGCCGAGTTGGACGCAAGCTTGGAGGTGAAGTGGATGTCCTCTCGGCGGAGGCCGTCTACGTTGGCCTCGCTGGCCAAAAAATCAAGAATGGCTCGACCAGCTTGCTTTTCATTGCGGTACATTTGTGCAGAGTCGATGCTACGTGGCGCTCAGCAACTACACCGTGAATGCAGGCGCGTCACGCGAGCTAACCGACATACCCTCGATAGCCAGCCTATTCGTTTGGGAATACATTCCAAATCAGTGACGGACACGTTGGAGGAATAGGGGCCAGTCGCACCTCGAGTGCCCATCCCACTGCCCTGTAAGTCTCTTGCCCGCTGGTCAGATAGACGCCCAGTTGGATCGTGGGCATAGAAAGGCCATTGGCCAGCTACAGAGGGATCAGTGAGGCCGAAGACGATGATGCTACTACGGGGTGTGACGACCTTGGTGCGCGAGGCCAACGAGAAGGTTTGCTGGGTCATGGTGGCAGCTGTCGTCTGGGGCCGGCAGAAATGATAGAGGTAGATGACGATACTGCGTGGCAGGGAAAGAGTATCGATTGGCGCAAACCCAAGATGCACAAGTGAGGTGTGTGGAAGTGAAGGCTGATGAACCTTGTACCGGAAAGGGACATGGTGTGTCCTCGGAGACGACAGATTACGTCACGCTCGCTTCCACCGTCCAGGAGCATTGATGATTGAACATCGAACTTTGCACATCGAACTCCAAAACCCGACGCTGTGGTAAAAAGTCGTTGAAGTCTCTGGGACATGCTGCAGCCACAGGGCAAGCTACGGATAGGTCTGCGTCCAGTAGTCAAAGGACTCTGCGCCTCGGCTGTCTGATGGCTGTGCAAACCGTTCAAAGTATACAGGAGCCACTGGAGTTGACCAGACGCCCCTTTTGATGTGTCGTTTGAGTGGCCTTGTCCCCACGGTCTCGTGTGGCTTGGGCATGTCACCTTGCACCGCGTACAAAATGGGACATACTGGGCAATATCGCCTCCCCATTCCGGTAGGCCCTGAGGTGCAGCTTGGAAAATGCAGTCTAGGTCGGCGATTGTCGTCAACATGTGGAAACCCTAAGCGAGTGCCGCTGGCTTGGTTGGAAGCCTTTTGCGGAGGGGCAAGCTGAGATGTGAGAGGCTACGATACTGGAGGAGCGGGATGGACGGCATGGGCTGCAGCGCGCTCCTCCGATGTACGCAGAAGGTGTGCATCCGGAAATGTCCGTGGTGTTGACGTGCAGAGGGAGTGCTGATCCAAGTGGTCAGGCTGAAGACAACTGGGCGCAGGGCGAGATGGAGAGTTCAGGGCACTGTGGCACAGTAAGTACAGCCAGGTCCAGCTGGTCGGCTTCTCCGGGTTCCGAACGCAGTTACTGGGCTCCAAGCGAGGCGCCTCAACCGCCTCTGTCAATTGATAGATCGAATTCGAACCTGGCAGATGGCCATGCCACACTCATATTAGACAAGATGAGGCAGTCTTGTGCACCCGGGAGCGACCAAGCTAGCTGGGACTGCATCGCCGACGCTTCATTGGGTAAGCAGAGTCGGCTTCAAGGGCAAGCTTATGCAGCCCTCAGGCTGCTCTGGACGCAAAAGCGGGTACTGAACCTGGAGTCTTTGTGCTCCTCAACACCAGCCAGGTCCTGTTGGTGCGTCCAAGGACCCCTCGTTACTATCGTGCTCCGGGAGCTAGACTAGAGCGGGTGCCAGGTGGGCGTGCCTGGATCGTACCCGGCATTGTTTGGAATATCCATCCGCGGGAAGAGTTCACGCCCCTCTTACCAATATTCCCCAAACGAGATTCAAGTCCTATGGCGCTCCCGCTTGTGCTACCACTTCACCTTTCGCTGTGTATAAAGTTGCTCTGCCTCTTGCCCTGATATAGCTCCCCGCCCAGGTACGTTTCCCTCCCACCTCTTCCCGTCTACCCCATGTACCCTGGCATTTAACAGTAAACCAATCTGGATGTCAGAATGTCTGGCCTCTTTCCCCCTCACTACTCTCTTGCTGGATATGCGACCACCCAAGGAAGAGGAGGCTATTACGCAGAGGCAGCTCCTTCGTCAACAAATCCACCAAGTGCTGATCCGGAATCTGGCGACATTCCGCAAGTGAATATCCTTGAATGGTTTCCCGCGTATCAGAGCTGCCAGCGCTTCTTCCTCGACCACGCTCAGCACGAGCCCAATACCCAGGCCCTCGCTGCCTTTCTCAACATCTTCCTGCCCTTCCAATGGAGCTCAAACCCGCTCTCAAAATCGACGGGCATACCCGCGACCGGACCGGCAGCATATATTCAACCATGGCACATGAGACATAGCCAGACATCCACTCCGATTGGCCAGCCCGCCCTGGCGTTCTCTCTCATCCCCTACATCCGCCGCCTAGTCGTGACCGGCAACGACAGGGAGGCCATACTGCACGATCTATTCGGAGAAGACTGGAAAAAGGGCGTTGGCATCTTGGTGGAGATGGAACGGCGCAATTACCTTTTCGCAGCGAAGAGCGTGAGCTGGGAAAAGGTGAAGGAGCACTACGACATGTCGGCCAGCGAGACGGTCCCCTTCCTCTCCCCACTGCGCAGCGTCAGGGAAGAGGAGATCCAAATAGCCGAGAACGCGTGGAGCAGATGGCTCATGATGCAGGACTGGCTGCTGGGTCCGCGAGCACCAGACGTGGGGGACCAGCACTCATGAGTCGTGATTCCAGGTTATTTCTGTTTCCTCTTCCTACTTCGGGTTTTGATGTCGATCTGGAGGACTTTGGCGCTGTCGCGAGGATCGAGGAACGACGTGTACGCGCAAAAGTTGTTGCGGATGGCGTTGTGGAAGACCAGGGGGTGGACTGGACTAGTCCCGTGTTCCTTTTCTCAAAGCGAGTGCCCAGACCGCAACTACCGAGTCTGTAGGGTGCTGGCGATGGCGTCTCAAGGATGGGTACATGATGCTACGGAGTACTGGATACGGCGTTGGCCTTCACTTTCGATGCTGCGGCAGGTTCTTTGTATACATCATAGATATACGGAGTACAGTATTTCCATGCTATGAGCTGTGGTCAGCCTTGTGAACCACAGCTTTGGTAAACTCCAGCCACAGGCGTCACGGAGCGCCCAGCCAATGGTATTCCTTGCCAAGAGATTGTTCCGCCGAAACCCTGTCTTGACATTCACCTCAACCATTCATCCAAGCTTCAGGTCACTCCACCATTCAATGTTGTTATATCGTTTACAACTTCATCTTTTTATATAGCTTATCATTGTATTACCAATATTGTGCGGCCCCCGTGCCGCCACCTACTTTTGGGATGGACCCACACGTCAGGGACTGGTCCCGTTTCTTTGACGCCTGTCTACGACGCCGGCTTGATGTTGAACTCTTCGCTATCACCGCTGAGCTGCTATATGAAAGGTCCCCATTACCGGGAGTCAAAATTGCTCGTTTGTTGTTGAGGCCACGCACTGCAGCTGCACCAAAACTCCCAGATCCTCGCGTCATCTGGTACTGCGAGCGACTTCTTGCCTTGAAGAGGATCGATGTATCAGAGGTCTTGGCTGCCGCTTTTCAGTTTTCCCCGTCAAGAGACCGCCCGCCTCAGGAAGGAGTTGAAGGCAGTGTCCCCAAGAATCATCGGTCACGGTGGCTGAACCCACCAGCGCTGGAGGAGATCCTGTTTGACCGACTGCACAAGCTCTTCATGACAGGAGAGCGGCCCCTATCAAGCTTAGAGGCCGCGCGAACAATCTTTGTGCTGTCGAAATGGATGTCGGCCATGGTAGCCTCGCATACCAGCGATAGCATGATGCATGCCATGGCCGGGATCCCGCAGCATCCGCAGCAATCTTCCATCATCGTCCGCGAAGGGCTCGGATTGTTGATGGTGAGCTTGGTTGAAAACGCAAAGATTCTGGAAGTACTGGGGAGGGATCACATGGATGGTATGTCCTCTGGGTGCTTCAAAATGTTCCCGCGGCGGAGAGACTGTGCTGACGAGTTACAGACGTCAAGAAGTCCTTCTCTCAGTCACTGTCGTCCTTCATCCCTTTTTTGCAACAGACATCTCAAACAGCATTGCAAATCGCAAGTCGCCTGGAAATGTCTCAGAAACAGCACGGCCTCTTTGACAAGTCGCTCCACCTCGATGGGCACGCTGGACAGGGCCCTAACCTGGACGTTGCTGCTTTACAGCTCGACGCCGTGATGGATCTTCCAGCCCTCAACACGCGCGCAGGCCTGTTCGTATACCTCAATTCGCTTGTATGTGGTGTCGGTTGCTGAGTTTGACCATAGCTAACTTTCTCGAGCTGTTTGGCCGACCACTCACGGATGCGTTTACCATGAGCACGTATCTTAGTGCACGTTATAAGGTTTGAGTCTCTCCAGAAGCGTCCGATCGTAGCTGATGGTAGACAGGGTGACTCTCAAAGCATGATCACTGACCTGATCACTGCTGCCTTTGATGTTCTAGCTAACGCAATGTACCGAAACGAGCCAAGCCATGTGATGTTCTGCTTAAAGAGTTTTTTGGTAAACAAGGTCCCTCTTCTTATTGTCCAATTCTCCTCGTCCACTTTTCCCATGACGGCAGAAATCTGCATCACTGAAGCCCTCGCACGCATCGATCCGAACGCTTTTCCTGCGTTTTCTCAAGACTTCGGTATCTTGGGGAACAACAGCAACTCCCTTTCGGATGCTAGGCAGGATTTCCTTAATGCGTGCGCTCTCCATGGCCTGATTGCAGCGAACACCGTGCAACGCCTCCTGGGGGAAACGCCCTTGCAAGGTCCACCAAGTACCAGGCACGTGAAGAAACACGTGCTTAATAAACTCAAAAACAATTTCGAGTCAGTGAATCCGCTCATCGAACAGTTAACGGCTCTGGACGGGAATGCGGGAGCTATCGTTCTCGCCCTCACAGAGGTGAGTGCACGCGAATTGGGTGAGGTGGTTTCGCTAAGCTCTGCCAGTTTATCTCCCATCTGTGCGACACGCAAATGACAATGTACCTCAAGACGTTATGCAATTCGCTGCTTAAAAGGCCACAAGCACTGGATGTGATGCTCCAGTTCGCATCGCCTGAACGCATTCTGCGCCCTTTGTGTTTGTTCTTGCATGACTGGCGATACGAAGACACCCAAGGTGTGCATTTCCATGTCACGATCCCGTAGACTACTAACCCATCTAGGTGAGTATCAGCCGGTTTACGAAGAATTCGGAGCCATTCTTGTCCTTGTGTTAGCGTTCGTTCATCGATACAACCTATCGTATCATGAGCTGGGCATTGGTCATGACTCCTTTGTCGCACAACTCCTCGAGCGCGGCCATGTCAGCATACGCCAGGACGATACGACGGAAGAACAGAGAAAGCACCTTGGAAATTGGCTCAAAGGTTTGTACGACTCTGATAAAGAAGCTCTCGGCAACGACGTGTTTGCTTCATGCCGGCCACAAGACTTCTACCTGATCGTGCCGACGCTCTTCCGCCACACTGTAGTTGCATGTTCGGCGGGGGTTCTCTCTTTGGATACCGCGAAGTGCGGTCTTGAGTGTAAGTCTCGTCCGGTGCAAGTGTAGAAACGAACCAACATGTGCTAGATCTCCAAGATACGTCTCTGCTACCATCCCTTGTGGGCGGCCTGACCTGGATGGCGGGCTATGCGGAGCACAACCATCGGGACCTGGACGTCATGATACCGCTCTTCAACAAGCTGACCCGACCTGGATCCGTATCCGGAGATGCTCAGGCCATGCATTCCGCCATCATATCGATCGTGTCAGGTCGCCTCGAGAAATGTCTCCGGGCCCTAAAACAACGCCACCCCAACCGCAGCGACATCGACCATCTCCTCCACATCATCATAAACCAAGGCTCGTACGAGCACTCCGTCTATAGTTCCTCATCTGAACTGGGAAGATGGACAAACTCACCTCCAACCACTCTCTACCGAGAAATCAAACACTCCGTGCAAGCCTTATCTCAATGGGCATCCGCAGCAGCCCTGCATCCCACTCCTCCAAGCTATGCGCACAAACAGATATACGCCTCCCTCCACCTCCTCGGCACCCATAAAACCCTCCACGCCATCCTCTCTGAGATTCGGACCCAGACCGAAGCCCGTAATGGCGCCGCAGCCCTCGACGTCGGCCTCTCCATCGTCTGCGCCCCCATGTTGGAAAACAGCTCGCTGGCCACTGACGTGACGACGTCCATTTCGAGTCCCCGCACACACCTCAATCTCCGCGAAATGCTCAAGGAGGAATTCGATAATGCCGCCTCGCTCGTCGCCACGGACCAGCTCCTCGCAGAAACGATCGTGCGCTTGCATCGCCGTGTAGAGGCATTCGTGGCAGCCATTGCGCAGAACCAGGCGGCACTGGCGACGGCACAACTGGACATGTCGAACGTGGACCTCGCGGAGGTGCAGGCGGCGCAAAATGCACAGATGGATAAGGCGCTGAATGACGTTGCGGCTGCTGCCGCCGCGGCCGCATCAGCGAATCCAGAGCAGCAAGCCGCGCTGCAGCGCTCGCTGGAGCAGCATTTAGATCTTTCTGCTGCCGCAGCCGCCGCAGCAGCAGCAGGCGGACTCGATTTGAGCGGTATGGGTGTTGCAGGTGGGGCGGATATGGGTAGTTTGGGGAACTTGGATCTCGGGGGTTTGGGGGATATGGGCATGGGAATGGGCATGGGGATGGAGCTGGATATGGATATGGGGATGGAGGATGATGATACGTGGGGGTTGAATTTCAATGACATGTAGGGAATGTTGGAACGACTAATGTGCTGACGGGGAGTGGGCTTCTGGACGGAGATTCACTCAGAGGTGGGAGGTTAAGTAGTCGGGTCGTGGCGGGACCGGAATTGGAGTCCTGCAATTGCTTGTTGGTAGTATTGCTGTGCTTGCTGGTTGCACTTCCAGGTCGTGAATGTGCTCAGCGGTGGTAGATAGGTACGGAATCCAAGTACCGAGGTGCATCCATCTATCGACTCGTTCGGGTGAAGAGGTGGCGGGGTGCATGTTGCGGCGTAACTACCTGTGCCCCACATAGATCCATCTACCGTATCAGGAGGTGCAATCTGACCACTTCTCCAGAAGAGCCGCAGCCATGCCTCACTACCTTTCTTTTCCTACAGCCTTCGCCTTCATCTTTCTCCTTGGGGAGCATTGGAACTTTCTAATTCTTCGGCCTAGCTATAAGGTATTGGAACTTCTTCGCCCGGCAAACGGTTTAGCGGACACCGAAGCGCTCTATCAATCGGAACAACAAGTTAGGAGGGAAACCAAATCAATCGTATCCAAGTCGAACAGAACAAGAGCAGACAGAGCCGAGTAGAGCAGATTCAAGATGCCGTATAGTATCAAAGGCAGAAATGTGCTTGTTACAGGTGGCTCAGCGTACGTTTTGATTTTTCCATACTATACAGCTCCATTGATTCACTTCTCTTCACACTTTTGTTTTCTTTCTTTGGTAATTCGGACTTTTGGCCGTCTCTCGTGTGTTTTCCATATTGGACCGCTTCGTCCTTTTTTCCACTGCAAATGCACCGATTTTCTAGAACCCGGGGGGGGGGGGGGGGGGGGGGGGGGGGTGGAGGGAGGGGTACAAGTTGGCTGTAGCTCTCTCCGTCTTCAGTGTTGTCCGATGACACGGAATTGGGGACATGGTTCTATGGAAATCTCTGCTTTCAATAATGATCGTTTCAACGGCATCTCATTGCTATTCCCCCTCCCAACCCTCTTCCTTTCCAATCCATATATTACCCCCCTTTCTTCCCTCCTCTCTTCCCAATCCTCCCCATCCACCCATCATCTCCTTCCCCCCATTCGTACTTCCCCCCATTCGTACTTCCCCCC